AAAGATAGGACCGACTGATATGGCAATTAGCATATTGATTAACAGGAGTCCATCAAATCATGTCTTCCCATTGATTACATTAAGAAAATTTATCGAGAACGGGAAACTAGCAAAGGTAAACATGTACAGGTTTTCACACGAAGTACTTAATTGCAACATAGGATAAAGAAATTTCATCAGAACCTCTTAATGGAAAAAAACCAGTGATTTACAAAAACCCAAACTCATCAGATACACAGGGTACATTGCTGGGTGAAGTTTCTAGATTCTTGGAACTTTATCTGATCCGAACTTCTCACACCCAGCCAAGGGCCGAAGAATAAAAGCAGGGGCTCAGAATCGATATAGGCAGCCAATAATAAAACATTATTTCCCAATACTTAACTCTCTTAAGTTCAACTAATTGTGGAAAAGTACAGTTTCCGAGGGATGAAAAATGGGACAACGGATGGAAAATTAGTAAATGATAGGGTACAACAGCCTGATAACCATACCCCTATTTCCTTTGAAATTTGGATCTGGGTGTCAGGCTATGGGTACAGTAAAGTAATAAAGAAAGCTTATGATATAAAGTGCTTTGAAGAAAATTCATGAAATTTTTTAAGCGACACGGTGTAGAATAACAAAAAGATAGCTACTAAACATTGTATCTACCACAAGGAAAAAGACAAAAAGCTGGCTGAGCTTTTAATACCGAATGGGCAAGGATATTTTTATAGCTTATCCTATATCAGCAAACAAAGAAAATTTTTGGAATTCTGATTACAATGGATGGATGAAACTTGCGTTTTGTAAAGTTCAGAACAAGACAGCAAAAGTCACAGTGACGGTATCAAACAACTAGTAATATAGAACACAGCAAATATGATTCACAATTTGAAATACATATGAAAATTAAGCAGTACACAAAGCGAATATTTATTTTAATTGGCATTGCTAAACACTATCATGTAATACGGTGTTCAATCCCGTATTTGTACGGTGTCAAATATTGTATAATACCTTAATCACATTCGATCACTGCTGTGGATATTGCGGGTAGCCAGGATTCTGTGGCTGTCCTGCTGACATACCATACACATCGTAACCTTTGGCTGGCTGCGGATACTGCTGTCTTGGTGACATCGATCTGGCATACGGGTTCTGCGAGGCCTGTGATTGCTGACCGGGCAGGTAGGGTTGACTGCCTGATTGGCTATAGGCAGCACTGGGGTCTTGGGGAAAAGGTGACTGACTGGCATAGCTCGATGCTGATTGTGGAGCGGCCCCATACCCCTGAGAGGTGTATTGTGAATATGACTGATCATACTGCCCAGGAGGCACATTACCGTCGACCGGCTTGGCTTGTTGTGACTGGCTGGCATAGGCAGCGGAGTCCGTACCGTAATAACCCTGTTGAGCCGAGGCCTGCGCGGGGAATTGGCCTTGCTGAGCCTGGCTCTGGCTCACTGCTTGGCTGCCACTGCTTTGGTAGTTTCCATACTGTTGGTAATGAGTGGGATAAGAGGACTGTTGCTGCGCAGAATAGCCTTGTTGTGAAGAAGGAGCAGGAGCACTGGAAGGGTATGATTGGTTGCTTGTTAATGAAGATGGCTGAGACTGCTGCCGTTGTTGCCCTAAAGCAATAAGCGAAATTGTACATTATCGTATTGGTGCACCTGCTGCTTTGACACGTATGAATGTACCGCATTAGGACTTTATCATCCGACCAAAGATAATTTTCGAGGCAAAATAACCTTTTCAAGTACCATCAGGTTACTTTATACGTCTGTTCAACCTCAATAATTTCTCAATTCACAATTTACTATTAATCAAAAATCTCCCCGTTTTTCCAATGGCAAATATCACTAAAAAAATTTGTGATATTGATTGATCAGACACATCCTCCTTGATTTTACTCTAGGAAATATTTCCTTGCTTTTCATCTTACCTTAGCAATTTTATATCCCTTGGTATTTTTCTTAAATGATACAGACTTGATACTTAAAACTTAATCTGCCAAATAATCCAAAACAAGCGCCATTGTAGGCTCATGATTAAGAGAACAATATATGCCGCAAAATGTGTTTCAAAGTGCGAGGTTAATGCTTTTGGAAGCTCCAATAAAACGAAGGTCTAGAGAAATACGACATCAAACTTAGAATAAGAGAAGAAGTTTCAGATGCTGAATGCCTCAATTCAAAGAAAAAGAGAATCACTCCAAGAAGAAATCAATCTCCTTTTGTGGGTTATGAGAAAGTTTGCTCAAGGAACAAATTATTGTAAAAGACACAATCCGGAAAGAGAAATAGTAGTGATAGGGAGATATGGACAAATCAGTCGTAGATGAGTAGAATAAGTCGCTCTTCACTGGAAAACATCTTGGTCATGGAAATGGTAGGTTACCTCAACACGCAAGCGATTGGTGGAAAAGTATGACCTTGTTGTGGATGAGACATCTCCATGAAGAATTCTCACAAATTGTAAAAGTAACTGGAAGGTTTTTATCAACACCAACCTTAAGCCTTTTTCAAAGAGGCTGTTTTCTAAAGCTGTAACTATCATTAAGAAACATGATAAAGTCTCTTTCTTTGAAATCGGGGAAATTTACTGTCCTAGGCCCATAATATTGGCAAACTTTGAATTTACGAATTGACAAGTATATTTGCTTGATTATATGAAATTGTTTCCACTATAAGAATTATTTTGGACTTATCTTTTCGTGCTTTTCAGCTAGCTGGAATCCTAGTACACCCTTGCAGCCAAACAAAGTTTCATAACATGTTATTAGCGCGCGAATATTATGGCAACTTAGGATCGAGTTAAATTTAATACTAAATCGAACCAACCACCTCAATACAAAGTATACGTCCCTATCGTTCGAGTTATCGGGCGCTCATATGCATAGGGGAATTTTTCTAAGGGGTGGAAATGGTTCGAGTTAAGGAAAGTTCGAGATACAGGAGGTCCGAGTTATCCGGATGAAATGTAGGGTTTTTAGAATAGCCTTGATTCTTAGAGAAATCCATAAAAACCTTTAAACTAAATTTTGAAACTATTCTTCGAAATATACACCTTTCTGGAGTTAAAAAGATGATAGGCAGGTAACACACAACGTGCGACTTAGAAAACGCATCGGGGATGCGGAGAAGTAATCATTCGAGCATCAGTACCAACGAACCAGTGCTTATGACCCCTTTTAATTAGGAAATTTGCAACCTAAGCACCAGGCAGGCAAACTGTGAATGCTCTTACCGTGTAGAAATTCATTAACTCAAAGCACGTAAAAATAAATACCTATTTCTGCAAATGGATCTGGCTTGACATCTACAGCCTCGTTTGTAGTATCGGCCTCATTCTTGATGGTCTTCAACGGGTCAAAAAGTGCAGCATGGGCCTTGCCATCAATTACTTGCTGCTTCTTAGCAGGCGCCTTCGTCTCCGGTGCTAAAAAGATACACGTTATAATCTAGCAGGCAGTTTAAAAGAAGAGAGAAACTCGTCGAGACTGCAAATCAAGTAACATAGCACAATGAAAAGGAAATAAGTGCAACTTAAGGTTACTCTTAGGTCCCGAATAAGTTTACCCAGATCAGGAATGAGCACCTTCCATTCTCAATAGTAAGGTTTAGTGAGACGTGTGCTTCATTGCGCTTAATTAGCACCCATTTGCCTAATTTTCGTATGTATCAAAATATTTTTTATATTTCTAAGAAGTGCGGCGCGGGCTGTATTGCGGTGGGATACATTACACCAAATTTTCGACCCTCCCTGCTTATTTCTACCCCCCCCCCGTTTATTGAATTTTAATAAATTTTCAACCCCCCCCCCTTTAGAGACCCCCGCCTATTCGGGACCCGAGAGTAGGTTAAACTCCAAATAAAGTAACATAGCACAATGGAATGGAAACAAGTGCAATTTCAGGTTAGGTTAAACCTGTGAGGCATTTGGTGGTTTCCTCAATAGCGTTTTCATATAGCAAAATATTGCGCAAAACAGTAAAAAATATTGCATCTATTAATAAAATATTATTTTGTGTATAGAACAGGGCGGTTCTACATTAGCTTCAACTCGAAGTTTCACACTCAATGTAACTTGTTCTCTACGCCAAAGCACATACAGCTCTACCTATACCACTTTGAGAGCATTCATAATTTATCAAAAATAGATATTCTAACTTAGTATCCTTGAATTAGCTTTTCGCTTTCAACATATTTTTCCTACTGTAAATAAATGTAAAATGACAATAATATTGATGCTATGTTATGATTAATATTGACAAAAGGTGACTTTGGTGGCCATAGAATGCAGCAGGTGGCGCAAAACAGTCGATTGTCGATAACACATTTGAAAAATTATTTGGTGATAGCTCTAATGCTGTCTTTTGTCTGACGCAGCAACAAAAAACCTGCCTAAACGTCTGATTAACGCTTGCCTCAACTCAGGAGGACAATATGTGGTTGATAAATGGAGAAAATGTCCCTAAAACAAGAGGAAAACATGTGGTCGAAGATTTCTCAAGCCAAATGAATCTCTTTCTCATCTCTAAACAGTTCCATCTATTCTGAAAGTTCTATCTTCCAGAAAATGGAGTAACAATCATCGGAATTAATTCAATCAAGAAATGCTTCCATTCAGCATTTTCATCTGGTTGGTGCGTATTTTCACTAGAGACAAGTATTTTCACTGGAGACAGATTTTCACTAGAGACAAGTATTTTCACTAGTATTTTCACTAGAGACAAGTATTTTCACTGGAGACAAGTATTTTCACTAGAGACAAGTATTTTCACTGGAGACAAGTATTTTCACTGGAGACAAGTATTTTCACTGGAGACAAGTATTTTCACTGGAGACAAGTATTTTCACTGGAGACAAGTATTTTCACTGGAGACAAGTATTTTCACGGGAGACAAGTATTTTCACGGAAATCCATTGTAAAATCATCGATGTTCCGAATTCACCACGTTGGCCCAAACACCGTGAAAACAAGGCAGAAAACCAAAGAAAAACCACTAAGGCTAATAATAACTAAGAAATGTACATTTCTGTGTTACCGAATTCCCCTTAAGAGAAATAGCTTCTAATATACATACGTCATACTCGCTTCAAAATATACAAAGCATAACATATGTAAGTATTTACAAAGAAAAAACATAGAAGATAATTTTTCTGCTAAATAAAATCTATCGCTAAAATATCTCTTGACAAAATCACATTGCCCGGAGGACAAAAATACAAACAAAGCTAGCAACGAATCAAGGCACATCACATATGTTTTACAAAAAAAGAAATTTTACAAAAAAAGAAATAAAAAAGTTCATTACGAGACAGCAAGGCGGACAAAAAAGAAATGATGATGGTTTTATGGTAATATTTAGGCATTCTATCTCCTAGGAAGAAGTCCTATATACTGGCGACTAACTTCTGACGAGCCAACCCGAATCTAGTAACTCTCTTGATCAAGCTTGAACTTTCTTAGGAAAGCAAAAGATTTGAAAAATGCACTGTCTTATTGAAAAATAGTTCTAATTTTAAATTGCATCAAAATTTGTAAAGTAACATTTGGAAGGCAGCAAACCCATAACATCATAACTTCCCTTTATTATTTTCCTTTTTTTTCCTTATCACACCAAATGAATTACCTCTACCTCATAAAGGGGACATTGCTATTTTGCACAAAATTATAAACTTTTGCAAATAATAAAATTTATTTGTAATTTCGACACCAAACAGGTAAAATTTAAACCACTAAGACAATATTCAAAGGTTTTTTACAACCAAATCGCTAAAACCCGTTCGATTTCGAAAGTTGAATATAAACTTCACAGCCCAGTTCACTGCAAGTACCGAGAGGAACAAATAAATGCTTGGGGATGGTGGTCGGGTTTTCCTAAAAAAAGAGCTGAAAATCGCAGGATACAGGAGGCTAGCACCCTGGCCTTTCTTGTAACAAAATATGGACTAGATAAACGCTTCTAAAGTTATTGGTTCAGAGTAAAGGACGGTCGTATGCCTTCTTCTCTTAACCTTGAAAACTGATAGGTTGCTTCCATACTATCTTCATCTGCTCTTAAATCGAGTTCCGTTTCTGAGATCTGACAGCGTCTTCTCACTTTTTTATTTCGATTTCGTACCCACTGTTTTACTTGCTCATGAGAAATTCCACACTTATCGGAAAGTTTCTTAACAATACCCGGCTCTAAGTGCTTTCTACCAGGCGCACCCTCTGCGTTAAATTCGTATGCATGTTCCAGTACATTTTTTGTATAGTCAGAAAACCTGGTCTTAAACCCACAAGCTTTTCTTTGCCTCTTGCTTGCTGCCTGGTTCCCTTCCTTCCCATTCACACCCGGTTTAAAGAGCTGTGTACTCCTGTCCGACTTATTATCTGCCACACTGATTTGCTGGTCCCTGCTAGGCCCTGGAGCGTTGCCAGTGTCTATATTACCCATCGGCCTAGCATCTGCACTCTCTGTCATATTCATAGGCTGTTCAGTTTGCAATACCGGTACGTGTCCCTCGAAGTCCGTGCGCATGAACGACGCTTGCATTGCAGCTTTAGACTGCTGACTATCTTCTTCAACCACGTGTCTCTCCGCACTCTGTTGCGTATTTAATAGCGATAGTTGTGGCTGTAAATTTTCCTGTGTGCTTATATTGTCTCTTTTACGAAACGGATTTATTCCGAGCTGATGCGTCAAGTCTTCTAACCTTCTCCGGGTAGCTGTCGCCGACGCTTTCTTTTTGGCTCCTAGCCCTGCGTCCAACATGTTTACATTTTCAGACGACTGTGCTCGGACCACTTGCGCAGCAATAAGAGGCTGCTGACGTAACTCATCGGCTCTGTATACATGCTGATTCAGCGAGTTAAGCACCATGGCATTTTCTATATGAGATGTTTCATCGTTGTTCGTAGGGGCTGCCATGAAAAATGTCCAAGCTTAGGATCAATGCCACCATCTTAACAGCAAACAGTTCGGGCAATATGGATCAAACTCTCGCTGGTTATGTTTCTTTCTTCGAAACTCGAAACATTCAGAAGACTTAGGCCGCCAAAAAGCTTTATTACTTAGCATGAAAAGCGCGCTAAGTATGTAAAACCCTCGCTCAAATCAAACCTGCTGTTAATTTAGCTGAAATGCGCTGATGACAGTCAAATGCGCAGGGCTTTCGAACAGTAGATTATGAAGAATGGGCAGCCTTATAGCGCTTCGTGTTAGTTAAAGCCTAAGTATAGAAAATGTATTTGATAACAGAGCACTGAAAGACTAATTAAAACAGCTATCGGGGAGCATTTTTTTGTATGTCTTAATTGTAAGATAATTTTTTTCAAATAAACATCTTGAGAACAAACTAACTGGCTTTATTCAAAATGGCAGATCGATTGAGCGAGAGTTTTCTCCATACTTCCCAATGTCAGTGAAGATAAGTATAAAAAAAATAATAAAATTCCTTGCCTCAAATAGGTAAAGGCAAATACCAATCTTGGTAAAATCGTGTCAACAAGAGTAAGGCGGTATTCTTAAAGATACATGAAAAATAAAAAAAAACGAGATTCATTTTTTGGCATTTCATTAGAGAATGAGCCTCAAAAGGCCAAATTGCTTTCTAAATAATAGCTTAAACGTAGCTTAAGTTTCTTTTAGCAAATCTCTTATTTTGATTTTTTAAAATTCTTTTCAAAAATATAAAATTTTCCATCCTTTGGTCATTACCTGGAGTTTTATGCCCTAGGTTCTTTCGGATAAAATGTGCCTTAGGGAATGGGCAAATGCAATAACGGGGGCAGATTACCGGAACCAAGTTTCTGTAGTTTGGATGGGGGATATCAAAGGGATAAGAAAATTAGTACAAATAGTTATACAAAAGCAAAAACAAATCCTGGAAAGAAAATACGTGTAAGGCAAATAGGAAAAAACGCAATGAGAAACAAATGCTTGAGTGCCGAACATACCTTGTGGTGGGGAGACTTCCTTTGTGGCTTCTGCTTCTCTATTTGCAAATTGCTTGTTGACAGTCCGTTCCTCAGAGAATGCATCCAATCTGGTTATCATATCATTAAGCTTATCCCTCATTACAAGCAGCTCTGCTTTGATTTCCTTCACCTGGTCATGTTCTAATGGTTTTGGCTTATCATTCACTGCAAAGATAATATAAATTCACACTTGATTCAGTTCTGGAATCCAGGGAAAAAAGAATGAAATAATGCTTGGTGAATAAAAAGTACTTAGTGGACAAGACCAAACAGATAATCAGGTATTCAAACAAAAGATGTAATTTCTATCCTAGCAACTTGAACTTTTGAAGAAAGCTAATGTCTTATAATTGAAAATTACAAAAGAAAAAATGATGGAATTATGAAAAGTTAGCCAAAGCAGCAATATTACCAAAAAATACAACATGCATTGCTGAAGTGTGAAGAAACATTAATTGCCAGGCTGTGAATTATCTGTAACTTTATAAACGTAACTGTGTAAATCATCTCTTTGTACAAATACCTTGCACAAAAAGCTATAGGAACGCTATTATTTAGCAAGAATTGCAATGGTTCCTATCATATCCTGTGACTTTCCATCGTTGGTGTTCGCTTCGACGAATCTTATTTAACGTGCAGAGAACACGGAGCCAGTGAGAGAGACAGTGTGTTGCCTGTGTAACTCTGATGTGAACTGAACTTGACTGAACTTGACTGACTGAATTACATACAAATTAATATACTTATATACAAAATAAATGTGCTGAGTAATGATATGTTGTGATGATGTAATGATGATGCAATGGAGAAGGAAAGATCTAGGCTTGGGAAGAAATCAGCATGACATAGATGTGTGAACGTGTGATCAATGGTAAAGGGAATTTCATGTGCTAGGTGATGCTGTGAATGCCGTAGTTGGATGTCATGGTGATGGCATGAAGTAGGAATATGGCCTTATTTACAGTATTAAAATCACTACAAAGCTCCAAATGGGTGTTTCTACTCACCAAACAAAGTGATCTTCAAGTATCTGCTGAGCGACTTTGCAAATGAAAGATCAGTGCTATCAAATATCGTTATCAAGTCTCCATCTGCAAAAAAGAAAAAGATGACTATTGGATCTAGAAAGCTGTCCATTCAGGCCCAGATGTTATTGGCTATGAAAATTTTTATAATTGCCATATGGTAAGCAATTTTTCCCCAACACTTCTTAACTTTTAACAGCCTAACAGCCATAAAGTACTTTGAGTGTTTCACAAGCCTCCTTAATCAATGCTTTTATTGGAAATTTTGGGCTTAGAGACCTCTAGTTCGGGTTGTTTGTTGAGTCTGTCTTCTGGTTAGAAAATTGGGGGCCTGAGCCCCATCACCCAAAGAAAACCTGAAACTGAACCGTTTGGATTGCCTGTTCGATACTTAAAAAAATCTAGCCTGAAAAATCTTGGATTTTATCAAAACTTCTATGTGCATTATGATGTACATAACACAATATGTTCATCCTCCTTCCAACATTATCAGACAGTCAGCCTTTACAAGCACAAATAAGTATAAATCAATATTCGATAAGATAAAGAGCTGAAATCTGAAAACCTGGAAGATGAAAGGAAGCTTATATGACTGTGTTGTTTTAAACATAAAAATTAATTCCCTTTATCAATTTACTGATGGATTACTAGATAATAAAGTAGGGTAACTTAAAAATTGATGATTTTTGGCTAGCAAAACCAATGTGTATAAAAAAGTTTATAAAGACTGTTTATTATCTAGATTGGCTGCCTGCTTCAGGATAGAACAACTAATGTCAAACATTTGGGAGACATTAATCTCATTAGATGATAAGATCTCAACCAATGGGAAATGTGTTCTGTACTTGTGTTTATTGCTACCTTGAGTCTCAAAATAGTTTTTTAGGACACTGAGAACCTGTGCTTTTTACATAATGACCTGGCTTTTTCTCTCAATGAGACCACACCTCATGATTCACACACCTGAAATTACATAGAGCTGCTGACCCAATCGTAACTCAAAGTGAAGATTGATCATGTCAGTGACTAGAACCACAGAAGACCTTTGGATTTATAGTCTGCAAACATCACCACTGAGCACTTGGAAAGGTTCATCTTGCTAAAAAGCTTTTAATGAGCTTTGTTAAAAATTATAAAACATTCCCCAACCTTGAGATTTAAAATCCTGGTAAGTGAATGTTTTCAAGAAAAAATATTAGCACTAATCAGTGCTCTTAAAACACAGGTTGATAACATTCAGGACCCATAAGGTTTATCAATGTAAACACAGCTTTGTATAAGAGTCAATGAGCTAAATTCTCACACACTTATTCAAAACTTTAATGATTCTGTAAATCCTTTGCGCCTGATAGATGAAAGTAATGAGAGCATCAAAACAGTTTTGGTACCCTGCCATATTTATGATAAAGATAGATGTAATATTCAGTGCAAGGTAATATGACCACCCAATGGATTAATAAACCTCAGAAATGTATTTTTACAGCAAATCATCCAAAAGGGCCACAAAACATTATCTTTGAATACAAATACAATAAATCTTGTGACAAAAATGAAATATATTTGGGCATCAGAACAGTTTTAGTAAGCTGTTTAAAGTCTTGGTTTCATGGTATTTGTCTTTTCTTGAAAAATTGGAATTTTTCCGACCTGAATCGTAGAACCTAATTGCATACCAGGGCCTTGGTGAAAATGGTCTAGTTTGCATACAAAAACGCTGAAGCCAAATCCAAGCTATGCAGAGCATGACTTACAGGATAAAACAACAGCCTGTAAATTATGAAGGCTAAAGTTAGTCTGTATTAAATAATTTGAATATTGAATCGTTGAAAAGATATGTAAGGTTTTCAGACCTGTCAAGTTTCAGTTTTGAAAATGAGTGAGCTTTGAGAAAAACAGGAGCAACATCGGCGTTGAGGCGGTAAAAAGGGTGTGGCCTAGAATTTGTTGTTTACCCCCCCCCCCTGACCCTAGTGACTGGTGCTGCAGTACAGGGATGGTCAAACAGTGATGGAATGTCAAAGCACACACAAAAGAAAATTCCCAATTTCCACACACAACACAGTTATTTTTCTTCTTTGTGTCATGTGCTAAGGCTTGACAGTTGTGCTCCTCCAAACTTCTCTATCTTTACATGCTTGAATGAGTTCATTTCCATTTTTGCTGCTAGTCCATCCTTTGATGTTGCTCAAATACATAATTCTCCGTCTGCCTCTTGCTCTTTTACCTTCTACTTTTCCAGTTGGTGATAGGTTCTCTATGCCTTTTTCTGCACAACATGTCCCCAAAATGTCATTTCCTGTCCGTTGTTGGTCTGCAACAATTTTCGCTTCACGTTAACAATTATGATTACTTGCTCATTTGATATCTTATCAGTCCATGAAATCTTCAGCATTTTTTCATTCTAACAATTCAGGATTCTTTGTCTCGTTGACATAGTAATGTTTGAACTTGATAACATAGATATCTTTTTATTGAATGACAACAGATATATGAGACGTTAACAGGATAAAATAGGAACTAAAAACAAAGGTTTACATGTTCAAGAAACAGAAAATAAAATACAGAGTGACCCTAATAGTACAGTACTAAAGCCAAAATGTACTTAAATGTAATTAGTAGATTAGAATGACTTTGAATTAGAATTGCTTCATTATTTCCAATATGTTTATCCAGTGCTATAAGTCATTTTTTGTAAATGATTTTCATTATAGTTCCATGTACTACTTTTTGATTTCTTTAGCAGTTCACTGGAGGGTTGAAACTTGACAGCATTGGCATTTGCAAGCTTGGCAGTAAGAATCGAGTACAGAGTACATTGATAAACTTGAACAGAATGGTGCTTTATTGTTTCTAACCATGCTAAAAACCCTTTCTTCCCCAGCATTGCCATGAAGCAGTACCAAGGCAACTTTGGCAACTGTGAATAGCCTGGTAAACTTCTTCTTCTCCTTCTTTTTCGATTGTCAGAGCATCATTCCAAATATCTTTTAGAATGTCTGTTTCACTCAGTAATTGGTATGCAAGAAATTCTTCTTGCATTTAATTTAGTTCCTTGGGACTAAACTCTAGTCCAAATCTATGAATGAAATATTCCACATCCACAAAATCACAGTACTCTCTGTTGTTAAAATGGACAAAAACTGAATGTTTTAATAAATCATCACCAAGATGCAGTTTTTCTATGCCATATCTTGTGACAGAAATAAAACTGCATAACAGCATCCACAAATTTGTCTTTTTCATATGTAGAAATATTCCATCATTCAGAAGCCCATGTAGTTTGCTTCTTGTCACAATACAAATGAATAACGAGGATTTATCTTGCCTTGTGATATGGACTGATCTTTTTATGGCATCTAAGGTAAGGAATTTGCCCATTAATTGTTTAATTAAGTTTGAAGCTGTTCATGGACAAGTTAGATACAAGGGTCTTCCCACTGCAAAACGATTTGTTGTTGAGAATGCCTGCATAATGGAATTATAAAACAGTACATATACTTCTGTCAGTGGTCTTTCAAAGTGGCTTTTCAGACGTTGAAATATAGAGCAGGAGTCATCTTCACTTGAAAAATAGCTTGTAAGACCTTGGTATTGTTTCAAGGTACAATCTACTGCCTGCTCCAAACCAAGCCATCTGACATTAACATATTTGCAAAACTCTTGCAAAACACCTTTTCTTTTGCTCCAGTAGCTTGAGTAAATACAGCAGCATTTGCATGAACAGTGTTGTGAATAATGTGACACGGACAGCTCATGAAGTAGCAGGTAGGGCTCTTTTTTAGTACTCGATTTACAATAGAATTGTGTGCTCCAAAATACACACTGGTGTTATCAACAGAAAAACTTACATAGTTTTTCCGTGGCACATCATTTCTAATGCAGCCAATTTTTCATAAACCTTATTAAATATCGTTAGAGCTTTGCCATAGCCCTTTCCTGATGTACAACACTTATCCAAAAATTGTGTTACAACACAATTTTTGTTAATGTCAAAAAGACGCAGTGACTGAATTCATCTTTTCAATATCTGAGTCATATGAACCGTCAGTGGACAATGAAAAGAAATCCGAACAGTGTTCTTGAGAAAGTGTGGAGCCAATGCTTCATTCAAAATGCATGTCGATTTGGTCCTTTTTGATCCATATTCTTTGGCTAGTTTGCTGTCTGTGAAATATCTTTAAAAATATCACTAAGCTTGTCTGCAAAAGCCATCTGGATGTTGTTTTCTGCATGTATTATCTAAAACAATATTCTTTTATCAAAAATGAAATAATGTAAGAAGTCACAGCTGAAATTGGGGCAGTAAAACACTGTCACATATCCATGGGGAAATGTCCTGGAGGGGGGGCCAAACTGGGTTGTGTGGAAATATTGGTGGGTTGGAAGTCCAAAAAATTTCTAAATATGGTTATCTGAAATGCATTGATTCCCAAAGATATGTGGTCTCTTCCATGCTACAGTGGAACCCCACCTTACAGCCACTTCGTGAATACGGCCACCCCATTATACAGCCACCTCCTTAATACAGCCACATTTGTTTGGCCTCGAAAAACGGCTATACATAGTCTCATAAAATAAAGCCCCGTTAATACGGCCAGCAGCCAGATTTTGCGATGATACGGCCATACGACTAGTTATTTAACATATTAACAATTTTTGGTGACCATATTAACAGGGTTTCACTGTACTTACAGTTGATTTCATAAAACTTAAAACTGGGTATTTTTTATCCAAAACCCTCAACGTAGGTAATCTTTCCATATTTTGAGAGCCATGCCCCTGTAATGTTTTGGTTGAAATAACCCCCCCCCCTTCCAGGGGGAAATGTCTATAAGAAATAACCTACCTGCTCTTGAACTGGGTCTGTTTCAGTTCTGAAGCCAAGGCTTGAGAGTTTTATAGTGATGATGCACTTTTCATTCGTACCTTGTCCTTTACACCATCTAAGTGCCTAGAAACATCTGCTTTGCCTTGATGTGAACAGCTACAAATTTTGCAACATACTGTGCACCTAAATTTATGCTCTGATCCAGTAATACCATCTATACAGGTCCATTTCTATGTCCAGTTTGGATTGAATGGTTTATTAGAAGACGAAGGTTCAGAAAACTTCATTTTCTTTGACGGAGTATCTCAGAGAGACCTATCTCTTTCTGAATCGAGTGAAACGGTTCTTTTCTCCATAATGGGTTTCAACTGGTCTTAATCAAAAGAATGCCCAGTGGTTTCAACGGAAAGAACAAAAACATCGCTTCTATATCAGTCTAGTGATTGAGCAAATTATCACTTTGCAAAGTGTGCAAACCCTCAAAGTCTTTAGTTGAAATTTTCCCTATGGTTGCAGATAAGAACTTCCCTTTGTCACACTGAGCAAATTCCTGATAGGTTGGGTCCGCTCAGAGGCATTAATTGTATGGCTTTGCTGTGTTTGCCACCCTACTTGGAGTCACTTTCTATCCTGTAGCCAAGCCTTTTTACAAACAAAGGTTTAGGCTAGAGTTTAGAAAACAAAATAAAAAGTTTGAAGACGCCAAAAAATTTTAGTAGATTGTGTGAGAATTCTTCATTGATGAATGTGAGTCAAGGGCAAAATGCCTGTGTCTCACGCATAAAATTCGAAACTTGGAAGGTCTGGGTTTTAATTAAAACTTCGAGGTGGCACAAATTAATTTTTGACTATTGGTGCAAGGTAAGAAAGTAAATTTAGTCTGAAATAAACAACTTTTAATAAATTCCGCCTGAAACCCCCTGCCTCTAAAATCCCAGATCGGTTAAATGGGACAAATCTTACTTCTCAATTATCTCTAAACATATGTAGAAAAAATCGGTCGTCTCGACGGGAGGGGGTAATAATATCAAAACTGGATTCTACAGAAAGGTGACCAACAAATGCCAGGGTTTGAAACTCACAACAATGTTTCACAAGTTTTAGCATACAGCCAAGACAGTGCATCGGTATTTTAATATGGCTTTTACGAGTGATATGAAACACTCAATGATATCAAGCTTTTGCGAGTTTGAGCTCAGTTTGACGAAACGAATGAAAGCGCTGTTCAAAATTAGGAGTCCAGACGATGAACTATTTAGGGGAATAACAGCATATCTTTCCAATCAATCAGATTATTCACCCATCGAGGAAAAACTGCAGTCGTACCTTCATCCTTATATTTGATCAGCACGTCATCAGTGCTTCTTATTTTTCCTCGGAAGAGCCGTTGCATCATCAACAGCAGTTCGTCATAGGTGATGTCCTCGTTGTGGATCGGAATTCTTCGTATATCATCTCCGAGTTGTGCTTTAATTATCAACTTGCCAGATAAATCGATTTGTGGCGAAGGGAAATTCATTGTCCCTGTCGACATAGTTTCTGTTAAGCAATATTTAGGCCGTTTTCTCAAAAAACGATACAGAATCTTCGGTTTCTTCACTTGACCTTCCCCAGCCCGCGGCCTCCTCCACCGTCGCTTCTTGTTCCGTTAGGACACAACAACAAAGCCTCGGCTTCACAACGCGGCACACGGTCAATCAAACACCAATCTCGATGATCCTGATCCAACATTATTTTTTCAAAATTGTTTTAAAAAAAATTTAGATAGGCAAGATTTTCAAAATACTGTGATTCTGCTTCCAAGTGCACGATTTCTTTGCATCTGCAAGGTGAACTTACAGACAAAACTATGGTGGTGCAGTACTTATTTCTCCTTTCCCATTTTCTTTTTTGCCATTTCCCCCCAAAGTTCTAAGCTCCTTCGAATCTTTACGGCTCTGGCATCCTGGTTAGTGAAGTGGTACCCTGGGTACCAGAGCCGCAAAAATTAAAATTAAAAAATAATGAGAGCTGCGGAGGCGAAGAGAGAGAAGAGAGGAGAAGAAAAGCGGTTTTATTCTTCTCTCTTCTCTCTCCTTCGCCTCCGCAGCTCTCATTATTTTTAATTTTAATCTCATTATTTTTTAATTTTAATTTTTGCAGCTCTGGTACCCATGGTAGTGAAGTGGCAGCCATTGAAACTTTTCTTTCATTATCAGCAACAATTCCAGAGCTTTGAAAATTACAGTAGAACCTTGACAAGTTAAAATCCCGAGTGTAATTAAGAATCTTTTTCAAATACTGCCAAGAACTGCCAAGTGGTTCAAATACTGTAAAATTATGCGATTAATAGTTCTTTACCCCAGACCCCCTACTTTCTAGAAACTGTGCCACTGTGGTCACCGTAATATATCTTTGTGATTACTAAAATGGATTCTGGGAAGATAATGAGAGCAGTGTAATTGACTTCGAAAGTAGTGTTGAGGTTAGAGGTACAACTTAATCTATAAGGAATCAAGATATCTGCAGCAGCCTAGCGAGCAATCATCATTTTCAATCTTTTAGACAAATATTGTGTATGGCTTATAGCAAAAAAGTACTAAGACTGCGTACATTCAAAAGTGAAAGTGATGCAATCCCGATAATATGTTTTGCATCTAGATTCGTGTGCATGGAAAGCCGTGCCTTCAAGCCTGAACGACACGAAAATGTATAGCTCTAAATGCAACCCTGGTACAGAACGTCCAACTTCAAATACAAACAAATGTTCTTTTTCACATACGATGTATCCGAAAGACAGCAGGCACTGCGGAGCGGGTGGGGGGGGGGGGCTGGGGGGCTTAAGCCCATCCCCCCACTTTTTGCAAAGAATGCCAAATATGAATTATCAAACTACCAGAAAAGGCTTTTTTTATACGGTTTTAGCCCCCCCCCCCACTTTCTTAGACCCCCCATTTTTCTCAACGCTCCGCGGTGCCTGAGACACCAGTTATTACCGAGTCATGTCAAAGTGACTAAAAGACAGTCGACAGATACTTAAAGACTCATTGCTAACAATGAGCCTTTGCGAGGGTGGCAAATTATCCAGGTGACAATCCAAACAATAGCAGCAAATTTCTACGGATTAACTATAATTGATTTCAGAGTGTCTGAAAATGCATTATGGGATGCTTGCGTAGCGCAATGGCTCATTGTTAGCAATGAGTCTTTAGCTACCTGTCAATCAACTATTGGCCAATTATCCAAGGTCTGAGTGGTATCAAGCTTATTGATTGGGCAATATTCAATTAACAGATGGGCCACTTTGCTTTCTTTCTATTGCCTTTAAGTTCCCGGAAAACTTTTAACTGTTAAACTGTCTGCCAGAAATTAACGATAGCAGAGAAAAAAGTGATAAAAAGGTTTCAGTTTAATTTTTACTGTAAAAACTATTTAGAATTTACATATAATACTTGCTTTTAAGAAGTATTTCTATTGGTTTGTAATAATAATTGTAATAATCCTATTGCTTTATAATGTTTTCACGCATAGGACGTATCGTAGAAACATTTCAAATGATTTCATCTTAACTGTTGTGACTTGGGCGGTACAAAAGTGTGTACCACAGAGAGAAACATGTTTTCTAATAAGAAGATATATATATATGTAATTATTTTTACTCAAGAGAGATAATGCCTCGTGCTCTTAATACTGACCATGAGAGGGCGTAATGCGACGAGATGCCGAAAATGCCAAATATGATGAGACCTTTTCACCATGTGTCCCGGAGCCCTATACCCAAATGGAGGTTTTCTATCTCCTTCGCAATATCAATTGCTAAGGTCAGAAAAGCCTAGCCGAAAGTCTGGGAGAGCCCATTTGCAAACAAATGCGTATTGATCTGAAATAGAGAAAATTAGGAAATAGCTCAAAGAAGGGACACCAGGAAGTGTGGTAACGAATAAACTCATAACCTAGTCTCCAAAAAGAGGTTAAAATCACTTCTTAAGTGCAGCAAATTCAATCCTTTGGTTTTTTAGTAATGAAAAAGATATCATACTGCATACGATCAGGAGAGAAAGACAATGACTACCTCATGGCCTATCCTATACTTTGGTGTCTTACTCACTACTACCTTGTCTTCAAAAAAAACATGTAGATAGAATATCTTGTCTTTGTTCCTTTCAAGTTAAGGATATGGGAAATGGCCCCTTTTTTGTTCGAAGGTACAAAGGTAATATTCTACTGCAACAATCAGTCTGAAAGTTTTATTAATTTGCTTGTGTACATAGGCCCCCAGTTTTGCATGGGGGTTGGCAGTACTAAACAACCCAGCTTTGCATATTGACTGAGAAAGAATGCATTCCCACCAAAAGCTTTAACTGAAGATGACAAATCAACTATCTTTGTCTTTATACCGAATCTTTCATATGCTTGTTGAGTGCCCGGTGAAATTACATCATCATTTTCTATTTGCGACAGTGTACATGTGGAGTAGACGACTACCCCTCCAACCTTCACAGTTCGCAGGGCCGATACAAGAAGTTCTTTTTGAAGTTTTGCGAATTCTCGTGACTTTTTCACTGACCAGCCAGCCATCCGGAAATCGTCTTGAATCAAATGTCTATCGGAGGAACAAGGAGCGTCCAAAAGAACCCTATCGAATGTGTTTGGCTCATGCTCGCCAAATTTGATACCATTCAAGTTTGTGATCTTGACTTTCTGCAATCTGCGATTCGGAACGTATTCTCTTAACACCTAGAATAGAGCGTAGATTTTAATCATTTTAATACTATGTAACATACCATTGAAAGCCAGGTTATAACTTATTTAGCAAAGGAACACGGGAATATAATCAAATGATGAAATTAATGTCGGTAATTTTAAGCAAAAGCAAGTAGAAAACAATATGTACGTACATATCACATGACATGGAATCGGAAAAAGGCATATATATATATCTGACAATTTTCAATGGTATGTCCTAGATTACTCTTAACATGAAATTCTTGAATATCAATAAAAAAGGGTTATTGTTAACATGACTGGTACACAGAACATGTAATTATCTCCTGACCAATCAAAACCCGCCACTTAGCAACTGGATCAATGGGCACGTAGCTGATTCCGAACACGATGCAACTCCCCCTCCCCCCCCTCCTTATCATGTAACATTGACTATAGTCCATTGTTTTGATGAAAGTCACGAAATGAAAACGATGACTCACAATATGAATAGCAATGGATTCTGACAAGATGATTGTTAGACTTTAGATAGAAATGATGAAGAGGTTATAACAATTTAATCAGGTTTGCTTCTAGCACAATTCACTGCGCTTGTCTAACACTACAAAAATTCAAAGTCTGCCAATGATCGATAATTTGTACCTGCTAAAGGTTCGCCTTCCAATGAATACTCTAAACAGTGACATTGGCTAGATAGTAGACTACAGGTTGGTCTAGGAAAAACCAATCAATCGTCCTTAATGAATTTTGAAAACAACTTTGAACCGCGTCTGCAAATGCTTCCACGACCAAATGCAGATAACATTTAGTTGAGTTCTTATTTCAAAATTGATTTATCAAAATTTTCAGTACGAGAAAACACATTTTCAAAGCATTTTCCGTCCAACTTTTCCGTTCTTACGTTTTTTGGCAAATTGAACATCGGATTTCATATAATGTGTGTATTCCGCAACGACACAGCAAAAATACCTAAAAGACATAGCTTTTATTTGAACTATCAACTGCGAGCAGATTGGAAACGATTTATATAATTCATACTTCTTTGTGTTAAAATATTATTGCAATTTTCTGTTCGAACAAAAAATTTGGGCGGCCTTCTACAGAACGTCTGAAAAAATAGCACGGTTGCTTTTAGTTTCTTGTAATGAAACTATCGCTATGAAGCATCGACTGCACGCACCGATTGGCTACAACATAACCAATCAAATGGGTCAAACCTCATTTCATGCATATTTTAATTGCCACAGTTATGCATTACGCAGAGAACAGTCAACAAATTTAAGATCTTAAAAAACGTTCTGTGCTCATAATTTTTGTTTAATCTTTGTAAAAACATAATGGTCGCAAATTTTACAAATTTCAATCATGATTTGCCTAAATCAATCAAAAACTTTAAAAAAAAATAAAATGCTTCCTTTTTATATATCAGCGGTTTTCAATGAGCACGAATTGCATAGAAATGGAGTATAGGTAATCAAACATACATAGCTCTGTTTGCAAACAAACATTATTTGTGAATTAGCTTTTGAACAATGAATTCCAGCTAAAAGAGACCAAGATGTGTTGTTACAGAAAGATCGTTTATGATCACAATATGATTGTTTATATAGATCCTCCAGGTTAGTACACAGGTTATTGCGATCAGATGGCAACAGCGCATTTCAGCCTAAACGGTCTGATGTTATTTTAACTTTACAAATATAAATCACAGTGCGAATCAAAATGTGAAATAAATAATTAAATAGGCACCGCTAAAGCATAAAAAGGCACGGCATTAAGCAGCTGCTTGGCTGCAAAATGGCAGCGTTATGGAGAGAATTCTCAGAAGCAACCACTGTGCATGGACTAAGATTTGTCAACTTTGGACAGTCTTTGAAAAGAAGACTTTTTTGGGGAGCACTGGTTCTCGTAGGGACCGCACTTTTTGCCTCCCAGTTCATAGAGACAGTAGGTAATTACTTCAAGTTTAAAGTGAATACTGTTGTATACCTGTCAAATGATGGAAATACTAAATTTCCCGCCATCACGATTTGCAACCAGAATGCCTTACGTAAAAGCAAACTGGAAGCAAATAAACACGATGCCATTGTTCAATCGCTTCTGTACATGACAAGAAAGTTTATAGATAACAGTACCTCAAACAAGAGCACTCCAGATGGCCACATCACTGGCCAACAACTACGGGACTTGTACTTCAAGTATGGTCACAGTATGGAGCACATCGATGAAGGTGGGATGCTGGAGTTTTGCCGGACGCCGGACGGCAGTCTATGTTCCGCCAAGGACTTTGTGCGAACGTTAACATTTGCTGGACTATGCTACACCCTTAACTCGATGCGAACTGCGCAAATGAAGACTGCATATTCGAGTCTTTCTGGCAACCTGGCGTCCATAAGACTTATCCTTTCAACTCAGGTAAAATAAATAACTTCCATGTACGAGCTATTTGAGTCAATTTGTTCAAATTGTGATTAGGCAGACCTTCTAGATGATTGAAACGAAATCTGGAGTTCTTTATAATATTTCCTGTAAACCCTAGGAATTTGATAAAATTCTTTAGAAAACTAATGATTTGGTCCAATTTTTAGTCTGCATGCAAACTCAATTACTAGTATTTCACGTAGGAAAGGTTTTGGTGTCTGCATGCAGTTTCTACATTTTGATAAGAACGTACTTTGAATGATTTGTAAATAAAGGAATTTTTCATTCATGAAAAGTTAGAAGACAGGCACTTGAAGCTGTTCACTTAATAATATTTAGGGAAATTCACCTACCGGGGTTCTCAACTTTGAAAGTTAAGAGGAGGCTCAATAGGGAGGCAAACAGACTCCGAGGGGCTTCGGGTGAGCCCCAATAGGAAAAAAGGAAATGGCGAATGGCGCTCGATTTTGGTACGTCAGAAATTGTAAAAAAACCAAAGCACTTTAAAAACACGGGATCCTCAACATACATTGAACATGGAGCATTAATTAAAGTGGGTTTAGTAAACGTTAAGTCTCTCCACTCGCATTGATTAGCGCATCGTTCATATTTAGCGCCACATAGTACATGATTCAGCACATTCTGTAACAAAGAAGGTTTTTAGAAAATTGAGAGAGCTTAGGAAATGGCTTAAATTTTGAAAATACCTATGAGTTGATTCTTTACTAGGAAGACAAGTTTTGTGATTATCAACATAGGCTCTAGGTTATTGTGGTATCTTGGAAACCAGCGCACTATGTTAGCCAGACAACGACAAATTGAGGATTTTCAAATAAATTTCTACATATTTGTTTAAAAATTAAATCTCTATAAATTTGGAGCCCTTGTACAAAGACAAATATGAAGCTATGACTTGCCATACGTCTACAGCAAAAAAACCAAATAGTTTGAAAGTAGTTTGAGCCTGGTGCCAACTGATTTGATCACATGACTTTGATCCAGTGCGTTCTTTCACAGGTTGATGAGTATTCAGAGGCAATTGGAAAATCATCGTCAACAGGTATAAGATTATTGGTTCACGATCAGCTGGATCCGCCTCTTGCAGATACACATGGCATGACAATTGGGCCGGGCGTGGCTGCATCTATTGGTATACGTAAGCAAAAGGTAATTCCCCATCCCGAAGGCTTATTGGTGCCGTGATCACAGTAGCAGAATTACTTAATTACTTCAGTTTCTCATGCAAATACAATTCTCAACAAACGTAGCTTGTGTTTTGAAAACAAAATTACCCAAGACAGTCATTTCTTGGTTTTTCCTTCACAGCAGATACTGAACAAGCAGTGTAATCGTTGCTTTATTTTCCTTATATTTGGTGTCGATTGCACATTATTTCGATGAGCCATTACATAAAATCATTAGGGTTCGTCATTTTTTGCTTCGTTACTGATTTATCTGGGTTTTATATTACAACATGTTGCAAAAGATTCACCGATAAAATGCGAGGAAGTATGCAAAGGATATGACTTGAGTGAAGACAAGAAAGGAAGGGGACAAAAAGATTGTCCGAAAATGGACCACTCCCTTCAAATATTTCCCGGCAACCCGCGGCCCGCGGGTCACATGCGGCCCGCAAGGTACTTTTGTGTGGCCCGGAAGGCCCCTGTTAACCTGTAAATAATTTGGCCCAGTGCATGAGTGTCGGCCCGGATTCAGTGATCCTAGAGTCTTGTCTAGATTAGCATTCCTCGTTGTCATTACTAGTCACTCGAACAAGCTGAACAAGAAGCTTCAAGGACATGTTCAATTTGTTAATGTCATGTATGAGCATGTTGTCATGTTCCTGGTCATGCTACATTTTTGAAAAACACAGCTAAATCAAGGGAACTTAGTTCATTTTCCATCTTCAAATGAAGTTGATCGAGCTGCAGGGTACCGGTGAATTGAAACAGAAATACAAGGAAACTCATATCATCCAGTTTTATATGGAGTATCTCCATGGTGGATGATGTGTTGCATGTTTGGCAGTATTTACCTTTGCGAAAGTCTCTTCTCAAATATGAAGTATGCGAAGAGTCGACTGCGATCTCGAATGATTGATCAGCACCTTGAAGACAACTTGCGGCTGCCAACATCAACAATTCTGCCAAATATTGAGAAGTTCGACAAGGACATGCAGCACCAACTTGCACATTAGCTTCTTGTAATATACTGACCAGTGAACATGTACTTCACATCTATGTTTTTATTTACGTACAGCTTCCACGTTACAGATAATTTTCCGATAAATATAATTTTATTGATTAGATTAGCAGTTAGGTAGAATTGGTATATGTTAAAATTATACGGTTTTTTGAGTTGCGGCCCTGGTATGCATTTCCACCGCATTTCAGGAATCAAATTTGGCCCCCTGTTTTATAAAGGTTGCCGACCCCTGATTTAGGTCATTGTATTTTCAGCGTTGAACAAATCAACAAAGTTCATTCTTTTAGATCAAAAGTAAAAAGTATCCTTTCGAATCCGAATGCGATGACAAGAAACTAGGCCCCGGAGTTCCATATTCAAGGCTGGGGTGCCTGAGAAGATGTCAAGAAAAGTTTGTTGTCAAGAAATGTGGATGCAATAATATCGTCGATACAATTTTAAATCGTAAGTTATTCATCTTGGATCAAACAAAGCTTCGCCATTTTTAAAGTTCATGGTCAAACGAACATTGTTCACCACAAAATAGATTTTTATGTAATGACGTCATCAAATCTATGCTTAGAACTTTTGAATTTGCATGGAATAAACCAAGAGAGCATTATTATATACAGATTATGCTTGAAATCAGTTGAATTTGTTTCAAAAGGCTGACACATTGCGACAGTAGTACGGGGTCATTCCACCATCAAATCATTTACTTTTGTCTCTGTTTTAAACATTATGAACAAAGACAATAAAACTGCAATCCGTCAACAAACAACAAAATCTTTATTGATCATTTCCACTAAATTATGAAAACAATTTACAAATTAATATATTTTTAATTATCATGGCGTTCTTTAAATCTATGTGATCAAAAATCGAAAAAACTGAAAGTACTTCATTCAAAATATAACAATTGGGAATTCTATAAACTCATCATAGAACAACCGTTGTTTAATTTTTGAGGGGAGTGCATGCTATTTAGGCCTGTTCATTAACTTCACAGGGTTAAAAGAAATATTTTCGTTTCTAATCATCTTTTGGGAAAGAAAGAATAGATCATAAAAATATAAAAAAATTGCATTAATTAGTAGTGCAAGTAGAATACCCGGAACCTTGCCAGTAAGTGGACACAGGAATTTCCCAGTCACTGGATTACAGCGACCTAACCAGCTTTTATGAAATAATGATTTACACACGGAATGTTGTAATTAGGGATGGACAAGATACTCTGACAAATATCCTATTGCAAGATACTAGTTAGTCATGAACAAAAAAGTAGAAAACTGGTGCAAAGCGACTGGGCTAATGAGATTGAAAATATTAACAGAATAAGGATTAATACGAGCAACCGAAGTAATTCATAAACGACTGATAACTTATTAAGCAAAAAATGGGTAATGAATTGCGCACCCGGAGAACCACAGCAGAGCAAGAATAGAACCATAGCAGAGCAAGATTAGAACCACAACAGATCAAGATTAGAACCACAGCATCTTATCATATATAATTGGTCAGAACCAGACTTAGATAAAGTTTCTGAATGAAATATATCAAATGAAAGATGTTTATACTATTTCATATCAAGAACGAGGCACTGAGGGTGCTTTAGTAATGATATCTTGTCAATAACAACGCCTAATAAAATCAATAACGGAGCACAGAAAATATTTGGCTTATTTTTTCTTTAGCTATTTATCATTAATTATTAGTCTCAGTAATTTCACAAGAATTTATTGCTGTCCATTTCTTCATTTAGAATTGCTCCAAAACAAGATAAAGAGATAAAGAACTTTATTTTATCTTGGCAACAAGCAGGTCACAATACCCAGTAAAAACAATGGCCTGAGATCCATTCGAGGCATATTCCTTGCTCTGATCACTCAAAACTCTTTGTTTTTCTTTTTTAACAATAGAAACTGGAATTAAAAGATGTGACATGGATCAAACATTCATGTGTGCTTTACCAGCTGCAACAGGTGATTTGAGCTATTTTGTCTTCCTCATTTGTATCATTCACTTGGCAATAATGACACATTTCTATTTTCACCACTGGGTTCACGTCGGTTACTAAGGAAATTGTTATGAATAAACGAAGAGGAGACTAAATTTATGAAACAGAGATATTGTTTTCATTTAGAGGCTCATTCACGGTTAAAACAGCATGTTTGCTGTCAAATTTAGTTTAAAAATTACAAATATGTCAATTAACTTCATATTGGCGAAAAATAAAATTAACAAGAGCACCATATCATGACATAATTTTTGTTTAGCTTCAAAAAAATAAGCATTTTGTTTAGCATAGCTTAAAAAAAGCATTTATAACAAACACAACCTCAAATGATTTCAAATTTTTAAAATATAAAGTCTGATGTTTTTCCATTTATCTTATTCAGAAACATTTAATAACCAGAAGATCAAGTGTTCTTGCCCATTTGCCTGTGAATCTACCGAGTATATACCGACCCTTTCATATTCACCATACCCCTCAGACATCGAGGGTAGAAAATTGGCAATAAAGCATTTAACAAAAATGAAGAAAAATACCACAGAAGAGGCAATACAAGAATTTATCAAAGAGGAGAGGTACTATTGTTCTGTTTAATTTACTTATCTTCTCTATTTCATTTCCATTGTTTTTGCGTATGTTGGTTATATATGAAAGAAAATAAGCTATAAACGAATGTGCTAGACATCGTTCTAATGCAGCTATAAAAATAATGAAAATATCAGACAAAAGTAAATACAAAAACGAATCAAAGAAGAGAGGGGCTACAGTAGTCTCCCGTTACAGTCATACCACTCTTGTTGCTAGATGTTGCTTGAAACGTTATGACTAAAAGCGAAGGGTGACCTATAAACAGAGCTAAATTGAACAGTTTTGGAAGTCTGGGATACACTGTTGTGCGACTGTAACCAGCAGTGTGACTTGAGCGGAGTCTACTGTTTTACTTAAATTAACTAGCTTCTTCACTTTAATTCTATTGCCTTTTTCATGTTGGTTAAATGTAAAAGATCAAGCTAAGATCCAATGAGAAGAATATCGTTTAATAAGGTTCTTTAGATTCATTCATTTAATTTCATTTTTGCTTCTCCTTTTAGAAGGAACAAAATAATTATTGACATCTTTTATCATCAACTGGATTACTTGACTATGATGCATGTTCCAGCAACAACCGGAGGTGGCCTTATTGGTGAGAAATTCCCCAGTAATAGAATTCTAAAACTTGACTCAGTTCAGAGCTTAATTAATTAAAAAAAATCCTTCTAGGTAAGGGCCATACTAATATGTAATCATAATCATATACAAAGACAACAAATTTTTTAGCGTTTTTGTTGAGAAATAGTTTGGACTAGAAAGCCCTGAGTTTATCTAAAAGTACCATGGATTGGTAACCTATATTTATCATTTACTAGAAAACTAAATGGCGACATGTTTGGGATAATTAACAGAGCTTGGTCGTCGTTCCATCTAGCAGTTTGAGAGTCGATGGGCATAAATATGACAAAGCCTACTTTTGTGCAAACAGAAGGAGTTCGTTTTTGCCCTTGAACCCCATTAGTAGCATTATGATTGGGTAACATTTACAGTCATGTACTCCTCACATTTCTGATTGGCCTATTTTGTTCCACAACTGGTTGGCCTATTTCGTTCCACATCTTTTTATGTTGAATGCACCTAGAAATGTAGATTGCTGCTCATTTGACATAGGTCAGTTAAACATTTCTGCAATAAGATTAACAGCTAATTTCAAAATGTTGCCCTTGTGGGTGCTTTCTATTCTCACCCTTGCTGACAAAAACGCCATTTAACTGAATGGGATTAGGTTGGTATCTGCAATTAAACTGAATATTAGCTATCGGAGGGATCTTCACCCATCATTCGGGGTTCACTAATTTTCGGAGTTTATTAACAACAAAATTCAGCTAAAATTGCTTTAAAAATGTGAATAGTTTCTTGGCGGTACAAAATTTGAAAATGGCTTTAATAAAAGCAAACATTTTACAGTCTATAAAAAGCTTTTTCATCTGACATTCCTCAGAATACAAAGGAACCCTTGTTCTTTCGGACACTTATTCTGAGGTTAAATACTCTGAGGAAAGTCAGACGAAAACGGTTTTAGTATGTTGTGAAACGCTTGCTTTTCAAAGCCATTTTCAAGTTTTGTAAAATCAAAAAATTGTTCAATTTTCAAAACAATTTTAGGTGAATTTATTTGCTGATAAAAATTTCACAAATTAGTGAACACTGAATAATGGGTGAAAGTTGCTTAGATAGTTAATATGCAGAAACCTACATTCGACCTTTCATTTTTAAAATTTAAAGCATTTTTACTCTTTAATTTTTAGCTGAAATTGGAGGTTTGCTTGGCATTTCACTCGGTGCAAGCTTCTTGACTATCATCGAATTACTTGATTTTCTGTTTTTCTACCTTTTTCAAAAAATCTCCAAAGAGAAGAAAAGTCAAACTTCTGTCTCAAGCAAAGAAACAACTAGCTCACCAATGGCTGCTATTTAGCATAATTATTTTAATTTCAACTAACTAACCAGCTTAATTTATCTACATATGTAATGTTTTTAAATTTATTCCTGAATAATTATATATGTCTGGATATCATTTGAAACTATTATACAATGAATATGGATAAATGTATTAAACTGACACCATTATTTTATCATGCAGTTCAGATCTTAATAGTATAGTGTAATCAGCTTTTGCAAACATATAGCAATTACGTACAATTCATTAAGTACCCTGGATAGATAACGTACCAAATAGTTATTTTCGCTGTTAATTTCATATTATCGACGCGATTTTAAAAGGGTCTGGTTTAGTTTTTATTCATCGTATCAAATTACATAAATGTAGAGAGTTTCGGATTTGTTTCGCCATTTGTGTCCTATTTATGGTTGATACACTTTTAAGGGTCTGGGCTCCAGTACCCTCTTTCTAGAAATAGCATTCGGGGGCAGAATAAACTGGATCTTTATTTGTGCCATAGTTACAGTGATACCCTTTGAAGGGGCTAAGCTCTCTTTCCCCGATTAAAAAAATAGCATCCTGGGACAAATTCTCAAATGTCATTCACAGTGCCTAATGACGCAACTGTAACAACTTTCAGATTTGTCTCACCATTTGTGTCAAAGTTATGGTCGATGCACCATTGAGGAAATGAGCTTCAGTCCAAAATAGCATGCAAGGGCAAAATAGATATGGGGTTTGATTCTTATCTTTTTAAGCTTTGGCCTTTTGGCTCTCGACATTATAATCGGCAATGTTCGATATTTTGTCTATTCAAGTGTCGATGTCACTTTTGTTTGGGGCTATCTGTTCTATGCCTTTTATTTTAAGTATGAAATCTTCATAGTACTTACGCTAGTTTTTTTGGAGAATCACAATCACAAAAACAGAATTTTTTTTAAAAATTAAATCAAAAGCAAAGCGGACTTGCGAGGCGATATCCGAAAATCGAGAGCATTTGACCAGTCCTCTTTTAAAGAGCTTTACATCGCGCGAATTTTGTCGAGCATTGTCGAGTGAGAAGGTGAGAGGAATTCACGTTCTCTAGAGAGGAATCCAAGTTTTTAAGATAGATCATTAGCAATAGAAGAAATGTATGATTTCAAATTAAGGTGGGTGATTCACTGTGACACAGAAAGGCCTAGTTGTGAAATAGTAGAAATGTCAAAATTCATTGAAACAGGTGAAGAGTCTTTACAAGAGGGGTGACTTTACAAGCAATGACAGCCTGCATGGTTTCAGTTTGATCAAACTTAATGAGATTGTTTTTTACCCCAAATCTCAATTATTGCCTGGTCATAAGTAAGAAGTGAGGCTGAAATATTCCCTTGAAGGAGGATGTTGAAAACAGAATTGTGCTGAGAATTGGAGGAGAAAGAAGAGCTCAGATAAGTCTCATTAGCAAAAAAATTAAACTTATGGCAGTGGAAGTTAGTTGATCATAAAAAGTATAAATGAAACAGGAGATATGACAAAGCCATGTGGAACACCAGAGCATTAACTGAGTAGGGATTGAAGTAGTAGCCATAAATTCTATCAAAGACAAAGCTGCTGGTCTAATAAACTGTATTCAATCTATGAGTCTTTAAATATTGCAGACAGAATCAGCTTATGTACAGAATCCAGTATTGTCAAATACATTTCAGTTGTACTCTGTTAAGTTCCTTTAGACCCTAGCAAAAGGCATCCTACTTAAAGGCATGTTGTTGAATGCATCCAAAATGGCATAAAAAATAAAACTGGATAAATCTAAACATCCAATGCCTCAACACTGTCCAGAACCATAGATGTAAGAAGCATTTTAGAGATTGGGGTGGCAGTTGGGTTGGGTTGGGTTGGGTGGGGTGGGGTGGGGTGGAGTGGAGTGTTGTGGAGTGGGGTGGTTACATGTAGGCAAAATAATGCACCATTATGAACTGAGAATAGTTCATTTTCCCTTTGAGGCATGTCACCCCTGTATCCCTCTGTTCCTATGCCTATGCCTAGATCACATTACGGGATTCTAATAAAATTCATTTTTCCTAACATTGTTGAGAAAAAAAGAATGCTATATTGTGAATTTAGGTGAAGATCAAATACCTTATGAAGCCTCTTCAGTCGAGATTTATCATATTCATTTGAAATGAGCTGCCAGTCTCCCAACATGAGCATCAAGATAGCCAAAGACTTTCCTCCTGGTGCAGCACACATGTCAAGAACAAGTTCAGATGGCTGAATGCCCAGTGACAAAACAGGGATCATTGATGACATATCTAATAGATAGTATTTCATCTTTCCATTTGAATCTAAATACATGCTTGGAGGATCAAAGATTTTGGATCCAAATTTGTAAACACTTATGTCATCATTCAAATTTGCCACAGAATTTTCACCTTCCCTCTGAAAATTATGCAAATGAACTTTCTCTGCACCTAATTGTTCAAACAGATCTTCCATTTGTTTACATTCAGGTGACATTTTGTTCAGCAAAGCACATTGCCACTTTTCCTGCTTCAGATGACTAAGTATTTCCCACCAGTTTTTACCAAATATGTCAAGATAGCAGTCTGTTAATGCTTGCATACATTTTTCAGCTCTGAACATACTCTGTAATAAAAGGAAAATCTTATTGTAAAACAGGCATATTGTTATCTTGTATGTGATCAACGACTGGGCTTCACAGATAAACAGTAACAGTTTCATCTGTAAACAATCACATTCTCACAATATAATGCCTTTTGAGGGCCAGGCATTTGATATTGTCAATAGGCACAAGCAAGGAGGTGATTATAACTATATACCAAACAGCTGGCTCCAAAGAAACTCAATCTACTAGAAAAAAACATTTTTGTCAAAACTTAATGTTTGTCTCCTTAACGTTTCTTGTTTCAATTTATATTATACTCACTCTCTATACATTAGTTTACATAACTTTTGCCCATATTACATAAGTTATAAAACTTTTTCCAATTTAAACAAATTTGCAAAGCACTTGAAACAAAAACCATTCAAGGCTTTTTATGACAGTTTTCTTATTATGCTAAATCAGCTTCCTGATGAATCTGGATTTTTTGTACCAGCTTCTGTACCACTTTCTTTCACATCTTTGCATTTATTTAGATCTTTCCTTAAAACCAAGAAAACGTATACCCCCCCCCCCTACACACTCTGGAAGATTTGCTTTGCTGTAACTGCATAGGAGCATGTAGCTGAATTATTTGTTTCTAAAACTACAGTTACTGCGAAAAAAATATCAATTAGTTCTTTATATTAGTTTACCAAGTACATATATTCTTTACTTAAGAAATTTGTTTTCTATATTCAAAAAAATTTATACCACTTTCAGCAGTTAAAATGACATCTGAATCTTCTGAAAATTTCCTTAAAATGTGTACATGTAATAGGAAATGACAAAGTTAATATCTGTCATGGATTGCAAAATTTTACATGGTGTAACTTTGATAGTACTAAGTTATACTAAATTTTCCATTCACAGTGGCTAGGGCCATAGGGATAATGCTTCTCATAAAGAGCAAGTTTTACCAGAAAATTTTAACATTATTGCTTCTTTCTCAGAATTTTTCAGAAAATTTATCTGCTTTAGTCCTGACAAAATTTATTTAAGACTGCACTCCTGCAAACATATGCATACTGCAAACAAGTATGGCATTTTTGATAAGATTTTTTTTGGGTAAACGGTATCTTTACAATTTTATTACTATGGATTTAGATCCACAAAATTCCCTGAATTCTATTTCCAACCACACCCAATCTATTTGATACAAACCCATTTTACCAAGTGTGCAATGATAACTTTAAAAAATATATCAGCTGTGTAGCTGCCAGGGCCGTAAATTCTGGGGGGAGGGGTCTTTGCCTGGACCCCCCCCAAAAAAAAGTTTGGAGCTAAATGATTTTTTTTAGAAATTATCGTCATTTTCTTTTAAAGAAAGGAATTGCTGGTAGCTGGGTTAGAACCAAACTAAACTTTGCTGTGTTATTGTAACATACCTCAGCCACTATGTCATGGTGTCAAGCGCAAGTTGACTATTGTAGATAGCTGTTACTTATGTTTGCAGAGTGGTGGCGAGTTGGCGACGATGCCCATGGAAAAGATTAGCCACAAATATCCTCTCCACCAGTCACCCCTTGAATAAATCTCAAAAAAATGTGTAAGAAAAGAATCATTCAAGTCGCCATAAATCTCGACAAACCCACATTACACATATTTTCATGCACGCCTTTTTATAAAAATCCTAACTCAAAACGTAGGTCTTAAAGTTCCTAATTTCTGAACTTCTGTAGAGTACCAAAGTGATGACATCATAAAAATTTATCCCAGAACCTAAAAGAGCATCATGAAGTACCTCTAAATATGCAAAGTCAGTTAAAGGCATTACGAATTGGCTGAGATATGGCCACTTGAGCACAGGCTCTTGTGAACTTTATGAACCAGGCCAGAATAACAGAAATTCGTTAACAAACTTGAAATCTCCTATTGGCCATATCTCGCCAAATTTGGAACATATCTAGCTAATTTTGCACATTGAGAGGTATTTTATGTCGTTCTTTCAGATTATGTGGCCAAATTTGAGAAATTCAAAAAATAGATTTTTGATGACGTCACACTTTGGTACTCTATTAGTGAAATTGCAGTACCAAGACCTCCATAACACCTCCTTAATTTTAACTGCACATTAAGTGACATGATAATAGCATAGACACAAAAAAGAAATTATGATTTTTGCTTTTAACTGTGAGCTAGGAACAAGGCCAAAACTAAAAGACAAAGAGAGCAAGAAGTAAAATTAATTTGCGTAAAAGTACCACGTCAATAAAGAAGTACTTTTGCATTTCATATAATAAAGAGAAGCAATAACTAAACTCTTTATTATTAAAATGCAATAATTTGTGCCCAGCCCCGATTTTTTTAAGAAAATTTTCATTTGGAGCAAGAATATGTTTTTAGACACATCCTTATTTTTTCAAATCCGATACGGTATAGTATTTTGTTAAACTTGGTCTGGGAGATGCTTTTTTAGCTATTTAGAAGGTATGATTTCAAAAATTTCCTTTCAAGTCCGCCCCAACCATGGTGGGTTCTCCTACGTCACTAAGCGTGAATCTCAGCCCCCCAGGTTCAATTCTTCAAGCTGTCTCTGAAAATGTTATCAACTCAACTATGAAAAAAGTCAACGTGCTAAGAAATATCTGTAAATACCTTCTATAGAGCTGAAAAACCCAGTTTGTTGTCAAACTGTTTTCATAACACATACCATAAATTGCTTGGTGGTGCCATGACCCACTGCACACTTCCTCCCCCCCCCCACACTTTCCTCCCCCCCCCCACACTTCCTCCCCCCCCAACACTTCCCCCCCCACAGTTTTACGGCCCTGGTAGCTTGCCATACTTTCCATACTGGATGGAATCGTCTGCCCTCCATATTCAATTCTTCAGCTCATAATAGTCCTATCCACACAATACTTTACGAGCCTGACAAACAAAGAATGGATGACAGTTAACAAGAACTAACCACTGGTTGATTAACTGGAACTATATTCTTTGAAATATAAAGGCCAATTGACTTCTTACTACAGTGAAAACACCTCCCGAGCAAATAATTTGCCGCCATTTTCATTCTAGTGAAATGAATCAAAACGAGGTTGAATCCCGGGGAAAGGCGAATATTTTCGCAACAAACTACTAGGTCTGTTCTAATTTTAAATTTTCATAATCACTGACTAGCTTTCTGGTCGACGAAACTAGCTTTAATTTGAGAGAAATCATGGCAAAACCCTGGGGGTTCACTTAATTCACTGACTATCCGGGGACGTGCCTGCCGAGACGGTGTCATTTTCAGGTGAAAATTCCGGACCATTACCTTTCCTCTCTTTTTTCTGGCACAGGATATGCCGACTAAAGGTATCAAGTTTCCAGAAACTTATCCCAGCAAAGGTATCCTGTTTTCAGAATATTGTTCCAGAACGGGATCATAATTTTAGGCTTTCATATACATTTCTTAGTTCTTTAGGAAAATACACGAAGCAGACAAACAGAAATTATACACTATTTTTTAAAAATCCATCATCGTACAACCAATCAATACAACTTCTCAAAACTTGCTTGAAGTTTGGTTGACATAATACTAATGGCTCTAACTTCACTAATTTACAAAGAAAGAAACGCATACAGATATAAACAACAAAGTTGAAGAGGCAGTAAATGTCCGAATATGATGCAAAAGAAGATAATGGGTTTTATCAACAACTTGGCATATTCTTCTGAAAAAATCATGGCGAGTCTTAGGGCTTTGCAAAACGACTGGAAATTTTCACTGAACAAGCACTAGACAAATGTCAAGCGTAAATTTTGAATAGTTCTGCCACCTTGTCCTGTCTTGTACAGCGATGTTGAGCATTGCTCAATAGATTTTCTAGGCAGTCAAAAGTGTTGAAAAGATGTTGTCGTTTTACCGCTCACATCATTTAGTGGATTGGCTTTGGCGCGATTTTATATCCCATATTCAAACCTTCAGTAAGCACTAGTAATAAAGAACATGGAAAGAAGTGGAACCACCGTTAAAGTGGCACTGAAATGAAAAATCAAATTTTTTCAATTGTTGATTCTGATAGATTTAAACATTGTTGATATCGAAAAAAAAGTTTGTAATCCGTTAGCTTCAAGTTCGAAATCTTTCATTGGCCATATATCGCCCAATTTTAAACATACTTTTAAACGCTGATTTCGCATTTTTTATGCCGAACTTTCATATAATGCTGTCAAAACTAAGAAATTCTGAAAATACATTTTTGATGACATCCACTTTGGTACTCTATGGTGGATAGCAAAATTTAAGCTATAATTTATTTTATAATAAACCATTTGGGTTTTACGGAGTGGAAAATTAAGCTATACAACATCTTTTATCAGCATTTTTGAAACTCAGTTAGTAACTTGCGCTTCACTATGAAAGTTCAACCCAGATAAAACAGTTCATCGCCTTTTTTTCTTGAAAAATCATGAATAAGCTACAAATCAAACACCATATGCGGACATTTACTGTATTGGAATTATCTTTACATTTCGGTGGTTATATTTGCCTGCCTCGTGCTGTCAGAAAGATGATCAGAAAAATCTGATGGAGCTGCTGCAACTGAGGCAACTTTGTACTTCGGCGGTGAATCTTTTGTTTTGGCTGAATGTTGTGAAGAGCCAGGAAGTGCGGCGAAGGAGCTTTCCATATTCTCCAGCTCGTGCTGTTGTTGGGGATCATCTGAAGATGTGAAGACAAAAAGCAACGTGAAGGAAAAACTTTTTATATCCGTAACCAAAATCATATGGGTATTATTTTAAAAAATTTCATGCTTTTATACAAAGAAAGCCGGCGATAAGAAAATTCCAAACAGGGAAAACATAGCAATGAATTTTTTAGGCCCATTTCAAGCGTCGAACTTCTCATGTGCCGAACAAGTACATGAGAAGTGCGACATTTGAACCAATTAGGTACCCCAAATTTAAATCAAGTCGAGGTCAAGGCATCAGTCAATCAACAATTGGCCAATCAGCCTTCAGCCATCATGATGCGGAGTCACGCGCTTTTTGATTGGTTAATATTTATTGAAATATGGCTATTGCCTTTAAGAATGAATACCCATCAATAAATTGACATAAAGGCATTCAATACTGAGGGACATAGAGTATGAAACTTGGCATACACACCGTGCTCATGAAGAGCGAGTTCGTGCTCCACTTTCTCGTGATCAGCACGTAAAATGCCAATCATATCTAACGTCTTGTAAACTGGAAACATAGTGCAGACGCCCCAGAGTATAAAGCACATGCAACAGAGCATATTCCAACCAAATTGTTTCATCGATTTGCTGCTACCAGTGTAGAAGAACCCTTGTTCGGCGTCAAACAATGGACAGGCCAATGTACCCCAGATTCCACAAGACAAGTGTACTGTTGGAAAAAAACTATCAGTGCGGTCAATGTTTCGAAAACTGTCTTTATATGTAAAAATAATATTATCTGTGGCTGGCAAGAAAGTAACTAAAAGAGCTTTTTTGATATTTAAGTGAGAAAGCCCACTGAAAATATGAAGGATCAATCTGAGAATTTGAAAATATTTTTTCACACCTATATACTGTGTCCCAACGTTTATTTCTCAATTTACTCTATCTTCCTTCCCCTAACAGTTCTTCCATCTCCTAAACTTTTTCATTCTCTCACAGCTCCTTCTTTCCCGTACACAAGCCTTATAACGCTTTCTAATTATATTCATTCATTGTATCAACTTTCCCTTAACTCAGACCACACCTCTTTTCTCTTCTCCTTAATTTTAGGTCCCCTCGTATATGCTTTTTCTACCTTTACAGCCCGTTCCTTTTGTGACACCTGTCCTTTTCCCTAACACCTTAATCATCCCCTAAAATCCATTTTTCCATGCACCTTTACAAAACAATCGCTCTGGGGGGGGGGGTGTACCTTAACAATTTTTTAAGGTACGGGGACGTGTCATTATATAGGGGTACTTTTTTCTGAAAAGTGTGGGATTATCGGTATCAGTTTTTGAAATATGTTAGGAACTATGGGACCATTTGACGAAATATGCAGTATTACTATGGGTACCATTTAGGGATAACATTGCAAAATATTTAGGAGGGAGATTTAGCATTAACAGAACGAATGTCCAGTTAGAAATAAAGGTATGAAATATATGCAATATTGAGATTTTGGGGCAAAGGACATGCAAAATTTGTTTAATGATTTTTTATGTGCTTTAAAAATTTTTTTTCCTTAGCGGAATTATGTGTATCGTTTCATCATTTTTGCGCAATTATTGGTCACATTTTTTCAGACATTTGCAGAATAATGGTCCCCCCATTTTAACCAAAATGGCACGTCCCCATCCAAAATTGGGCTTAGTTTACCCCCAGAGCACTCGCTTCTAAAGCCTCCCTCATTTCCCTCTCCTCCTGCGTAGCAATGTCCTCACTGTAGACCACTCATGTTAAACCAAGGGTATTTATACTTGCTCAACATACCCGCTGTACTGTCACATGGATCTTCAAAGCCAGTCAGGTGAAACATCTTTGCCCACAACATACTAATTAGGCCACCAATCGCACCAATGATGCAAGCACCTCCAAAGGACACAACATTGCAGCCGGCACATATAGATACCTATAACATCAAAATATCTTTGTTCTGTACTCTGATTTTTCAACCGAAAATGAGGAAACTTGCCATATTTGCCAACGAATTGTGAGAAAATGTATTTGACGTTATTTTCATTACCAAGCTTCAGCTGGTAACTTTCGAGTCGTTTGCTTTCAGTTAAACATGATTCAAACCTTCCTCATTGCAAAGAAGAAATTACTGGTGGCTCCACAACAAACAGATAAATCTCAATATTCGGGGTGAAGAGAAGCCACCACCGAACGTTAAAAATTAACGAGGTCATCCATATATTAGAGGTGTGGAAATATCTCTACAAAGTTCCTTAAATATTGTTTAAGACCCCAAAATATCATACTTGAGGTCGAGCAGGTGGCAGAAACATAATACTTGCAACATTGGGTATAGAAACTTTAAATAGATCTAAAAAAGATTCTTACACATCCGGAAAGACCACCGTTTGCAACAGCGAGCAACAACCAGTAACCGGGCTCAACACCAAGGATAACTTCTTGGACAAGAAGAGTGATCAGTGTGCCGCACGAATTTGCCAAACCAGTGTTGATGAGTACTTTTGTAATAACAGCAACATCATCGGCGCCCGATACTGCGCCTTGAGATGCGGAGTTGAAGCAGAAGAAGCCATTGATCAGGATGAAGTATCCTGGCAAAAAAGCAACGACACATGAAAAATGTGATAAATTATTAGATCATAATCCAGATAAACCAGTCTGTATATGCCATGGCGTGTAGAGCAGCACCATTTTAAACTGATACTCCCAGTATCGCACCCGATGTGATCATCAGGAGTCCAGATATATGAGATTTTGTATACATTATATGCGCAAGGGTTCTATTTGCGCATGACAAAAAGTAGTGAATAGAAACCAGAACTCAAAACATCTATAACTGTGAACACGCCATGGCCCACTCATAAGAAGCAAACGACCCTTTGGTTTAACATATTAAAAGCAACTAACCAAGGGTAACCAACGCAGGCGATGAAGGTGGAATTGAGCCAGTGTCAACGATTTCGTCCTCTAACTTTCTTTTACCAAGAACAATCGAGGCACAAACGCCACAGGCCCCTCCGAGTGAATGCACCACACTGGATCCAGCAAAGTCCTTTTAAAATATAAATTCTGTTAATTCGATAAAAAGCTAAAAGGGATTCATTTTCTTTACAGATGGAGTATAAATTTGCTTCCTGTCTTCATTTTTGCTTTTCTTTCTTTACAAATCTATATATAAATTCTCCTAATAAAAATTACTGTTTACCGGTCTGGCATAAGTGCTCGATGCCATATAGGTAGAGCTGTAAAGCTTGACTGTTTGATGAAAATGTGTTTTCAATGCTTTAATAAAGTTCTTCATAAGCTTGTGAAGAATGTGGTTGATGTATCATTTGCAAAAATTTTAACGCTGCACATCCGACTGTCTAATAAGGCGAAAGAAAAGAAAATAGGACCTAGAATAGATCCTTGTAGAGCACCGACAGACACATTGGACATTTTTGTCTGTTTGCAAGAATGAGGACGTCATTATAAAATGAAAATGCATGACAAATCCGAACGTTAAAGGCGCTAGTAGAGAAAATATGAATTACTTGTATGTTTTAATGTACTTCAAGTATTTAATTGGCATGCTTACCTGATAGGAAACGCCGCCAGGCCCGTTGCTCATCCATCCATCACCAGACCAGGCCCAGTGGACAGCAATTGGATAGACGATGCCAGTTGTTATAAAGGAATATATAAGGTATGCCCTGCAGTTGAAGTAATAATAAAAAAAATTTAAACTGTAACATGAAAAACACAACCAGAAACCCTAAAATACAAATCGATCGACTGCCATCCCGAAAAAAGCGGTGACCTCCTATTTTACCGATACTGTAGAAAAAGCATGAAGGAACTATAATATTCAATTAGAAAAAATGGGGTAGCTTTCATTCAAAAGAGGTCAAACGAGATTGACCGATCGCTGAAAGTTCCATAATATTTGAGGCATGATGCAAAGGTAGATTATAGTTTTTTGCTGTTATTATTCTGCTAATTGTGGAAAGGAGAGTTTTCATCGAAGCAGTAGCATATGCAGTCATTCTAGGATTCGGAAAAACAAAGACTGCCAAACTGATGATAAATTTCAGTAGCAACTTTTACAACAAGCAGCCCCATAGCCTCTTGCTTATTTATTAATGATGATATCAGGCATTCTGTAGCACTGTAGGGCACCCCCGGGCTCTTCTTATTCTTAGGTTGGGTCAAGTACCCTTCCAAATTCTGTGGTAGTACTCGATCTAGTGGAAAGCTAAACTCTTCTCTTGCGATACAGTACTTTACTTACAATTCGCCTGACCGTGAAACTTTGTCTAAGGTGAAATCTGGCTTAGAAGTAGTTGGCATTTCCTTTTACTACACTTACGTTCAAAAAGTATTGGGACACCCTTCGAAACTTCGAAGACATTTTATGCAACAAATTCGGAAAGACTTTTTTAAAATCTTTCTCATTAAAAAAGTACGGCAGTTATTTCCATGAAATTTTCACAAGACATTGTTGATATTTTGAAGCCTTTCATGTACGCCAAAAAATTAAAAATACATCTACCATGAAATTTCTATAGGTCTCGAGACGAAAACATGGAAGCTCTGAAAACTCAAGAACTGAGTTAAGAGAAGCGCTTACAAATTGCTTTCTACTATAATAAAGTAAATGGATTTTGCGATATTGCATCAATTCTCGGCTGCTCAATGAGTGCAGCTTTTCTGGTGTGTAAAAAGTTTTTCCGTACAAGAACAGAAAAAAAATTTACCAAGGGTTGGCAGACCGAAGAAGTTTACGACGCCGAGGGACGACAGTTCTTTACTGAGGGAACTGCGAAGTAATAGGTTTGAATCCTTACCAGACATCGTGTTGTCATGTAAAAAGAAGCTAAATAATGGAACATAAGCAAAGACATGGCTATAAAGTTATGAAAAATACAAATTTTCCAGCGATATAAAAAGAAAATGCTCTCTCAAAGCAAAAATTACTCATCGACGATGAGTACAATGGCTTCTCCTTGAATGTTACGCAATTTTAAAAGTAGCTTGAATAAATGCAATAATTTAATAAAATTGTAGCATTTTCGTCGATGAAGTAAACTTTTTTTAAGCTTAAAAGTATGATTTTATAATTTCTTTGATAATTTTTTTTGCTATTCAAACGTGAAAATAAAAAGTTGTATTTGTTTGGACATCTCTAAAATTTTTGAAAGGTCATGTGACTTTGCCATTGTTAGGCCATACAACCCTTCTGCATATTTTGTTGTTATAATCAGGAAAATCAGGAGAATCCTTTGTTTTCTTGGTTATGCTTCATAAGTTGAAGCATTTTCCTAACTTGTTATTCCATTTTGGGGAAACGTAGGCCTAGATTATTTGTAGAAAGACTGCCCAAATCTGAAAAAGTTTCCGTTGCAAAACCGAATCCAACGGAACGCCATAATTCGTTTATCGAATTCGTCCCAATACTTTTTGAACGTAAGTGTAGATCATCCCTTAATAAATCTCAAACGGACCTTTAGTTGACGCCATAAGAACCTCTACATTTACGTTGCATTTTTTATGAATAACGACTAAATCAAACATATTATAACAGGCATATTAATGCATTTACCTGTAGGAAGTTCTGCCAACCATAACAGATGAGACAATAGCCGTGGCAGTAGCGGCAAATGTATACTGAAAGAAGACCCATCCTATGTTATCAGCGCCGACCAAAGCGACATAGCTGCCGCCACCAAACTGCCCGCCACTCTTTCCAAATGACAAGCCAAAACCAAAAAGTATATAAGCGACAGTACCAATACCTTTAGGAAGCAACAAGGTTTATCAAATTGGATAGTTATTGATAAAATTGAGTTATTTTATTGTATCAAAATATCTGAATTTTTCACAAAATTACAAAAACTAAAGCTTCTTCTTAATCGAAACGGTAAGTTGCTAATTACGTTGTTGAGTATGCACTTTTTTATAAAGGGGTTCCAATACCTGTAATCACAATACAAAGCAATGGTCTATTTGAGAATCAGTTATTTATGGATATACTGTAATAAACTGGTTGGGCCAAGATCAGAAAATTATCTGATTTTGAACTTCTGAAACAGACGAAACCGTTTAAGTATGTAGTTTATTATGAAAATGTGCCTTTTCATTTAAATTCTAAAAAATATCGCCAAACTAGCGACACTGGAAAATACGTATACTTTTGGGTCTACAATATTTGATACATCGTTTTAATTAGAGTGGGGTTTGAAATTTCATCACAAATTTCTATATTCAAAAGGTTTTGTGACTTAATCGTAATAACAGACAGCCATTTTAACAAGAAAAAACATGCTGAAACATTACAAACAACCATACACTGAAGAATCAGATGAAGGTATATTTACCTTTCATCAGTATGGTATACAGCCTAAGAAAGGCAATGGATATATAATGAACCAAAAGGGGCTGTTTGAGATCAATACAAACAGGCAATGACAGGAAACTGGCATTTTCTTGGCATGCAGAACCTAGGAACCTTAACATTACTTGAGTGCAACAGATTCTGCAGCTAGACGAAAGGTTGCTGTTGCTCTATATGTCTCTAACAATATATGTCCCTGTTCGCTTTGTGGAAACTTTACCGAGGTATAAACGCTACATTTTGAAGCAAAAATGAGTTGTCTCAAAAGAGCAATGTCAAGAAATAACGCTAATCACATACAGAAGTCGACTATGTTGTTCAACAAGATTTCATTCACATTGGTGACTTTGATGCATCCAACCTCAAGAAGGGCGAAACCGGCTTGCAAACCTAAAAACAGAAAATGAAGCAACGGAAACAGAAATTAATTACGTACATTTATTTAAAGGAAGTTTAATTAATGATTTAATTAATGATAGTCGCATATAAGGATAACTAGTCCTCTCATAGTCCATGCTAACAAATTTCCAGATTTTACGAAGAATGCCTTTGACAAACCTGTAAATAAAAAAAGTTCCAAAGAACCTTTGAAATTGAATTAGAGAAACAACAAATGAAATTAAATACGGGCCATCGATCTTGAAGGCAAGCAAGGATGTTTTGCCATTTGAAACCCATAAACGAATACATAACCCTAACACAGCCTAGTTTCTTAGCTGTAAGGTGTCCCCTTAAAGGGGTACAGAATATCAAGAAATTCCCTTCAGCGGTGTCCACATCAAAAAACATCAAACCCTTCTCAAATAGGCTCAGAATTGAAAATAAGACAAGAATCTTGAATATGCCAAGAAATTGCTTAGCCATATAATGAAGTTTCTTTAAATTGAATTATTCAATTTCTTAAAATAAATTACAAGACTTTGAAAAAAATGGACGCATCCATAAGAAAAACTACGATAGGGGATACCCACGCAAGTTTGTGAAGCCTGTTTTAAAACTTAGCCAGTTAATTTCAACAGCAAATATTTTAGGGATATTATGATAAGGCTCAACTAGTTACTTTTAACTGTAAACAACTTAACTGCAAAAATGACAATAGGGGATACATTTCGGTAGGGCTTTTGTTACCCTGGGTACCAGACTTACTATTTTATTTAATACATAGTGAGTCTGGTACCCAGGGTAGGCTTTTGTATAAAGGCTACTTTTGTATATAAGCTGGGGAATTCAATGTGCCGAGCTGCAGTCTGAAAAGCGGCTTCAAGGAGTAGAAGACTACTGGGAATGCAATTGGGCAGTTGATGAAGACGTGGCAGATGTCTTCTATCATTTGACGATGGTTACTGTTTAAGGGAATGTTAAGACCCTAAGATTTTATGTCACAAGCGGTTTAAAATATTCCAGTGAAATATCGGAAGAGTCGGAAACAAAGGTTTTAAACTAGGAGATTTTGGCGAGAGCACAATTCTGCACCCCGGCGGCCCATTGCCTAACTGCGTGGGGGTAATAATTCATTTATCAATCTTTTTAAATTAATATTGCAAAAGAGTTGCAAACATTTTTCGTGGGCTGGACTAAACCATTCAGCATTCTCCATCTCTTCAAGGATTAGATGTATCAGTTGGTGCAAATGATGTGATACCAGAAATTACAATAGTCGCATTGAACCCAGTTATCGTCGTCTTCGTATTCTAGATCATATTCTCCATTGAACTTTGTTTTCCTTCTCGTCAATCATTTCCTTATCTTTTTCACAATTGGTGATCCTTTCCATCTGGTTTCTTTCCTTATCTCGATTTTCAATTTTATTCACCTCAAAACTTATATTTGCTTTGATTTTATATTTTCTTTCCACCGATTTCTTCCAGCAAATCTTTCAGTTACTTAGGAGGAGGCGAATGCAAAACGATCAGTAGATTAACTTGCCAGACTCCTGGTTCTAAAGGGAAGTTTTGACCACATCTGGTCTTGTTCTTTTGTCGAATGCTTTCACAAATACGCGTGAAAATGTTCGCTTCAAAACATAACACAAGGACTTCCTAACTATCGACCATGGCGGAAAAAGGATAGAATTTCAATAGCTTTTACTTGAAAATTATCATTGATGGCGAAGATTCGACGAAGGTGACGTAGCTTGGAGTATGTCATAGAGTCCTTGCAATCTGTTTCCTTGGTAGCATAAAGTTGTTTTGGATGGTGAGCAAGATATCAAGAAAGAGTAATGTGTTCAAAGATAGCATGGGTGAATTGGAGTGCTGGAAATTCTGTAGAGATTCAAGTGGTAATGATGTTGCAACGACAATATGATTATCAATATATTTTTTGATCAGGCAAGGAAAAGAACCATCTTATGAATTGAAAATCAAATGCTCCTGGTATCCAACAAAAAGGCAGGCAGAGCTTGGACAAAGTTTGCTATCCATGGCCACACAAATGGTTTGAAGCTAAAAACTCCGTTAAATAAAAATGCATTTGTCAATATTTTTTTTTTATTTTTTTATTTACACGAGATACCTTTTAGCAAAAGAACAACTATTTACAAAAAAAAGAACTATTAAAAAAAGAGCTATTTGCATATTGCTGCTCTACCAAGGGGTCGTGTTTGGGTCCTGTGGAAGGTTCGAAAGATACTCTCTAAAACCTGTTTTAAAACGAGCGATGGATTCTTTTTCTCGAATGTAGTTAGGGATATCATTCCAGTTTTTGACACCAGAGAAATAAAAACCTCGCTTTGCATACTCTAACCTAACTTTGTATTTAACACAAGCTCGGCTAGAGTCTTGGTAGGTGGGGTTTGTTTAGAGTGTTGATCGAGAAAAACTTCAGTGCTTGACATTCTTCAGCATGAGGGATGCATGTGTATAGTGATTTAACGTCCACTATAAATAGATCTTTGTTCGGGCCTTTGAATTTGAGGTTTTGAATAGAAGCAGGACATGAGATGTATCTTCAACAAACGTAGAAAGTTGTTGGTTGATTGGTGTAAATAGGCTGTCGAGGAAGGGTACGATTTGCGATGTAGGCCAGGCGATGACAGATGCAATAGGTAGGCCAGGGTTATCAGGTTTGTGTATCTTTGGGAGCATATAGAAAGTAGACGTGTTGTCGAGTCGAGACCCGCTGTCGAGGGTGTTGAAAATATAATAGATTAGCATATTCAGGAAGGTCTCCAAGACTAATTTCTTCTTTAATGATGTTGATGACTGTTTTATTGAAGGATTCAGTGGCATTGGTTGTTTGTTTGGCATAGTATGACGTATTTAACTGTGATTTGCCTTCTTGAATGTATAGATCCTTACGCCAAAAGACAACACTACCACCTTGTCTGCTGGTTTGATAACAATATCATTTCTTGATTGAAGATGTTTCAAAGTTACCCATTCTACTCGAGTAAGGTGGATAGTTTGTGTCGAGCTTTGAAATCGACTTAAGAAATTTGATGACTATTTGTGTCGGTGTAAAGATTCGCAGCATGTTGTTGGCCAGGTTGAGGTGTCCAAGTTGACTTAGGCCCCGTTTACACGAGAGAAAAAGGAACGGATCCAAAAGATCCGGACCTTTTAGGTACGATATGGGTACGATCCACAAGCGTTTACACGAGATCGGATCCTTAACTATAAAGCGTTTACACGGGAACGGACCAAAATCGAATCGCTTTTTTAAGCATGCGCAATGACAAGGTAAAATGCAAAATGAAGAAAACTTAGAGACTGTTAGGTCGAAATACGAAGACATTCTCCTTCAATTTATCGAGGCCTATCTAGAAATAGCAACAGAGAACTTTCCAAATACCCAGGATAAAAAAATTACAAAAGAAAAGGTGAAAAAAAATTAAACCATGATGAAGACAGGGTTCAGAAAGGCTTTCGACTGTGGAAGAAGGAGCGGGGGTGGGAGAGTAATTTCTTTGTTGTATGATGAGTGCTGCGTACAATTGAAATGGCCTCCATTGACCCCAGCAACAGTCTCGTTTTTCTGCTGTGTCTTTGTGGATCCGTATCTTCCCGTTTACACGGCGCCGACGAAGGTACGGATCCAAATGGATTCGCTTTCGAATCGTACCCAAAAAGGTACGGATCTCTCCTAAAAAAGATACGGATCCTACCGTGCCCGTGTAAACGCAAGGCCTATCGTAGCCAGTTTGGGTACGGATCTATGCGGATCCGTTCCCGTGTAAATGGGGCCTTAGTAGATAGTAGATAATAGCTGTTTGATTAGATAAAGGTTCCACGGGATTAGAAGAGAAACTAGTCTTGTAGAAACATGACGGATCCGTTCTTTAAATCCTGGATTGTTTTTTTCTTGCGTCCAAGTGTATTCAAAATTACAAAGGGATGAAAGGCCTTCTAGGGCCAGAACAATTTTGGTTTTACAGTCTTTTAAAATTCATTTATTTTTATGAATGATCAATTCTTTACAAACAAAAATCCCATAAAGAAAAATAACGTCCCTGTAATAAACTTTTACTAACCAAAATTTTACGTTAGGCCTACTGAAAGATAAAACGATATTTACGAATTGGTTCAAGTTAAGCACTTGAAATACCTGTCGGAAACTTTTTTTCGGAAAAAAAATCAAAAACAGCCAGCAACTTAAGACAAGACGTCAGCAAATTATTTTCGCGCGCTGGGTATCTTCATAGCCCGTTTCAATTCTTCATTTCAGTTCTAAGGTCAAATCTATTAATTCCACTTCAATACCCCCTATTAATAAAGAGTTGGGTAATATAACATATTAAAAATAGAGCATTAATGCAAAAGATTCGAGCAATTCAGTTGTCCCTATGCTATTTTTGAAGAAGGTAAAGGTTTGTTGATTTCAAACTACTTCTGGTACGGTCATAGGCGTACAGAATAAGGGGCTGGGGGGCTTCATCCCCCCTAGATTCGGGCAGCTGATTTTTTCGGGCAAAATTCGGGCAGGAGCTTTCTCCAAAAGCAAAAAGTATAAGAAAAACTACATTTTGAACATGTTTAAAAATCTCTGAAATGAAAAAAATCAAGTTGTCGTAATCGTGAGCGCTTTCGAAAGTGAAGGAAAAAGGTAAAAATCTGTTAGGTGAAAAAACACAAAAACGCGACAAGAGCAGCCACAGCCAAAATAGTGTTTATGAGGATTGCAGAAGAAGTAAAAGAAAGCGGCTATTATGCCCTCATAACGCACTAGGCTTGCCAGAGGGGGAAGGCAGTGAACAGGACAATTATTTTCTTTACAAGGATAAAGACCCAGAAACCCATAAAGAAAGCAAAGCTCTGTTCAATTGTTTCTACAATGTAATGGATAAAGTTTTGGGAGAAATCTATGCGCGATTTAGTGATAGTGAATGCTACTTTTTATGTGCTCTGGCGTAACGGAGGCATCTACTTAGGACCCTAAGCAAAAAACTGCTACAGGACTTTCATTCACGGGCAGAAAGAAGATCACATTAAATGGTTTAGAGCATGTCAAACACGATAGAAAAAGATAAAAATGAGAACTGAGTTTTCCAGAGCTTCAGTTGAAGAACTTTCAAAGTTTTCAAAAGTTATTTGAAATTGAGCAAAGCTGATCTGGACGTTAAAGCACCCTTTTGGTCGGGGGCCCTTGGTTATCAAACTAAGGCAATGTTTTGAAACACTGTGTCATGACACACTAGCATGCCTTGAGGTATTGCCTAGTGTGCCGTGAAAAATTCTCCAATTTTACTTAATTGGTCTAAAAAATTTAAAAAATTTATAACTATCCGCAAATAATGTGCCGTAGAAAAAAGGTTGAAAAACGCTAAATCAAGGTGGCCTAAACTGTGTTACGCCATTGGCCGTGATAAGGGAATGCAAGCGTGAATGCTAACAATTCGACAGAAATCATCATAAAAGTTTGCTCCTTCAACAAATAGATTATGATTTTCCAACCTCCTAGAAATGGAGCACAAACTGTTCAATAATCACAAGAATAGGCAGGTAAGCAAAAAAGTGTATGAATTGCTGAAAATGATCCAAATCATGTTCACAAAAGATATCGATAAAATAATCGACATATTTGGTCGCTGTCGTGAAAGAGATTCGCTTATTTTAATGAAAATGTGCGAGTTTTAAAAATGCTTTAAAGTTATATTATAATGGCGTTGCATTTCAATAATTTCTTGACTAATGTAAGAAGGTCACATGTGTTAAAGTATACTCCTTAAAAATTTGGGCGTTATTATTTTTCTGGCAAAAAAATTCAGCCCCCCTACCTGAACTCACCCCGTACACCTATCGGTACGGTGTTCCATAACCGAGCTACACTAAAAAAAGGCTTATGCTACTGTAGAAAGCTACTTTTCTTTAACTTTCGCTGATGTACTTCACTTTCTGTGAAAAGTATGCTTAACTGTGTCCACAAAAAATATGTAGGCCAATTGAAAACTTACTCAAAATGAAAACACCGGACAGCATAAGCAGTAGTGTGTCGGTGGAGCCAATGAGAATATCTTGCTGCACTTGAAGTGAGTCGATACTCTTGTTTAGAGAAGCTATACTTTCGTTGAAACTCATGGTGTTTTTTTGTAGACAACTGCTCTTTGAATATTTTGAACCACTGATAACAGTTTACTACAGTGTTGCAGCGCTGAAAGGAAAATTCCAGAATTAACCTGAGATATTGAAGGAAAAGAAAAGTCCTTTTTGAAGGCTTTAGCAAGAAATTAGTACCCGACAGAAGTTTCTGCTAGATAAATCTAATCAAACAACTTACCGTATTTTCATAATAGCAGTCCGCTTCCAACTCCAATGAAAAGAGAAGACGGGACGAATTCAAACGACAAATTGCGCTACATTCGAATGCAAAATTCTAAATTCGATGTCTAGACCCCATTTACACTAGCACGGATCCAAATGGATCTGTACTCAAATACCCAAACTAGTACAAGTAGGCTTTTCGTTTACACTAGACCTGCTGTATCCGTACTCATTTGGGTCTGCCATCTGGACCCGTGTGGGATCGCTTACCAAGGTGTAATCACTTGAATCCGTTCCCGTTTAGGTCTAGTGTAAACGGCTGGAACCGAAAACCAAATACACTTCGGATACGAGGCATGAAATTTGCCCCCCCCCCTCCCCCCCCCACTTTTCTGCAGAGCTAAAGAAAAATTTTAGGCAAAAGTGGAAATAAATGTAGTATGACTCTGTAAGTAACTTTGCCCAGTATTCTCTTAAATGTGTCCTTAGCTTTACCTTGGTTGCTATGTCTTTACCATAGAAGACATACATAACATTGAAAATGGGAATTAGATCGAAAAAATCGGTCATTGTCTAAGGTTTAAAACGAGTAACAGCTTGGCTTAGCAAATAGATCGAGAAACCTTTTGAATTGGATTTTGAATTTGAAGAGGATTGGTGTCAGCACAAATTGATGGAGTTTCGTTTTTTCTAGGGATGTACCGGATATCCGGTAGGCCGGATAATCCGGCGCTGGATCGCTGATTTTTTGAAAATCCGGTTCCGGCCGGATTTGTTTCCGAAATCCGGCCAGTTGCCGGATTTTCCAGAATTTTAATCATAACTAAGAAAATTTGGAAAACCAAGTCAGGCTCTCTTCATACAGTGATTAAAAATGGATTTTCCAGAACTAAACAAGATCGACGATAAAACAAGCGCCTTGAAAACAGATTTGAAATGAAAGTGCTCGTCATCACGAAACAGGAAGACTGGATGATATAATTCACAAATTTGGTCCAGGGTTGCCAGATTGGCTTTTTCAGCCAAATTTTTCATTTTTGGTTTTTTAGATTTAGATTGCCTGGAAAAATTGTTTTTTACTTACTTCTTAAATTTGACCTTGTTGGCCTTTTCAGCAGAACGTCTGAAATTAGTGAGTAATTACTACATTCATGGAATAATTAGTAGTTAACTACAAAGTGTTAACCAAATTTCAAATTTCATCACCTAACCTAAATATTATCTTGATATTAGCAAAGGGTTTTGGAAAATAGTAAGATTCTTATCTAAGTTGAAAAATTATCCAACAGTCACAAGCGTAGAAATATAACCAGTGCCTGCACGATGGATTCTTGAGAAATTTTTGATTTGGCCTCTTTGTGAGCATTTTGGCTTAAATTGCTCACCAGTCTAGCCTTCGTTTGTAAATTCAATCTGGCAACCTTGAATTGGTCTCTTTGATCTTCTCGCTATACATTTTTCGCAAAGTGGTTCAAAACTCTTTATCACTGAAAAATCCATAAATGGCCAGATTATCCGGTAAAATCCGGCCGGATATTCCACGAAGAAATCCGGTAAATCCGGTTCCGGCCGGATTCTGAAAATCCTGATCCGGTACACCCCTAGTTTTTTCCATTGCCTAAAGTTGGCACACAAGGTCTATTTGTTAACGAAAATTTTCTCAGAAACATTACAAAAAGAGAGAAATCAGCTGTTGAAGGAAAAGAAACAGCAGGAAAGAACTTTTTTGAGGATATGAGAGATAAAGTTTTGTTCTTAAAAAGTTTATCATGAAGAAAACTTAGAGTTTGATCGTTTGAATAATCCATTCCTACTGAGAAAGAGAAAATATCGACGCAATTATAAATTCTATTTAAACTCATTGACAAACACTTCATTTCCGAAAAAGTTAAGATTAAATGTTACAGAGATATATCTTAACTGTACAAAATTGCTGAACTTTTTATTTTTAGTTGATAGTTCTATTGATATTTCAATGTTAATGTTTTTTATTAATCCGTGTTTTCATTTATTTTTCTCCCCCATCTTATTTCGGGTACTTTCAAAATCTAAAAAAGGTTTCATTACGAGCTATATGATAGTGGTTATTCTAAATATCTAAATTCCACGTGGCTTATATCCGGCTTAACACCTTTTCATGCCTGCATGGTACCGATATCGTGTAAACAGATGGCCTAAATACAAAATATACCGTGCTGGTGTCATTGCATGCCGGTGTGGTACCGCCATCGTGTAAACCGGGTCTAAGGTTTATTCTTGTTCATACGGCGTGTTATCCAGGTGCAGTAAAAAATAGAATCAATTTAGTTACTGGTAAATACGGCGTCTAAACCGATTTGGTACAGCACTTGTTTTTTTTTCGACGATTTTGTCAGTTAAATGATGTTCCAATACATGTTATTTTCTATCATACTTTGCTATTGTTGTGAAGCTTTGCGAAAGTTTAAAGACAGTTTCACTAAGCAGAATGGCTTGGCTACAACTGTCCATTATAACGCAAAACAACGTCTTAAGATAACGTCAAATTATGTGGAATTGGAGATGAGGATAACGATCATTGTTTTCTGTACTACCCCCATTTTAGCCTGGAACGCATGGATCTCTTCCGTCAGAAGTCCATGATTTAGATATTATAGATACGGAATCAAAAGCTTTGTGTGTTTTACTTTTATATGAAAACGCTGATCTGAGTATCATAATGAACAGAATAATAATTGAAGCCACAATTTCGTTCATCGAAAAGACGAAGCGGTTTGGATAAAAATATTGATAACAATATATTTTCATCCTGTTCTTTCGGACCCTTTATTCTGACGTTTTAGACTCTGAGGAATGTCAGACGAAAATTGTGAGAGTGAAGTGTCAGTTTTTAGAATTGTGATGTGAAATGTTTGCTTTTTTTCAAAGCCATTTTAAGAAAATATGAATAGAGAACTTGAGCATTGGGGAGCGTGTATGTTTCCTCAGGTAATGAATTGTTAGAGAAATGTCATTCATATTTAGAACTAGGTAACCCTGTGTCTTTTCCTGTTGTCAATGGCATGGAAGTAATGTATGTTTTTCGTTTAGTTAGGTTTTGCTTGTATAAAAAACAAAAAAGAAATCAAAATAAAGAGAAAAGAAGCAAAAAAAGACGAAAAGAGAGGAAGCAAAAAATATGATAGAGAATGCGAAAATAATGAGGCGTGAAATGCAAAAATGGGCGGAAAAAGAAGAAGAAATTAAAGCAAAGATAATAGAATTGGTCTTTTTTCAACCATACTCTTCAAACTCTTTTTACCTGATGAAACGCTGTTACTGAACCTATTTTTCAATGTACAATGTTGCTTTTTAACAAAGTTAATTTATGTTTATCCCTCGACGTCATTGTTTACACCTATCTGAACAAACTATCTGAAATAAAATTAGATCGGTTTCAGAATGAAGCAAAAATTGATCGAAAATGCAAAGTATAAGGGATCTGTCCATTTCAAGGTCTCAAATATCGTAACAGTAATGAAAATGGTTTACATTTACCCAGGGTGAGGCTTGAGTATGCCAAACGAGATTTTTCAGCTACTCAGCCCGGAACAATATTTCTACTCTGGTACAACAAGAGAAACAATTTGTTTTGCTTCATTTAAGACATAAGTGTCCAGTAACTACAGAGCCGAGATTGACTAGAGAAATCCAAATGGGTGCGGATCCACTTTGGGTCCGTGACCAGTTATGTTGGTGTTTGCTGGAACGGGTCCAATTTAGATCGCGTTTACACTAGCATAGATCCAGTCCACTGTTTCGGCTACTTGACCTCCCATTGATAATGAGAACGAGATATCTTCAATATTTCAGCGGTTTTGCAGGGCCGGCGAAACGTATTTGGAAATGGAGGGGCCAAAATATCAAAGTTTTGAAAGGGCTTAGGAAAGGCCGCCACCATGGTTGGCGGCAAGAAAAGTTTAAGAATTATGGTGTCTTAGGGATGGCCAGATAACCTGTACCTGTATACATACCGGTACAGGTTCATACCGGCGTTGTAACGATATCGTGAAAACGGGTCATACCAGCATGGTATCGACACAAAACCGATATCATTTCAAGTCGCTTTCTCCTCGAGGCTAAAAAATATCCACAGCGAGTATGTTTTACATTCTCGTGGTCAAATCAGAATTATTGCTGCGCACCTACAAATCAATTTTCAACTCATCTTGCAGACAACTCCTCACTATAAAAGGCGTTCGAGTGCATTCTCAGCGAAAAGCACAGAAGGTTAATTAAAATCAAAAACCTAAACGATTCTGGATTCGGCTAGGCAGAGCTGGGAAATAATGGCAGAATTTTTGGACAATGTTTTAGTGCCTTTTACTATCTCGTATCTTTCTTCGTTTTTGGTTATGCTTAGCGTTTAATTTCGCATTGAGTCTCGGTTCTTTGTTTACACATATTTTGGCGCCTTTTTGGAGTCATTGCGCAGGCGTACAAGTGCACAATAAGACAATGATTAACTAATCTGCTAATGTTTCACTGAAGCGATACAATACCATACCGGTATAGTGTAAACAGGGCGCGAGAAAGCTAAGGATTACCGATACCGGTATTGTTTCATGCGGGCATCAAAACATGTCGCAGTGGTACCGACATCGTGTAAATCGGGTCTTAGTAAACTTTTTGCATAAAAATATCTTATCAAATATATTATTATTGGTTTTATATTGCTTTTGAAATTAATCCTATATCGCTGATGAAGAAAATGATAGTAGCTTTATCATTTGGAGCTCGAAGAAAGGTTTTTGGCCAAGTGATCTGGGTCGAGTGACGCATTAGCGATTGTCAGTGTAAAAGGTGGCATTTGAAACTGGTAATCAACTTTAACGCACATAAGCCCAATGCTATGACAACATTTTTGAGGCAAAAGAGGTGTGACCGCGTACACTGGGCATGCGAATGTCAAAACGAGGCAGCAAAAGAACTCTATGCAACAGGCTATGTAAAAAGTTTTTGTTCGAATTCTTAGCGGACGCGAGGAGGACACGGTATAACGAAGAAAATGGCAAATTTTTGGGAAAGATTCTCAAAATTGATGATTACGGTATTACATACAAGTGTATTCGTGATGTTATTGATTGCTGTTATTAACAAAAACTGGTTGGAGAAGGAAACCTCACTGGGAACCTACCATCAAGGTCTATGGCAGTCCTGTTTGGGAGATGTCTGTATGAGCCTTGACTCGTCCGGGACACCAATAAAATATGGTAACTTTTGATTTATTCAAGTATTTTCAATAAGGTTTCCATGAAATTCAAATCAAACTTTGATTTAGAAATGATTCCAAAATGCAAAAGTTATTACTGATAAGAATTCAAATCTATCCAAGTCTCGAGATTGATTTTCGAGGAAAACAATAATGGAAATTCTTGATCTTTTCATGGATATTGACTCTTTTATTATTATAAAACACTTTTTTCGTAAACAGATTTACTAAATGTAAACATGATCTCAAAATGAAATTTTTTTGCCAGGCAAGTCTATCCTTTGTTAGTTCACAAGCTTCTTTCCATTTGATTTTATAAATGTCCCGTAGGTTTGATTTTTTTTACTGAGAGCCAAGTTAGATTTGGGAGGCCTCTTGGTCTTATATATTTTTCATCCGCGTATGTTTAGGCTAGCTTTGCAGGGGTTTTATCTGGTAAACAAAGTGCATGTCCTAACCATCTAAGTTGACGTTTTTCGATTATCATGTTGATTTTATGCAGCGTGGTAAATATAGTGTTCGTGTTTTTATATATTTTTCTACTGTTAGAAGACAACTACAGCAGCAAATGGGTGCGTACGTATTGCCTATATTTTGTGTCAATGGAATATATTGCAGCATTTAAGAGCTAAGTCTACGGAAGCAGAACCCAACTAATTAATATATTGTCATATGATTCTCGTACTTAAACTATTATGATACTTAGATGGGAGTATAACATCGCTTATTTTTAGTGCAACCCAAGTAAAAGCAAACAAATATTTTGACTGTGAGCTGGTGTGTTATCATCTATTTTGAGTTTTTTGTAACTAAGTTACAAATATTAGCGTGAAAAAACTTGCTAAAGAAAATTATCTCAAATAATTGGGAAGACTTGCACCTTGCACTTTGATCAGGTAACGCAACACATCTGCACGTGTGGTGTTAGTGCTTTTGACACATACAGTAAGGTTTTAGTTTAGACAGTGAAATTGTTGTGACAAACTAAGCAAGTACCTAGTACTACATCTGTTATCGGGATATTTCTGTATATTAGTAATTGATCGATTTTCCGAGATGAACACAAAAAATCTTTCCAAGAAATATGTGATCGATGACATCAAAAATTACTTTGAAATATTAAAAAAAGCGAAAACAGCTTTGAAATACTCTGCGAATGACGATCAAAATAGTCAGACTTTATCCAGCTTATAAAGTGCTTTTACTTGATATATAAATTTCTTAATTTTGCCGATGCCAGCATTTATTGATTACGTTATTCTGTACCGTTTGTTCACCAAAATTCTGCTTGATTGCTTCTAAATTTCGCAACAGGTTCCAAAAAAAGCCAGGATCTTTTACTTCGCTTCTGTTTTTCCCTGACTTTCTGTTTACACCCAGCAGTGCCCTAACACACTCTTCTATTAAATTAAACTGAGCAACAAACCGTAGAAATAGTGTATATTTAGTAACTGACAACAAACCATTCTTTTTTCAGAATCGAAGAATATCATTAGGGTGACCCTCATCCTGGGAGCGCTGTTTGGCTTCCTTGCATCTGCCCTCTCAATCAAAGTTTCATTGAAGTTTGTTGCCATAGTAGCCTCAGTTTCATGTAAGTAACAAACCAACGAATTCAACGCTTATGACGACTAAATAACGCTTATAAAGTGGATTTAAGCTCGATCTGTTGAAAACAATGATAAAAAAGACTGGGTCGAGCTTCTTGTTGATTTGAAACACCAAAGTTGAGGTCGGCTAAATTGCAAAAGAAAGAGAGTCCCAAACAGAAGCGGGAAACTTTTTCTCAAAAACAGTATTTGAATGATATGGATAGGCAAAAGAAGTAATTCTGTGTATGCCGAGAAGGAAAAGACTTGCGCCTTATCAGTGTAGCGATATATCAAATTCCTTTTGTTTAAATGCGTCATGTGTTCTATTTTAGGCTCTTTCGTTACTTCTGGGATGGCCATCTTCACCAACGATACACAAAGTCGCATATCACGAATGTTAGGGTTTCAGTACGATTGGGCATTTATACTTGGATGGATTTGTGTTGCTTCTGGGTTTTTAACGACAATTGGTACATCAATTGCCGCATGCCTGTTGGCCCGAAATTCGGATATGGAGTCATTGGAATGAGTAACCATAAAGGTGAAAACAAAACAGAAAAAAATTTGAAAAGGATTTTCAAACTAAATAAGTTGTATACTTTTTAACATTTTCTGCTTTGGTGGGCTGTAACAAGCTTGTTAACAGGTTGAGATTTAGTGAATATCTCTTTCCTTGACAACAGATTTTTGAGCGGGCGTAAATATTACAGAACTTTAGAAAATAATCTAAAATGTGTAAGGAGAATGACATATCAAGAACAAATATTGTATTTTAATGAAATAAAGTCGTGAGAGATATTAAATTGACTTTCTGTGCCTGCAGAGATAAAAGAAAACACTAAGGGAAATATATGTGAAGATCGCAATTTAACATCACCCAATCTAAACAGAACAGGTTATGGAAATCTTTATATCAAACTTTATCGTGAACGCCATTGACAAAAAAGGTACCATTTACAATCTGGAATTACTAAGTTCTGTTTTTTCACTTTGCTGACACTACATGCTGTCTACGTATGTATCTAGATATCTAAATATCTAAATATATCTTTGTGCTAACGCTAGACATATCCGAGAGTAAATCCTATAGGCTATCTAAAAACAACAAACCATTGAGGCATACGCATATTGCAGCGTGTGAAAGTGATCACATGAAAATTTCATATCCTGATTGACACACATAGGAAATGGGTTAAGTAACTCTAATTAACGGAAAAAAACCAACATGCGGGTTGAACATGAGAAATGTCGTTAAGAGTGTAAGAGCTATTGGCAGGAAACTACAACGAAACTTTTCATGAAATATTAATCATATTTACTTTACTTTATACAGAAAAGGTCACTTGCAAATTATGCTCAAAAATTCAGAAATAGCTTTAGTAGGATTTTGAGGCTTTAGGAGCTAGGGCTGTTTTTCTTTGGGAATGTCTTCTATTTCTTTTGAGTAAAATAACCAAATATGTTCAAAAACTCAAGGGTTTTTCATATCCCTTACCCCTTGTCAGATGAGAATGGAGCAGTTTTACAAAGAGTGTCAGGGTTGCACTCTTAAGAGAATCAAAACGGAAACAATACTTAAACTTCCCGTACATACGATCTTAGAGCCAACAAAATTTAATGTCAAAAGTCAAGGGGAAAATCCTTCCAATCGTTTGCATATCTTGAAACAGTTGGAGACAACTGCCAATAACTGTCGATCTATACTGAACTCGATGTCTGCTGGGCTACTTTCAACAATGCTATAAAAGATATTCAGACATGTTCTATATAATTGCTTTTCCAAATCTGTAATAGAAACTAAACACTGACAATGCCTCATAAGACTAGCTAGTTTCCCCTACCGTCTACAGATCAAACTTTTCCTTCAACTACTTCCTTAAAAATTAGGTTAAATGAAAAACGCATATTGGTTGACATTTACCAAGGTTGTAAGATGCTAAGGATAAGGGTTTCGAAGAGCCGAACGGGAGCACAGATGTTCACCTTTGTGTGTAACAAACCAAAATCTTCTGATGCCCAAAATTTCACTATGAAGACCTCCCATCCTAAATCTGCCAACAAAGCTTCCCGTATTTCCAGAAAATTCATTTCTTTTAAGAATGAATATTAAACTTCGCAATTTAACTCTTCCTAGCAAAACAAGTTTAAATATGTAGCAGATACAAATAAAATGCCTCTTGCCAGTGATTGCTCATAAAAAATTAATTGCTCTTTTAGCTAATCTGCTTGTACTAATCTCTCTCGTTGTAAACAGACCATCATTTTAGCTCCGAAAGAAGAAAAAAATTAAACACAATGAGTGAAGGAATAAACCATTGACAGGCATACCCATTTTCCATCGTATGACTAGAAGAAAAACTGGCATTTTGAAAGCTTTCGTCTTCAATGTTGTCTAAAATCAACCAAGGGTATGTCACAGTCAGAATTTATAACACACAAAAAAGTTGGAGAAGACATTGGTACCAGTTGGTCGATCGCCCTCCTTGAGTGGTCCACGAAATTTTTCTAATTCCAATTGAGCATTAAAAAGGGGGTATAAAGATCGCCTTCTTCTCTCAATAAATAGTGTCTCCTATAAAGGGCGTGGTCCATTGAAGTTTCCCTTAGTTAACGTTCTATAGAATCTCTACGTTCTTACCGAACCATTTCCAACGTTTGGTCTCTGTTGAGTGTTGACACAACAGATGTTTTACACAACGATATCATTTCAAGCAGATAAAAACCTAACCTAAGTTAACATCTACGATAATAAGAACAGTCAACTTAGGAAAACATTCTCCCTCAATGCGCAATATTTCCCTTAAAATAGATAAAACTTGGAGATACTTCTGTCACTTTGAAACGCACATAACGAATACAGATACCACTTTGTATACTAACATCAACACCTTAACAGGAGCGACAAAAAGTCCCAAAGAAAAACGTAGTAGCAATACTAATCCAATGGTCGCTAATAGCAACAAGGAATCAATCAAAATGCTTGAAAGACCTCATGCCTTGCAAGAAGGCGTAGGCTAGACTATATCATGTGTAGGTAAGAGCGACAGTTAAAATACTCACAGCCATTCAAAGGCAATTCACCAAAACTTCTTTCATTTTCAACATTAAGTGGCTAAAAAGAAAATTAAATACATTGAAATTTTAGAGCAAAGCTGAAATTATCGGTGACTGTTTTTAGGGAAAGAATTATCCAAAAAGAATTGATGATTCAATTACTGAAAACGATGTGTCAATTTAAATGAGAAGAACAACGTGATAGGAAACTTTAGAGCTCTTTGAGTAGATACGTTTATCATGGCAAATATGCAAACATATTTGATCAGAAAGCAAACACTATCTGCTACAAAGCTGGAAAGGTCAATTCAAGATTTACAGAAAAAAGTTAACATGGCATTCTTTGATATTAACTACCAGTTTATTGTGTGATATGAAAATGCTTTCTGTACACAGTAAATGTTACAATTCATAAATGTTTTTCTTATAACAGTTTATGTAACTTTTCATATAATTTTTCATGTAACCCATTTACTTTTTACAACAAAATTTGCTGAGATGTATCACGTTATACCTGTGACATAAGGCTTCCAATCTGTCACCAAACCTAAAAACGTTAGTTGGACACCCCTGCCCTACACCCCATGCTAGCTATGCCCATGATAACCAATCAAACAAAAATCCTTTAAAAAACCAAAGTATCTTTTATGACATACGGTTAATGACCCAGCCTCTGGGACATTTTGCTCAAATGCACAGCCAAGGTTGTTTCTAAAATCTGAAATGATCCCAAATATACGGGTTCGATGGTCTTCAACTTCTTCAGCTATTCTTTGCTCCATATCCTTTTCTGCAAAATTAAAATAAAACCCTACTTTACAAAAAATCAATTAGATTATTATAAAAAACAATAAATAATCTTACTATGTTGAAAATTTATATTTGCTGCAATTCAAAGCAAATTTACAGTTTACTTGAATGTGAAAGCTACACCATGTAGTTATTTCTTAAAAAATAAATTAGCTCTAACTTGATAACATTGACAAATGCAATATCTAAATTTGGAATGCCATCAAAAGAAAACAGAGTGGCATTCTCAGAACAGCATTCCTCACTAATACCTTTTTTATGTATCCATGCATATATGTGTCTTACCAAAAAGCATTCATTTTAGACTTCACAACCAATCTTTGCTGACAGATTGAAGGATCCTTACATCAGAAGGATATTAAGATGCAGTAACAAGGTTTATGACAATGTTAACTCTGAGTCTGGCACTTTGACATGATGGAAATCAAATTTAATCAAAAGCTCAAATTACCCAAATGCTGGAGCATTTCCTCTGTACACAATGGCCTTGCATAAGCACAGTCTTCTTCTAGAAATGGTACATGGTGTGTCTCATACTGTTCACTAGACATCAGATGATCAACTGGCTTTTCTTTTTCAAGATGATCAAGAATATCCCCATTTAATCTAAATTTACTGTTGCTAAGGGAAAAAAGCAAAAAAATAACATATGTGTACATAGTTACAGTTGAAAATGTAGGGATTCAATGAAAAAACATATTTTGAAGGTAAATTGTGTATCTTACCAATTATCCTCACTGTATAAAGTCATTTTATTTCCATCATCATTCTCTACACTGGAATTCATCTTGCTTGACCTAGCTTTTAGCTGGTAAAGTAGAATAAAGAATAGCTTTTTTTTAAAAAAAATTGTGAAAAATCAGTGACAGCAGAAAATCTCCACAGGTTAGGTGCATTGCATTGTAAAAAAAGTTATATGGTAAAATAGGGTAAAAGTAAGGTATTAAATTCGATACTTGTATTGGAACAGAAATATGAATTGGCACAGAAACATTGGAACAGAAATATAATTCAAATCAAATTCAAATCATTGTTAAAATTGCAATAAATTTCTTAAATTAAATCAGACCACTGGAGTTGCTCAACTAGAAAACCAGTAGTTATATATTAACTAATACAAATATCGACGAAGATAGGACAAAAGATATAATTTACAGTTGTTTTGCATCTATCGAACTAATACAAGATTATGTAGATCTTGAGGAAACATGATTCTTCATTTACCTTAGCAATATAACACATCCATACGGGGCCTAGGAAAAAATTCAAAACAGCACTTACTGTTCTGTGATCTTTGTAGGCCAAAGTCAGTTTCGATGTATGTATGAGTTTTTAAGGCAATTTTTCCTGAACTGGATGGTAGATTTTAATGAATCAATTGCAAGAACATAAGTACCCAAAAACTTGACATCCTTTTATTTACTTATCAGGTGGTTATGGCCTTCTCAACTAACTCATTTATTTCCCGCCATTGTAGGCAGTACGCTCCAGCGCAGCGACCAGCAAAATAGAAGCAGAGAGGCACGAGGCACTAGTCTGTCCCTTTCAAAAGAAGTAACCTCCTCAAAAATAGCCCTTTCTTTGGGATAATAACAACTTTATAGAACAATCATGTTGATGAAACCACATAATATATCTACAAATAGATATAATCACTATTTCTCGTATTCCGTAAAATGGCACTTTAATAAGAATGTTTAAGTCTCAATTTTTTTTGACTCCCCTTCTTTTGACTACACTCAATCTTTAAGCAACTTTTTTTATAAGTGATATGTAGTCAATGAACCCTCTGGGAATTGCAAAACTTGTCTTATAAACAAAATAAACAAGAAACATAGACTTGTATGTTCATTATCAAACAATATTGAGAGTAAAGACTTAAGGTTTATAATGGGAGCTTAAGGATAATATTTTTGGTGAAGTTACTGACAGCTTCTTACACTTCTTTTCGATGGCAAGAAACAAAATAGGTTTCGGAATGTGAGGAGACTTCAGCTATCTTGCATAAAGAAAATTATGTAGCTCAAAAAGATCCTTCAATTACGTATTTAAGGTCTTAAGATGAATAAGGATGTTACCCGGTAGCAAATGAATCAGATTTTCAAAGTAGTTGTTCTGTGGCGCTTTGGTCATAGGCAAATAAAACCCTGCTGTCTCGCATGTTTTCATTTGTTATGAATTACAAATGCCATTAGGTTCTAAAAGAGCCCAACAAATCTAGCCTTCGTTATATACCAAAGTCTTAAAACAACAAAGCTCTAAAAATGCGAACTTGCATTTCTTTTCGGGAGATCTTTAATAAGACAACTAATTTGCAAAGAAATATCACGTATGAAACTAGATGAAACGTTTTTAGGCTGTTCTTCGCGTTTTATGAGGGAAAGTAAGGAAAACGATGTTAACAGATGTCACAAAATCCAGAAGAAGAAGACAGGTGTAATGAGCAGTTACCAGGATGCACAAAGGTATTTTTAGTAAAGATGTGTGAGCAAAATTCACTTTATCCAGGAACCAATTAGAGGGGATCAAATGGAGAAGTAGCCCTCTAGGGCTTACGAAAGTGAACTGCCAAGATGGAGTTGAGGGTGGTGCAAGCATTTTGGGCTGTAGAGCTCATTATTGCTATCACTGATTTTCTTTTACAGCAGCTAGGACCCATTCGCTTTTTAAAGCGCTGTTATATCATAATGTTGGCGTTCTTTTAAATAAGAACACCGTATCAATTCGAGTAAAAGCTCCTTTTTTTAAAAACCCTAGAATGAAAGCCCCTAAAGTAGCATAACTAATTTAAAGAAGGCCTCAGCCGTTTTTTAAAGTAATATTATAATATTAGATTAGCTTTCTGAACATCTGAATGATAATAGGTGGATCAAATAACTCTTAACGATTTCTTTAATTTGACGCATTCTAATACTTTTGCTCTGGTCGAAAGATGACAAAGACAAACTTCCTATCAAGGAAGAATTCTATTGCAGCTCTCTGTCGTGTTTTTTGTTTTGTAAAGTAGGACTAGGTCAGACAAACCAGTCAACAACAATCCAATGCATTTATGCAATATTCTTCATACGATAGCTTTTGATAAAATAGTAATTGCCTTCATTTTTAATTATAAATTAGGCAATATTCGAACCATGAAGAAACTGTACAATAAAGATGAAATGATGATTTTTTGAAGACACCTGTGCAATGACAAAGGTGAAGGATTATTATCAAAATCAAACACAAACTTAAGCATAACTTTATCTACTGCTAAATAATGCAATTGCCCTTTTCTTATCAGTGCCGTCGGGACGAATTTCATATTGAGGGGGCTGCCCATTGTTTTCCTCCTCATTCAGTACACTCTTATAAAGGAAACATACTACAGTTTGACAATTATTGGGGGGCTCCAGCCCCCCAGGCCCCCCCCCAGCCCCCCCCGGTTCCGACGGGCCTGCTTATCACTTGTGTTACAACGACATTTTTGATCTTGCAAGGACTGCCAAATTTCTCGATTCTACTTTCTACATCGATTGCAAGGAGCTTGGGGGATCATTGCATCGTGTAGGATCAATTTCTGTTACTTGCAGTCCTTTGTTTAATACACGCAAACGCGAGGTATTTTGCTAAAAGTTGCAGACAAGGAATGGATAGTTGGTCTTTATACAATCCTAAGTAGCCATTATGCGTTACTTGAATTCTCAAAGCTGAATTCAGAAAAGCAAATTATGAAGTTAACCCTTGCATTGTGCTCCTACAATGCCATTGCCCAGCCCAAACCATTCATTTCTTATTGCAGCTTTTCATTATTTCAACCATTAAAAGCGAATAGTTAGGTTGCAAATATAAAGTTGAATGCAATGAAGAGAGTCCTTTCTCAAGCCATTGCTGCTCTTGGAGAAAGAAAAATGGCCTGCATTAGTCAGCGGAACGCAAAAGGAATTTTTAATGGAAGGGCTATTGCAAAATAAATCTTCGATAAATAACATCTTGTCATAGAATAGTGAGTAAAAAGCTACTTTGTACCTGCTTTCATGCCTTAATCACTCAATTGTATGACAACAATAATTATTTCACAAATACCGAAAACCTACGATCCTAATTGATATAACTCGAGACATTACCGATGGGATTTTCAAAATGTAGGGAATGTTACACCTACACCCCTTCATATCCCGTACTTGATAAGGCCTAAAGAATGTTAGACGATTTGTTAGACGAACAAAATGCTTTGCCTCTTAACTTTCAAAATATAATGTATTCTACACTGTAATTTAGCTTAACAATGTACACTAGGGTCCTTTGACTTCACTACTATTGATACCAGATTGATGTTTCTTTGAACAGTTTTCTGCAAAGCAAATTCTGTATCGCTATCCTTTTTAGAAATTGAATCAGACAGTGTCTCGGTAGCATTCGGGTCTTTTAGTTTCCAGGGATTGACGTTTCCCAATTCTGACGACGGCTGCAATTCTGTACGCCTGAAGTACGTTAAAGCTGCAAGTCTCGGCACGAAAAGACAGGAGACGTAGGCTGCAACAATGACAAGGCATAAGACACTAAAAGAGTACTCTTGGAGAAAACTTGTTTTATCTTTGGCATATACACTAGACGAGGCAAGGTAGAGGAACAGAACGAAGCATGTAAATACTGAAGCAAATACCGTTTGCTTGCCCTCATATACTGACGCCGGTAGCTTTTGTGACTTGGTCTGCATAACTAACACGGTGGCAAGTGTTGATAGTATGCAAGGATATAAGAAATTGACTACCAGACTCAAGAAGTTAAACGTACAGTGCTTTATAATGTGTCTGTTATCAGAGGATTTGTAGCTCTGTACAGACATAGGATTTCCAGCTAGCCAAAGTGTGGATAACAGTACTTGCATAGCGACGAGTCCCAAGCAAATCAGGCTTTGCGATCGTTTGTCAGAGAGCTTCGGAATTGACACAGAACGTCTTGCTTTCCTGACGACTCTATAGATTACCATGGCTTTCAGGAAAAGAGGTACACTGCAAAGTGTAAGCCCTATGCCAAACAAACATTGCTGCAAGTTACAGATGAAAAGAGATGGCTCTGACAGGAAAGCTATAGGAGAAAGAGCCAAAACAGCTAGGCCTAGTAGCGAAACAAGCGAAAGCTCACGACTGGAAGCTTTCACAGTACGAGAATTGAAGTATTTGATAAAAAAGAACAAAGAAGCTAACAGGAAGAAGAACAGACAAGTGGTGAAAAAGATGATTAATACTGGAAAGGGAGTGCCAATCTTGATGGATTGCAGCTTCATCGAAAGACATTTTCTCTTATCTGTATCGCTGAAGGTCCAAGACCGACAAGGCTGGCACGTGTTGTTTACCACAACATTGTTTTCGGGACACACTGATCAAGTCCAACAACAGGGATATACTGCATCATAGACTCTAATTTCTCCGCTAGAACAGTCAAAGCCACACCGTGAGACTGGAACTTTTTTCAGCCTCCATTGCATTTTTGAATCATTTAGAAGTAGCCTCTGTTTCATATTTCCTTGTGGAATATTTAGCCAAGAGCCTACATTATGGAATTTGACGTTGCCATTCCAAAGTTGTGTATTATAAACCGTATAATTGAGTCTCAACCTGTTCTTAGCATTAAATTGTAACTGTTGGCCTAATGAAGTATTGAATCGAATTTGCTTTAGATTGTCTAAAACAGGATTCTTGTACTGACCGCTTCCTTCAAAACATTCCCCACTCAAACAGTGCAAGGGCGTTTCGTTACCAGCTAGCTTGAGAGCGGCACCAAAAGACATCACTGCGTTTATGATCGGCTGGACTGGCACGTCTTCATAAAAACCTCTTCCTTCTGACATTGTCTCGTTTCCATTGCATCGTTTTAGCGGTTTTGTGTACGAAACAGTCTCGTTGCAAAATTCTTCAGATACTGAACAATTGAAGAGCTTTTCCCAGAATGGTTTGAAAAACGCGTTTCTTTTATTGTTTTTCGGTGTTAGTGAGAGATAGTAATTATCGAAAATGGGATCATGTGGAGACTCTACCTCAAGAGTTATCACTCCAAGTTCCATGAATTTATCATTGGGGAGGATACCCTCCTTTGTTCCAAGATGCTGACCTCCAAGAAAATTCAGATTTGAAAACTCTCTGCTGTGTTTTGAAATATACCTGAAAAATCCTGCAGCCATAACGTCAGTCAAAAGTAGGAAAATAACCTCGACTTTCTTTTGCTTTTTCAATGGGGCAAGAACTTCAGAAAACGAAAAGTCTTTGTAATTGTTGCGCACTGGGGCAGAGTACTTAATGCAGATTCCTTTTTTGCTGGCTACACTTTTGAATTCGCTAAATCCACTGTCGCTATCTTTTGCCGCATACAAGACAGCGACGTACGTCCAATTGTAGTGCAGAGCAATATCGGTGAGAGCATCAACCATATCTGAGTTTCCAGGTACTGTGTGGAACAGATTGTTATACTCTTGATCATCCTGCAGAAGATCGCTTGTTCCACCGTATGTAACGACTGCGGTTTTGGTTTCAAAACTAGAATAAACCACAGACGCGATGTGGACTGGGGACGAGTCTTCCGGTCCAATAATTCCTACCACTGAATCTGTAGTGCCAACAGAACAAATTACTTGTTGGTTCGCATTTCCACAAGTGTCAAAAATCAATGCACCAACGTCAAAGTTTGTGACCGATTTTATATCCAAGTTCACTAAGTCAAGAGCATAGAAAAACGCTTCTAATCGCATCATACCATATTTTGCATCGATTGTCTGGCAATTTCCAGCTAGGTTGCTGTGGATGCTTAAGAAGAAAAGTATATGTGCGCTGTTATCACGATAATGCACTTCGTGGACTCTGTTATTACTGCAACCTAGATAAGAATAGCAAAATTACATTCACTTATTAATAGTTCAGTTTTATAGTTCAGTTAAATAGTTCAGTTTAGTTAAATGTCTTTGAAAGTAAGATAAAGGCTTCGCGTTCAAAGTGATAGTAGTTTGGCATAACATATGACACCTGTCCTCACAGACCGCTACACGGCCTCAATTTAAGCATGTTTAAAATCTTATACTAATGAAAATTGTTGTTCGCAGGCCTTCATTGAGTGCCAGTGCAGGATTAAGCCCAAATTTAGCCTGGTGCTGCAGCACAGAAAGAATCTTCTATTCGGCCTATTCAGTTTCAGGAAAAATCTGCAAATAATGCTGCAACACCAATAGCAGGCACCATAATCCGGCCCTGTAGTGTTCAATGCCGTGTAGGCAGAGCTGTACTCGCTTTGGCGTGTAAAACAGGACGGTTCTAAATTTTTTTCGTAAAGATCTTAGTGAAGTGATACACTGCAGATGGTTGCAATATAGGCAGTCACCTGCGTTGCAAACTGTACGGAGGAGAATTAAGTAATCACTGGAATAGAAAAATAGCCACATGAAAAAAGTATTTAATGTTGTAAACATATGTAACCCAAATGTTGCAAAAATATTTCAAACTTGATTTATAGAGTTGGTAATTTATGCATTACTTATAAGCAATACAGGAAGAGAATGAAATGAACTCTCAACTGTGTTCTTCTGTGTTAAGGAAACCTGGTACTAATCTTTGGTAAGAGAGATAGTTCATGTTTATAAAGAATTCATGTCAGATATCATGTCAGACGTCATTGGTAATTGAACAATTAAAGTAATTTTATCAAAAAACACTACTCTTAGCCAATTCCTTATCAAAAAGTTCTCTCAATTTTATTTGGTTTGCAATAGACAACAATACTCTACAATTAACAAACATCACTACATTCTGCTACAACATATGAAAAAAGTTTACAAACAACACTACATGAACCACCCTCAGAAAGAGAGGGTAGGTTGGAAGAGACAATTTTAGATCTTTAATGTGTCCATCTTTGCATTATATGCACATCTTATTATCCCTATTTCCATTGTAACATAACCAGCAACACGTATATAGCGTCCCATCTTTTTATGTGGCTCCGTGTTCACTGCGCGAAAATTAAACAACCTGGAACCAGCACGTCTGTTGTTTGATGGAAAACATTAGGGAACTGCAGCATATAACCTATTCATCCTTTCAGCAGGGAAGTGTTCTATCGTGCAAGTACGAAGGGACGCTCAAAAGAAAACGAACGTAGCTACACCCTCACAACGTTTCTTGATAGAAAGCTCAACTAAAGTAAGCAAAGACTAAACATGATTTCAAATTGCAAAAAGATGTAGAGAATGAGCTTCAATTTCCTCCCCCTCATTCTGTTAATGTGGAGACACTCAAATCAGTCAGAGTCAGCCAATTAGTGTTTGCTTTCAAGACGTAGACTATTAGCTCTGATAATTATTGTTCATAGGTTTGCTCTTAGACGGACTGTTCAAACAGCAATAGAGGTAACCTATAATGAGACATAATATGTCAGAGAGGCACGATGAGAGCAAGACTCGAACCCGCGACCAGATTTTCTTAAGTTGATCATATTTCTCTATAAATTCTTGACGATTTCTCTGTTTCGACCAGAATTGACTTAAATGTCAAATGATTTGTAAGGGTAAATAACGAAGCATTGCCTGCAATTGTTAGTTCGTTATACTTGGTTATACATAAAAAACCTGAAGAGCACTTACTTTGCGCAATTGCGGAATAAATCAATGCAGACAGCACGAGACCAGATTTCAGGAAAACCATTACGCTGAGAATCTTCATTCTGTAGTCTCTTGCTTTAATCTAAGAACCCAGTCATCTAACAGGCTGTGGATAAATGATCATGTAAAAATTTCAGGGCAAATGGTAACCAAGAGGCACATGTAAAAAACGCATTCTTTCTAAACCATTGCGGCCATCAATTATTAATGAATAAATGAAACTCGTTTAAACAAATTAAATTCAAATATTTCTACCTAACTTTAAATAAGAATTAAATCTTCTTGCTCAGATTTGTGTGTTTGCGAACGTTCTAATAGAATGCGCCAAAGCCTCATTACACGATATAAGACAACCATTGTCACTCAGACGAAACTTGTTGAATATATCTACCCGTAAAAATCGTGTATAGCTTTGTTGATATCTTTTTCATTTTTAAAAAACTAAACACGGCTGCACTGGGTTCAAAGTATGTGGTTCCTTGACAAATATTCAAAGTTATATCAACTGATTTTATCGTCTTCAAAGATGTCCATCTGCTAGTTTTTGTACTGTTGTAACGGCAAGCCACTATCTTTATAGTTATACATTTTTAATTGTTTTTGTTCCTAGCTACCTTATTTAGAACTTCGAGCCTGAGCAAAGATCATCTGATTCTTAAATCAAAGAGAGAATTTGGCAAACAATCTTTTGGTGGCACAAAAATTAAACATTATCTATGAAGCAAACTTTTTGAGTCATACTAAAGCCTTTTTACACTCTTCAAAGTATAAAAACATCAAAAGTCATCTGCTCACTTTTCTGATTGGGTACAAATACATCCCGGGGAAGAATTTTTGATCTAATTTCCGAGGTTTTTTACTCTGACGAGTGTCAGACAAAAAGCAATAGCATAACTCGAAATGTTTGCTTTTTTCAAAGCCATTTTTAAAAGAGTGTAACAATTTATTCCAGTATCTAAATATCTTAATTTTTTCAATGCTTCTACATAATCTAATAGCTTCAATACCATTTCAGATAACGCTCGTGACTTTTAACGTCAACATTTTATCTATTTGTAGTGTTTCAGTTCGCTTTATTAGGCTTGCGTTGTCTCAGAACATTATGTTTATTTCGACTTACTACTTATGTAAACTGTCTCACACTACAGCACCTGTGCTATGTTACCATGCCTTGATAAACTGGCTAGTTTTGCTTTTATTCCCCAAAGATAATACTTTATGCATGTTATATTTTTATGTCACAACAATTTTTGTTCAAATAGAAGCAAATTTTCCCCTAAGCTTTGAAACAGACTGGAGAGTTGAACACGATGGTTAGTGATTCCCGTGACGTAAACGAAATTTGCTGATCTACCAATGGTAGGTGCAGCTTTAAAATTTCGGACACCCGGTACAAAGACGAGAATTCAGCAAAGAGTAACGGGCATGTTTTACACACCTGCTTACAAAATTAAGCAAGTTGTCAAACAAGTTGTGTTATAAATCTTTATTAACTAATAACCACATATTGGCATTCTACACAACAACAATCCATCTTTTGATATTGGCCTTGTGGAGTTCTCAATGTGATTGAATGCTTCAAATCTCTTAATTGTAGACATGTAAAAAAGCATTTACTGGCAAATGTCGCTTTTTCAGAAAACGTGCCACAAATCTTTATCACAAATCACTGATCATTGATAATGGCTTGTCTTGTGCAATATTATGAAGGCTAATAGACTATAGACCAAACGTTTTTTACGTCATAAAGTAATGTAGATCTAGAGTACATGAATAAAAAACAATCCTTATAGGAACAAAGCAGATTGGATGCCATCCCCGTAAATCATTTTCCATTCCATCTATCTGCTTAGATATTTCTACAAGAATCTCAAAGTGGAGATTTAAAACACATATTTAACTAACTGAATTCATACTTCATATAGAACAATTAATATGACAATTTCCAGCCTTGCACTTTTAAGGTTTCAGAATGGAAAACATCTCTTACCACACCATCGAATATTCATATCGTCTTCTGACTCCCGTACACCAATTTCTTAATGAGCCAACGTCTGCTGTTTCTTTAACTGTTTACCAAACTATAAAGGGCGCCACCTGCTTCCATATCAATGCATTGATGCCTTTCACATGTGACTGATGTATATCAAACCCAGCTGAAAGACTCTTTGAACAAGATTGCTTTCAATTGAAAAACAATTCTAAATGATGCAATCTAAAAAAATTAATACAGATTTCTCACTATGATACCAAGCCACTAAAGCGTAATGCACAAGCAAATGTTTACGTAAATCATATATTTGTTCTAATATTTTTCTCAATATTTATTCAAACACAAAAATTAGCTTTCTTAAAACCCTCAAAATAATCAAGACCATTTTAATGTGCTTACAGTACTACAAAATTTCTTTTGATAACTTTCTGCATATTCTTCAGCAGCTGCAAACTTACAATAACGTAAATAGGAAACCGCCTAAACTCTATTACTTTATTCTTCTCTTCCCTTCGGTAGCGGCATCAAATGCTGATGAGTGGTTCCTATGTTCGTTAACTTTGTGAGTCATCACCCTTTGCGCATCTCTTAGTGCCAATTCCTATACAACTACTCATTTTCCTTTAGAAGACCTTATGTAATATATATTGACCCCTCTCAAAGCATTTTTAGAACGATTCTTAGAACATTACGAGGACCATGCTTTAACACAACCACTGCTTTTCTTCAAATGGTATTTGGGATCTCCAAGCTTTGCGAAAATAAAATGAATTATTTGAAAGTAATTGATCACAAAACTAAAATAATCGACGTCTTAGTAGCCATGCATTTAGAGCTAAAATTATGCATTTACACCTGCAACTAAGAAATTAGGTATGACATACTTCTTTGGTAGCTTATACTGTGTTTATTGAAGGGCCGAAAAGATACAAGGATATTTTTTGAATATAAAACAAGCTATCATGTGCGGTTATTTGCATTGAAATAGTTCATGAGACTTCAAAGTAGGACAAATGCGCCTCTGGTGGCAATAATTCCCAAGAGCGAAGGCTTACTGACACTCTAAATTTTAGGAAATCATTACAAGCTGCAAGTTGTGTACCCCCAATTAACTGCATAATAATAATAGAAATAAGTTTGATATTAAGCAAAGAAAGGAAAATCCTATCAACTCAAGCCTACCAACTCAAGCCTATCAACTCAAGCCTTCATATTGTTTCGAAATGCAAGATATTCTAAATACAATGCTGTAGTACAATGCTGAGAATATTTTCGACCTCGATTTTCGCATAAGTGAGTGTCATATTGCTTAGGCCACCTGATTTATTCCATGTGAAGCTCTCTGTTATTAAAATTAAAGGTTGAAAATAACCAACCCACCCAATCAAGATTGGTTTATGAAAAATAAGAGATTTTAGTTTCATAGATAAATTTGAATCAAAAGAAACAATGCCAATAATTGAATGGACAACCACTTGCGTTAATTATTATCAAAAAATAAGATATTATAGACATTGCACTAGCCTTTTAAGTGGTTCGCCAGGCATCAACATTAGCATAAAAGCAGTTTTCATAAAGAAGAAACGAAAAAAATTATAACTAACAAAAGGCAAATAGAACTTATGATCTTTTTACAACAAACTGTTTAAACTCATTTCACGGTTTAAAAAGGGTTCATTTTGTGATATTACTATGTTTCTGTACGTTGCTAACAAAAACATTTTTATAAAAGTTGTTGTTAACAGGGCTGTTTGTATTTTTCTGAAAATAACTACTGAAAAGGAATTTTATTTTGCATTATAAATATAACAAATTATATAAATATTAATAAGCTCCATTAATAAGGAAGGCTAATACAACCTCTTTCAATCCCTCAATCATTAGAATTATTCTAAAATTAATTTATAGAAGAGTGATATAAAATTCTAGAGCTTAGAGTCCATAGAAACCTCTTGATTTTTTCTATTTAAAAAAATTGTCAAGGTGTTAGCTTGAGAAGTCTCTTAGTAACCTTTAGGTCACATGTGATCAAGTGGCAATAGGTAGACAAAATTTATTTGCCTATGTCCTGATATATTTCGGCGATAACATGCTCATTTAATTTGGCGTTCAGAGAGGAAACATGGGTGAACAGAGCCACAAAAGAGTGCAAGATATCAGCATCTATGGCTGAAAGCAGAAGAAGAAGAGGGTCCCCAAATCCTTTCAAGAGATACAAACGTGTACGGTTGGCATTAAGAGGCAACAAACGCCTTGAAATTTTCCCTTTGTTCCGTTCCTACCCACTGTTTTGATCAGTAAAAACTGATATCTTTTCCACTCGGTAACTCGACACGAAGTGAAAATCCTTTCTAGACAAGTACTGAACAAGGCCACAATGATTCTGAGATCATAAAAGATCTGGAAAAAGAAATCAGGTACAAGAAAGAATTTTTGCTTGAAAATATTATTTGCCTTGTACCATTTAAGCTGATAAATGATAGTCTCCAAATAGGTTCACGTTGACTGTTGCACCTTGACTGTTTCACGTTGAATGTTGCACGTTGAATGTTGCACGTTGAATGCTTCACGTGGACAGATATGCTCTTTGAAGAATATTGCTATAATTCTTTTAATGATCTTCCAGACAGTCTGCAATATTGTTTCTTCATTTCTAAACACGTGGAAGAGTTTGTTGTTACTTCTAAAGGTTCACTTATGGAATAATCAGATGATCTCCATCAGCTTTGAGGAAGAGAAAGGGATTGTTCATCAATACATTGATGACTTCATTTTTCTTATTGGGGGTTCTCGCAAGGAATGACCAATTGGGTGATAGCGAATCAATGACAACTCTGTTTTATCCAATCCAATGGTCAGATTTTGGCAACAAAATAATTCGCCTACTTCTGTGTCGAGGCGTTCTCCATTGTCTTTTAGGCATCAAATCATGACGGGTCTTTATCTTTATATTGATGACATCTTTCACGTAGGACAAAGGAAGTTCAGATATTTTGAGGCATTAGCCATTGCCCTATTCGCATTGCACTTCCCATGATCTGTCTTAAAATGCAGTACAAGTTAAACAAGAAGCTACTTCATTGTTGAATTCCACACAAAACACGTGAAATTGGAGGGCATGAGGGATTGATCAGAATTTATAAAAATCAACCACAAACAAATTTATTTTGCTGGGAACACAAGAGAGCGTACATAGCGTTGTAATAGTAATAATCCGATGACAATTGTGAGAAAGTTTGTTAAAATTTTGTCTGGTTGAGGCCTAGGACTGAATTTCGTGACCATTCGATAATTCACTAAGTTTTTATCAAAAACAGTCCATTGCAAAAAAAATTAACAACGTTAATCAATGAAGACATTTGTCTAATTAGCAGGAAAATGTCTTGTTTTACGCAAACTTAATTTTGATCACAGTGCGAACTGATCAACTTTTATCGTCCTTTGATGTCCACAACCATGATTAGTATAACATCTGGCGAACCCATGCTCTGCTCACACGGGTGCAATATGTTATGAATCATGTTTTCTCTCAGTGGTGGTTTACGTAAATGATAAACAAAAAATTGAACAAGGGAAAGCAAGCGAATAGAATGAATGATAAACCTAATTATGAAATACTCTTTAAAGATTTTTTCCGAGATTTGGAATCTTTATTTTCAAAGTTTAAAGTTAAAAAGAAAAAAGACTTGAGTGGAAAATATTTTTGAAGCCCTCTTATGTATGATTAACTTATCCATGTTTATGATTCGGGTTCAGAATGAAGAACAAGATCAACATTGCGCGAGACACAATCAAATAGCAGAAGACAATGGTACTAACAATGTACCATATAATATGGGTCATAAGAGGAATACCTTGATGCATACTATGCAGGTGGTATCATCATCAGAACGTTCGTCTTATCAACAAATCCTGCAAGAGACCCAGTAATAATTACGGTAGTCTTCAGACGCTTAAAAATTAGAAAGAAGCTGTCACCCAAATCAGCGCTTTCTTTGTTATTTTCAAACTTGAAATGGTATTCTATTGCCTAATGATCGCATCAAGCGTTAAACTCGGAGCAGCAACTTAGAACCGTCCTGTATTGAGCACTTTATGAAAGACTGTTAAACAGTCATTTTCATTGATCAGGATGTGTCATCTTTTAGTTCAATAATATCTAAAAACAAGAACACGTTCTTTTATATTTATACAAAGTTGGGCTTAAATAAAAAGACTTTTGTCACATAACTCTGAGTTTCAAGTTTCTGTATCGATCACTTTCTGCAAGACAGTTAAACTGTAAGGTATAACGGTGTACATATATAAATTCAACTAAATTTAAACAAATACCAGTAAGCCCATAAAAAGGGCTTGAAATTTTACACTCCACAAGTTTAAGAGAAAATCAACTCAAATATAATCAGATAAGAATAGTTTCTAAGGTTGGTTTTAGGGGCAAATGAATACAAACTTAGAATATTTCACATAACTGTTATCAGATATGTAAATATGTGACGATGTTTAATGATTTAAACATTGATCTAAAACTTTTGTGATCTTCTACTGATACTAAAATTCGCATTCCCTTTTCGACATTTTTGAACCCACCCCTTTCACCTTTCACCCCTATCACCAGTAAGAAAATCGAGCCTACCAAGCATGCGTTCACTTAATGCCTTATTCACGCTGGATGTATGAACTAAACGTTAAAAACACAATATCATAAGTCGAAAAATGAAAATGTGACTTGTACATACCAATCTTTGATAGCTTCATTGTAAGCCTAGGAAAATCGTGGCATCCCCGCATTGGATCAGGAGATAGCTAACAGCAGTATGTACAAATAAATTCCTCTGAAGTAGTACTGTCAATAAAAAGGCCTTCGGTGACATTGTCTCTTCTAAAATCTGAACGAATGTTGTTTCTTACAATACTGAGACATGAACTTGAAGTCCAACGAAATACCCAAAGCTGCATCTAACATCAACCAATTCTATTGCCCGATTAACAACGACAAATTTTGTTCCGTTGTGTATTTTTTTGGAAAAACAATTTTTCACTAGATTGCTGAAAATGCAAGACTAATTTGGCAAGCAAGCTGCTGGAAACATTTCTGTCGATCTGTGGAAAACTACCAGTTTGAAAAGTCGATCATTGATACGATTTTTAAATTTCTTAAAGTGACAAGAACCGAACATGTATTAATGCATCTCTTCAGCCCCAATGCAGCGTTATAAAAAGATGAAAATGAAAACTTTAAGTGGTGCTGTGAATTTTTGCTCTGTATGGAAGGTCGCGATATGTGTAAAGCAGTAGAAAAAAATCTATCCCCACAAGAAAGGCTCACTAGAAGGACTACGTAAGAATGAAATTTTCTAGGGGATTTTCGGATGGATTGGCACAAAAATGACAGCGAGTACTTAGCATTCAAGCAGCAGAAAGAATACCTACTCTTTGTAATAATCCGATAATAATTTGTAATAATCTGTAATAATCCGGAATCAATTTATTGAAATTACGTCTTTCCTCTAGATATTGTAACGGAAAATCGGGATGACGACAGCTACGACAGTAACGTTCGAATGTTAGAACAGTTTTTAGAGCTAGACAGTCACCAATCTTGGGCATTGAACTAAAAGCAGCTCAACCCCCTTCCTCACTCTAAAAAATATTGTTCTATCAAACCTTCATCTCTGTGTGATCCTAACTTTCTGAGGGGTCGTCAAAAAGTACGAATTGCAGATTTTCGCCCTATACGAGTTTTTCAAAAAAGCCTGGATTCTTCCTCAGTTATCCCTAAATCTTCGATTTATAGCCTTAATCCAAATAATCTGAGCTTGTACAGCAGATGAAAGTACAATCGCTATTATGTATGGCCAAGACTCGTAGAGCTGTATTGCCTCGTCTCCCAAACAAAGAATGACGATAATGACGTAAATAGCATCCATTTTAATAATAACATCAATTTAGGAAAATGAAGTATTTATATAACCATTTTTGTCAAAAATTGGCAGAAAATTTGAAGTAGAGAGGTATTTTGTTCAGAGGACCAAAAAAATTGGTCGAACTTCGAAAAATTCGAACTAAAGAGACTCAGATACAGAGGTTTCGATTAAGGTTTGATGGAAGATCATAAATAAAACAGATAATTTCATGCGAATTAGTGAAAGTTCGAATTACAGGAATTTGAATGAGACAGAGCTGACTGTGTGTTAGCAAAGCTCTAGTGGTTGCCCAATTGATTTCTATCAGATAGTTATGATATTTGGCTTTGCAACTAACATTGCTTCAGTGGAGATGGGAAGCAGTACCGATCGTTTAACGCGGGTCACTACTTCGTTGTTTACAATTAAAAAACCAAGGTATTCGAACAACTTTTCAAAACAACTCCAGAAGACATTCATAAATTCTTGAATTTGTTTGCAAACGCAATTGAAATACGAAAAGGGCTTTTTCGCTGTTTGTATATAAAACTACGGTGTAAATCACATTTTGTTGAAAAGTAGGTTGTGAGTAAACTTTGATTGGAGTATAAAGTGAATAAATTCACCGCTAATAGCTAACACTACAACAAAGTGAGTACATCAATTATCTAAGCTTTATTAGAATTGAGAATGCTGTGTTGACCCAGTGCAGACAGGTACGTTTGAAAACAATACTTTTGCGATTTCAATCTCATTGTCATAGCAAGTCAGGTTTGCTCCATTCCGTTCTAAAATAACACTGTAACTGAAAAAATACGGTTACTGAAAACAGTTATAAGCCTGGAAAAAATAATCGGTATTCTGAATAAGGATAATCTGAATTCAACACTCTTCGCAAAAGGATCTTCTGTTTGGTAGAATAGGAAGAAACATGGTAAACCTATTCTAGCTTGTTAGAAACAATTCGACTCTTTAAAAAGAATAGATCATAAACTTTAAGGAATTGCTAGGGGGAATTGCAGACAGAGATCTAGTTGCTTAGCAGTATTTTATATTGCAATACTATCATAGCTGCATTCGAGTTTACATGGAACACGCAGCATTTATCCTCAGAAGATAGCTACACACTCCTCAAATTTGTTGCTGGGAGGAATTGCAATGACAAATCCAATTGTTGGCTTAGCAGTATTTCCTATGAGTACTTGCCAGTTTCCCGAACCTAGAGTAAAATAGAACCTAGAGCTCCAAAACTACTTTGTTGTACTTCCTAAGCTTATCTGGCTATTTTTCTGCTACAATTAGCATAGACAGATGTGCAACAGTATGTTACCCATTCTGGTATCAACAAAAAGTAAATTGCATGCAGTGTACTCTATTCTGAATTATGAGTGTAACAAAATAGGTGATTGAAACTCATTAAGATCTTCTTTGGATTGAAGCAAAAACCTTTACGACGTTTGTTATGAATGAAGCATGAATACGGATAAAGGGTAGGCCGTTGCAAGGGTTACAAGACGCAAGGAATGGCAGGCAACGCAAAGCCTAGACGGTTGCGTATATACAATCCCTGTATCTACTTGTTGAGAAATGGCTTCGGAAAAGATAATCATAGAGCTTCTGTCTACGCTATTGTGTAGACACAAGACAGGAGTTCGGCAAGGGGCATTGATTGGGCAACCTCAACAGTCATGTGCTCGCGTTTCTGATTAGCCTATTTCGATCCACAACTAGGTATATAATTTTGCCTAGCGTAGAGTTTTCGATCTATGTTCTAAAAGAGTGTCAGACGAAATGCTTTAATTTACTCAAATGTTTGCTCTTTTAAAAGACATCTCTAAATTCTGCACCACAAAAAGATTCTTTAGAAACAAAGAAAGGCGCCTGGCAGTTGCAGAGATAATGGCAAAGTTTGTGTATGCTCTAATGATCTAAGGAATCATCAGTGTATATGTATCTAAGGAAGAAAGAGCGTCGAATCTATCGACTTTGGGAATTGTTGAGATGCATTAATTCACCATGATGGGGGGGGGGGGGGGCAATTCAGTTTGATATTTGTAGCAACTAACTGGATTACAAACTACTTACTCATAAAACAAAAAAGAGAATAGACATTACAAAATTGTAAAATTATAATCATAAAAAGAATCAAGAGTGATGATATTTTAAGAATTTGACGGTGGAACACCACAGCAAAGGGGAGAGGTAGCAAATTGCGAAAAATTTGTAGAAATAAATGTAGAAAGAAGGACACGAGACAAAGGAGACATGTGTAAAGATCTTCAAGCAACAAGAGAAATTTGATAAAACAATGTCAAATAGAACTCGAAGTAAGAACCTTCTTCATAAACCATTTTCCATCCAAAACATGAGCTAACTTCTAATATGGATTCTCACCTCAACATTCATACATTATCTTCTAAAGTTAATTTGAAAGTTACAAAGCGTCACGCAGATTGTTTGTCATCTTCTTGACTTTGCTTGCAATCGACATGTCAATGTGAAATTCACCAATATCGACAACCATGCCACCAATCAATTGTGGGTCAACCTAACATGCAGATAATGCAATGTACAATGGGACTTTACTTGATTTAGCACTATCGAGTCAGAAGATTGTTGCCATACTTTACAAACCAGTATATAAAAACAATAGCCTTTAAGTACTGTTTTTAAGCTTCTATGAAGATACATCAATTCCTAACATGAGCGTTGAAATTTAAAGCCAAAGCAGCAGCAACAGCATTTTTCCGCCGTATTTTTACGCCGTATTTTTAATCTCCTGACCAATTGCAGTGTGAAAACAAACTGTTGGGGGAAAATGAACTGATCTCTTTTATTGTGTATCTTAAGGTATAATATGATATGATAAATGACAAAATATTAAATTATATTAAATCTATTGATAAAGTATATAATGACATCTTTAAAATTACCTTTGTCTCAACTTTAAGTGATTCAGTTTTTTTGATAAAGCCACCAAGTGCAGATGTCAAGTCCTTCAATTGTCCTGGTTCAACAGTCTAAAATGTTAACAAACAGTAATTGCACAAAGAAGAAAAAATAGTGAAACTGTTGTATTATTTCAAAAATGCTCCTAGTTTTTTTTCATTACTGCATCATATACTGCATTATGGACAGTAAATGACAAAACAACAGAAACAACTAATGGCAACAACAAGTGCAGAGTGTATGACAAGTTGGATTAGAAAACTCCAAAATAAAACTTATTTTGATAAATCAAGAGATAAATCAGCGAATAACAGAAACTTAACTAAAAAGTAGGAAAACAAAAACCATGATATGAAATGCAGAGAAAAACAGACAAAGTCAACAAAATATTTAATATTTTCTAACAACATACCTTTGCTGTGGTAATTACACAAGGAACTTCACCTCTGTGTGAACTCATTAATTTTGAAAAGGCATTGAATATTCCATTTGCTTTTTTAAGACGACTGTTTTCTGCCAACGAACCTAAAAATGACATCCAGATTGAAATTATGTTGGGTCAAATTTGCATAGTCAGGGCTTAAATTTTTTTTGGATGAGGTACAATGTTGCGCAGTCCAAAAACTGTATGCATGCAGACAAGTATCAAGACTACAAATTGCTAATTTCAAAAGAGAAATGCTTCGTGAATTGGAGTAAATAAAAAGGCAATCTCCTATGCAACCAACTTTGTAGTAAAAAAAATATTTTGTTGATCAACATTTTCCCCCCGAGTTGAACACATTTTAGCTGTATTGTCAAAAACGTTTTCATCATTAGGTATATATACTTTTCAAACAAATTTTGAACAATAAATACCCAAGTACGCGACAAGATTTTGTGTTTGACTGAATTAAAAACTCTGGCTCTGGCTTTTCCAATCTCTTTGCCTTGTTCCATGCAATAGGCAGGACAATTGCAAGTCCTTTTCTTGTTTGCTGACGAAAAGTTTGCCGGACAGAAAAATGCAATTAGTTTGTTCATGTTTTCATTCTTACATTATAGTGCTGTTTACTTTTCTTCATGGTTTTACTGTACAAAGATGTACTTCTTAATAAATTGTTGTGCATGATAGCTACAACTTTAGGGGCAATTGTCCCAATTAACACCTACTTTTGAGCTCTGATAGTTGTAAGTGTGAACCCATTTGTAATAAATTATGCAGCTGCATCAACTGTTTAGAATTCATGTCTAGCCCATGCATAAATTCTGAGGGTTGTGGGCAGGAAAATACTTAATTTGACAGAATAATACTCTTAAACCGAATGGTATATACTTTTGAGAGTATAGCATTTGTGAGGAATCAAATTACAAATGAAGCATGATAACCATTTATCAAGTGTGGCCAAAGAACATTATGCAAACATCACTGGTCTGAAAGAAGCAATAGAGAAAAAGTATACTCACTGAAGAAGTTTATTACAAGCTCGTCAAACTTCCTTTCCTTCAATATTTTCTCTAGAACATCTGTGGTAAAAATAAGATTTTGAAATAAGGTTCTATCAATAAAGTTGTAAGGTAAGAGCTACAATATACACACAATCTATTCTTGGTGCTTAGAACGGGGTAGTTTACATCGCTATTCTTGAGTGTCAGAAGGGCAGGACATTTGAATAATGACAGCACAAAATTAAGCTTGCAGGTGTAACAAATCTATCTAAACAATTACTTGGCAATGAAATATGGCCTGATGTCACATTTGGCTAAAATTTGATCAACATTAGAACAAAAACAAGGAAAATACTAGAAATAACTGATTTCAACTTCCTTATTGAATCTTTCTGTGACATACATTTTGTCAAAGATAAAACATAATACTGGTACTTGCATAGTCTATACAAAAATCTCGTCTTTAGAAAACAGTTTTAGTGTACAATGCATGTTTGCAGAAATAAGAAGATGAAATGTTAATCTGTATCAAACATCTTTACTTTGGTGAAATACAGAAATAACTCGATCTTGATATATAACAACACTCTTATTGCGTTAGGCAATTATACTCATAACATATCAAAAAAAAACATTGAACATACTCTGCTTGTCTCTTTTGTTTACAACAGGATCATTTACATATGCAGTCAGAAGTGGTTCTGATTTCAATAAATCCTGAAAAATACAATCATTTCAAAAAGCAATCAGCAAATAGCACAGAAAAGCTAAGAATAACATCCTCAGAGAATAAACTTTGGATAATTACAGAAATATAAGCATAAATTTATATCCAGGTGTGGACTTAAGGAAGCAAGAGAAAGAATGGTGCCATTTGTTGTGAAGTTTAAGCGTAGGTATTATTCCATGCGTGTAATTAGAAGAATTGTAGCATGTGATAAGTGTGCAAAGACACATGACAGGTCATAGACCAAGGTCATTATGCTATAATGAGGTAATAGTGGAAACACACACATGGGCGTAAAAGATCCGATAGCAAGAATTGTAGTCAGGTACAAGAGGGAGCTCCAAAAGGTCATAGTTAAGAGACGGCTACTCCCTGGCATAGGCCAGTGGAGTGGTGGAGAGAAGCTCACGTAGACACATCAATGATAATTAACCAGATAGTCGAGATAAAGGCCTAAAGTAAATAGTGCAAAAATATAAATGTATATCATCAACAAAGGTGTCTTTGTTGTCTTTTTCCTAAGAATCGAGTAAGAAATAACACTTTACAACACCTTGCACCCATACAATCCAAAAACCCCCAAGGTGCGCTTTTTATCGCATGTGCAGCGCTACATTTTGAAATAATTTTCTTTTTTCCCTTTTGTTTCTTGCTAATTTTCTCTAAAGTTAACTTTCCATTTCTTTTGTATGTGTTATCTTGATGGAATTTCTGTGGACAAAATGACTCTTTAAGGTCCACTTTCCATTACTCTGTTTTCCTATATCTTCGCTTTCAGATAATTCAGTTTTCGAGTTTTATTGAGCTGTTTCATTAAACTGGGCCACTCTGCTTTGGTCAAAACAAAAACGAAGCTATTTGCTTGTTTTTGGACAGAGAATGAATGACTCTGTTTTCCGATGACTATATTTTGCCATCTCATCAAAGCTTTGCGTTTTCAAATGACTCTGCTTTGAACAGCCTTTTCGAATGTCTCCAGTTTGGTATCAAATGACTGTTTTCAAGCATATTAATATGAATGCAACATTTAAAACAAATTCTTTCAACTCCATTACATACAATTTATGGAGTAATGGCAACAGGGCATAAAAAAATTGTATGCTTTTTGTTTAATTACTTTGTTTTCAATAAACTTCTTCTAAAATTCTTTAAAAATTATTTTGTAAATAAAAACCTCATACGCTTTTTCAAACTGTGATACACCTCTTCCAATACATATATCTCATTTAAAAGGTTATCATGTCTTCATAAAAATCGTAAGGTCTCCATTTTATGGTTAACACGCCATCGCACGCCTTAACTTTTTAAGGCATGCAATTACGAGCATGCCAGCATATTTCACATTACAAGACTGCTCTTCAGATTACAATATTCTTAGCGATTGTTATGGAAATGCAAGTAAAATTGTCAAGGTTATGACTATTTTTTAAAATTAAACTTTATGGCAGCTAATTTTAGAGACGTTGGTGGTCTGAACAAACTTTATTATAATAATTACATTTTTATTCCAATCATAATAACATACATTTATTAAAAAAAAGACCAATTAACTTAAGTAGATTCATTAACTGACCATGTGTTTTATTTGTATTTTTTGTGTTTTTTCCCATGTAGACAAAAGCTCTATAAAAGTCAAAACAAAATCATTTGAAAAGAGTGTTTTGAAAAGTTGATTTCATTTTGGGTAAAGATTTTCAAAGATTCATATTTCAGCAATTGGAAATAGCAATAAGTTAAAAACTTAATTGTAAATGCGTATGAAATTAACTAGCAATAATTAATAAGAGCCTTAGATATGGACCTAGGAATCATTGGCCAACTTGATATGTAATAACAACTAACTTGGTCTATAATTATCTTTAAAATAATCAAAAACAGACACTTTTATTACCTTGACTTTGCCTATATCTGCTTCAACCTTATCTAATGCATTCTTTTTGCTGGCAGCAGAAAAAAGGGCATGTGCGTAGCGACCTTCAACACCATAAATTTGGAGTGGTGGCTTTACCACTTGACCTCTGACAGCACTGCTAACACTAAACTGCCTTGCCTAAAATTAATTAGAAAAAAAGTGAATTATTGAAAAGCACAAAGACTTATATACATTATATACAACATATACAACATATATACATACAGACTGACACACAAATTTGTGTTTATGCAAATAAAGAAAAGTGGTACAGAGGCATGAATTTAATTTCAACAAATTTTCACAGCAATATTGAGAGACCCTTAAAAATATGATGAATCTAAATAAGAAAAAAAGTAAATGTCATCACCAAGCTGAATCATTGTGGCACTCACAATACAATAAAATAGAAACAATATAACAAAGTAGAATGAGATAAATTCAATAAAGTGTTAAAAAAGACAACAGTTCTCAAAATTATCATTTTTATTATGATTCAACACCAAAACACACACACAGCAAACAGCTAAGAATCATTAAAAGCAATACATTAAGCAGAGAAGCTCCAGCTTCTTTTTGCTCAGTTTTTGTTTAGGATTTTATATATCAGAAACAAAAAACATCCTAATACAAGAATCTGCTGGATGTGGTTTTTGAGTTAGAGCCCCTTCATTTATGAACCAAATCATCCTGAAAGTTTTCAAGGTTCTTAATTGCAGAACAATTAAGCACCATCAGCAAAAAAGAAATGTGGAACTGCCATGCATCAAATGCATCATCATCATATGCTGCATTATTCTATAAAATATTGGGTGTTTAAGATGAGTTCATTTACTGCAAAACGAGCATGCGCACTTGTTTTCAAGGAACCAAGTTTTGATCAAATTCTTAAGTTGTCTAGTATTTTGTGCTGTCTTTATTGATTCCAGGAGTGAATTCCAGATTTTAGGCCAGATTTTATTTGATACAAGTGAGTGTATATTATGAACCAAAAATGATCCATCTAGTTATGAACAATGAAGTAAAAGTACACAAAAGTGAATAAAATAATACGAATATTTTTACAATATAAGCTACAATTATAATGATAATACTGTCATCATAAAAGCAAAAACAGCAACGCCAGAGCAGGAGCATAGGATTCCATTCCATTTGTAATCACCACGGGATTCTTGTGTAATTATGAATGCAGGGCCATTTTCATGATGACCTTTCTATAAACTTTAATCAGAAACGCGAGCCTTGACTGTCTAAAGTTGCCCAATCAGTGCCGCCTGCCTATAGAGAATGTTACCAATTATTTTTTGTGCTCATGTAAATAGATTCCAAAACTGCTAGATGGAAGGACGATCGGGCTTCACCAATATTTATGATTTGGTAACCTCAACAGTCATGTGCTCGCTTTTCCTATTTCGATCTACAACTGGGTATATATATTTCCTAGCTTAGTGTTTTGATCTATGTTCTGACGTGACGTTTTATACTCTGAAGAGTGTCAGACCAAAAGCTTTAGTATATGCAAAAGTTTGCCTTTTTGTCAAAGCAAAATTTTTAAGTTTTGTACCACCAAATGAATGTTTCTTACATTTAAAACTGTTTTAACCAATTGTTTTGGGTGGTAGTATCTTATCCTTGATTCAAGACAATCCCCTGGAGTTCAATGCATGGCGCGAATTGCTGAACGCAACAGTTGTTGAAATTGTTCAGTAGCAATAATACAGTTTATATGAAATCAACAAATCTAACAAAACAGTTAAGTATATAATCAGCAAGGTTAAAGTGTTAACAAATCCAACAATAGACATAAATCAGCAATTTCAATTGAATGCAATTATAATACAAGGAAAAAACTTTTCCTAAACAAGGGTCTTGTTTTTAACCTTTTGAGAGCGGGAATCAGACTATTCATCTTTTGATATAGTATCAAACTAATATCGTATTCATCTAAAGTAAAAAACTGGTAAGAAACAAGGAGACTCGTTATAAATGTGCAGGGTTTAAACGTGTGTTGGGACTGGATTTATATGTGGTGGGACTGGATAACGGAGGCATATTTTAGCGACTACAATGGGGCGATGAGCTGTTGCTGGGGAGACGCGCCTTTGCAATTTTGCATTTTCAGTTAATTGATGACATTATGAAAAAATACTCGCTCGTCTTCCCAGCAGGCAAGAGCAAAAAACAAACTCAAGTCACAATAGACTACTTGGTGGAATTCATATACTACAAAGATTAAAAGATCCAAAAGAAAATGTTTAAATATCGTACAGTTCCGTTGCTATTCGATGCAATAAATGAAAAAATGGACTGTCCTTGAATCTCTGCAGCCACATGAACTCTGCCAGGTAGTCTGGTATAGGTTCGCAATTTGTTGAACCATGCTAGGACTTAACTTTATTTTTGCCTGCTGCCAAATTGCCTCCACGTGGTTTGTAGTGGTCCTGGTGACCGGGTCGACAAAATTGTAGGTGTGGTTCACAGTCCGTTGTTTGTAGCCGATGTTCCAACTTGGTAGTATGCCTGCCACATGTCTGAACATATGATGGAGCCAGGCACAACCCAAGTTTGCGGAATTGGTAGTAGGTTCACGGCATCTCTTCGAGGAACTGGAACCAGGAACCCTTTTTTGTCGACCGGGTCATATCCTCAGAATATCCAGTTTTGAAGAAGAAATCTGCTGCAATTATATTTCCTTTCCTCTTGGCGAACAGGCTCTCATCAATTTCCACAATGCGGCCAGATCTGCCAATCTGTTGCGGATTGTCGAGAAAATGCTCCACACAGACATCACTGCAGAATTGCTTCCAATCAACCACCGTGTGATTGATTGATCTTCACTTTTAATTTCAAGTTCCTTGAGGACGTGCTTCTGTGACAAGCCCCTTGTGCGTCCACAGTCTAGAACTCCAGGAATAGGTAAGCCCTATTATTTGCCACAAATGCAACTTCGAACCTTCAAAGAAACTCCCCTTGCGTATGTTGAACCTTCTTCAACATTGTGGGCACCGCCATGTTACCCCATCCTGGCATCTATTGAGGGCACCCTCAACACAGTCAACATGGCAGCGCTCACACAACATCATTCGTGCAAGCAGCCCATTTCGCCGACACCAGGCAATTGTAGCAGTAATGTTCTCTGTGAACTGTCGGCATATTCCAAATAGAGTCATTGCGTCAAATTCATCATAATTGGGCACAAATCTTGCCATTTTGTTGATGGTGTTTCTGCCGACAGTCCTCCAGAGTGACTTACTCTTCCTTAATGATTACTGATTTGCGGGTAACAGGGGCGGCTTGGAGCAATATTAGATTGGTATTCAAGGTACTAACAATCTACTCGATAAAATGCCACACCTAAAAAAATAAAATCCCCCAAATGCCACACCCCATTATATAGCCCTGCAAAAAGGATTTTCAAAATTGGCTTCTAAAATGATGTCTAAGTAGTTTTGATAAATTACTTCACCTTGTCCACATTCCAACAAAAAATAGCAAGAAACCCAATCGTTTGTGGTGTGCTATAGATCATATTTAAAATGTTTTACTCAAAAGGGCTTATTTGCTAAATATCTCAGTTATCCAGGATCAACTTGCAAGAAAACTAGATCTCGTTTGTATTATGTACCTTCCGCTCGAAAACAAATGCTTTGTTGCACTCTTGATATACACGTATGAAAGGTTATCGGGCAGTAAAAACTGAGGCCTGTATCCAAGACCAAAACACGGTCAAAAGCCTTTCTATGAAGCCGCACCATATTCAAAGGTATTCAGTTTGGATTCTGAATAGTGTGGCCACAAAGCTGCGACAGTTAGTGGACTGAGGCAATGACCGTATGAGGCCATTAAAAATGAAAAAAATAACCAGATAAGGCTAGCATTTTATTCTGATTATCTGTGTTGAACACACATTGAAACTTGCAAATTTCCAAGCAGTATTCGGTTCCGAAAACACAAGCTAGAAGGGGACATGTACGCTCAAGGTATTCGTACAAGTTCTGAATAGCTTCACTTTCGAAATTCTTTGTCTAGCCTCACAGTTATCTCCTGTGACTGACGTCAGGGTCAGTCAAAAACAATGCGGGTGTATTTAGGATGGCCTTTGAATACCTTGTGACTGCTGGCCGCTGGCCTCATCGGAAAACAAAAGGGATTAAGAAGTCTCTATACCCACCGCCAAAACAATATCGATTGTTAAGGTCATTGATATTTTTTAAAGAAACTTTGCCCGCTTTGTAATGGCATTGTATGGGCAAAAGAAAATTTTATTTGGATTTTGATTTTGGAACATATTAAAGCATTAAAAGTTGTTTGGAAAAAAATTAGTATTCGTGAATACCTTGAATACCCCAGCGCGCCGCCCCTGGCGGGTAAATAAAGATACCTGACAGTTGATCGTCGGTACCAGTGGAACTTAATTTTGATGTAACTTTGCGAAACTTTATCCTATGAACCTATGGATGGTCTCATATTAATGGAAACATCAAATGCTATTGTTTGGTATATAGTTTACCTATGTAGGACCTATAGATCCTGAAAGGTAGTATACACAACTATGTTAGATCCCGAAAATATCGATTAAGATAGCGATATGAGCGAAATAAGAAAATGTACATGATTGATAGGCCTACTTAACTTTTTTATCAAACCAATGCAAGATTATGTCAATCCTGAGGAAATTTGAATTCTTCATTTGCCCTGAGCAATACGACACACCCATGCTAAGCCAAGATTTCAAAATACTGCACCCTTTACCAGGTGTGCAGGGACATTTGAGAAAAAATATCGGATGTATACTTGCCATACTCTGCTGCCCGAGTCTGGGGGTTAGCCAAGAAGCCAAAACCTTATAGGGCAATTGATAGCAAAAGAAAAATACATGAATTGCCCGAACGAAAGCAACTTATTTTCCATTAATTTTGCGAGGTAGCTGGCTTTGAATCGTGCTTATTTGACAGTCCGCAGATAAGAGAAGATAGAATCCCGGCGCAGAGCATTGCGTCTATCCTGTTTGCAAACGTAGCGTGGCAAATAGAAATGTTCGACAATTGCTGATACAAGTAGATAAAAAACTCGAATATAAATAAAAGTAAATGGTAGCTTAAGTTAAATTATGGTAAAAACTTACTCCAATCAGCCGGGCAAGTTTGCTGCAACTTCTTTGGGTAGCCATGTTGTCCTCCTGGTTGAGAAGAGACCGAAAAGGATTCTGGGCAAAAAAGTTGATTTCACAAAGAGGCCAAAACTGCCAAAACTGACAGAGGGCAGGCCATTGGGGCGGGCCACTGATCTAAAAAAACGATTTTTTTTATCAGAGGGGCAGGGCAGCCAGGCAGGTTTAAAGTTGAAGAGGGCCAGGGGGTGCAAGAAGTAAAGGACATCAGAACAAGCCCAACGAAATACGGGAAATGATTGGGAATGCCATGCAGGCACCGCGCAGTCATTTGGCTAGCAGGGGCTATAGCCCATCCACTTTTTTGCAATGAGACTAGAAAATTTTTTGGAAAGTTTACTCTAACGCAACTTTGGATAGTTTACTCTACTCCTATGTAGTAACAGTTTTTCTTGACTGGAAATCTTTTTTGTTCATTTTCTAGGTGTTTTATCTTGTTGAATGATATGATATATTTTCTAACTTTGTTAGCTTGGTTTTTTATTACCCTCAAGCTAATTTTGTCTATTTTTATCGTGATTGATATCTTCTCTGAACCAGACTGTTTATAAAAATTCAGTAGAAGTAAGAAAGTATTTTCTAAAAGGGGCGTTTTCTGGCGTTCTAGAGGGCCCTCCACTTTTACACTGGCGCGTGGTCCCTGATGCCATGGTATATAATAGGGACATCTTTAATATTTCTGAAAAAATGCTGGAAAGTACCCTCTTTTCTTGAAATGGAGCAACTAGCTACACTTACATTAAAAAAGTATAGAGGGACACCTTCGATTAAAACACTATGGCGTTGCGAAGGTTTTCGAGGTTTGCAACTGAGGCTTGTTCCGATATTGGCAGTTTATTTTGTCAAACAATCTAGTCCTATGAATCCCCAAATGTGTTTGAAAGTTGAAAAACACTTCAGCCTTTGAATTATGACCATAAAAGCTTTGGTTCTTACAATTTTCCTTTATATATAACAGTTCTCTGAGAAAAAACCTTTGTCTCGCAGCGTCGTAAACATCTTCGGTCTGCTAGCCCTTCGTAAATTTCAACTGTTCTTGTACGGAAAAAGTATCTACACACCACAAAACCTGCACCCAATTAGCATCCGACAATTGATGCAATTTCACGACAACTATTCGCATTATTTTCGCAGAAAGCAATTTGCAAGCACTTCTCGTAACTTAGTTCTTGATTGTAAAAAAATCCATGTTCAGATCTCAAGGCCTACTTTTATTTATGGTTGACCTTTTTTCAATTTTTTGGCGTACGTAAAAAGCATCAAAACGTGAACAACGTCTTGCAAAAACTTCATGGAAATAGCTGCCGTACCTTTTTAATGCCAATTTAAAATAGCTGCCGTACCTTGCATTTTATTGGCTAATCTAAAGGAGTTGAACCTGCTGATCACGAATTCGTTATTCGTTTTTCGATATTTTTTACAGTTTGTGAGATATAAGCTTTTGTCGTTTTTTTCTCGGAAAGGTGCAACTTTAAAGCCTTATAACTTCTAAACTAATTGGAATTTCGCAAAAACAACGACTTTGCCATAATACACGCACCAGATGCTAACTTTTTAGTCAATAAAAAATTTTTTTTTGTGGCTGGAGAGGCCCTTTAACTTTTGGAAATTTGTAGGGATCAGGGCCTCCGTCTCCAATATCGGCACTTTATTACATGAGATTTTTTTCATAGAATTTCCCTTAAATTCTTCATGATTGGTTTCCTTCCATGTTAGCATCTGCTGTTTTAATAAAACCCCCTGCCCATTGGAAACATTCCTTTGGTAGTTTTCTTACCACTATAATTAAAATGTTCTTGATTCACTATACATCAACATATAAAATTTCAAATAGGGAAGGTCCGTGGGGGAGGTAATTTCAATAGGAAGAAGAGGGGGTTGTACCACTTTAAAATATGAAGTGAAACCCTAAAATTTGTAATTTCTCCAAAAACACTACCCCAGAGTTTATGCAATGCATACCCTAAATGTAACTCAAGTAAGAGATGAATATATTTTATGATGATTAAATTAAAGATTAATAAATCTCAAGGTCAGGGGCCGATCCATAATTTATTATGACAGCCACATGGATGAAAAAAGGGCCAGGGGCATAGCCTTCAGAATCTTTTTGCTTTCCATGCAGTCTAGTTCTTCATCACCATTTGTGGAATCATTGTGTGATACCAAGCCTTTTTGGAGGGAGGTTATTGTCTCCCTGGATATTTTGGGGGAAAATACTGGGTTTCAAAGTTGCAATAAAGCTAAGCAGTGTTTCATGTAGGCAAGAAACAATTAAATTGATCTCTAATAAATATGACACCACTCAACCTGTGGGGGATTTGCTCTTCTCTAGTCATATTCTCTTTTGTAGCTAGGCTTGTTAGGAAAGAGGATTTTTCTTGGATTTGGTAAAACACAAAGAAATTGAATAAACCAACAACTATATGAAGAATGGACAAAAATTCTGTCTTAATGCATGTGACAGTGAGCAAAGACACAAATGTGGATGTTGCATGCAAAGTGTTCGAGATTTGGAAGGTCTGGTAACTTCATCTCTAGTTTCTAAGAATTTCAGATAAAAAAAGATTTATTATGTATGTGCATTTATGCTATTTTAACAACCAGCTCTAACAATTTTAAAATGTAAATAGTAACAGAACTACAAAATCAATGCCTGATATTAAGAGTTTCTGAATTTTACATTTCCTCCTTCTGTTTCGTAAAATAATTTAGCTTCTCTTTTGGATCAGGAACAATCTAAGAAAAATGAAAATAAATAGAACATAATTGTTGAGAATCATGACAAGGAATTAAAATTGTAGCTTAGAGATAGTTAGTAGATTTTTATTCTTGCATCAATAGCATTTTAAATCAAAATATGCAGGTTGAAACTAGTCCAGAAAGATAAGCTTTTGGATCAATGTTTGAAAGTTTCATTTTCATTTGTCAAATTTGCTCAGAACACTGCAGCATTCTGTCAAGGGGTGGACACTTGGTCAAATATTGAGGAAGCCTATTGTTTTAATAAGATGATGTAACATTTTACCATTGTTTTAGAACAAAATATCATTGTTCTCCAAAGAATTGGAGGGGGTAGGCAGTCACCCCCTCGCTGCCCAGGTGTCCACCACTGATTCCATCAAAAGAAAAAAGGGTAGAATTGTTTGCTATTTGTAAAAAAATCTGATGATTTTGCTTACCGTATCTGCTCCGGGCTTCCATCCAGCAGGGCATACTGTTGTCAAAAGAAGAAAAAATTGCCTTTTAGTTTGTGAACATTAGATAATATTCTACACTCTTGAATAAATAAAATCAGACCCAAATTGATTTGAGGTATGTGCTAAATTCCTCCTGACAATGATTATTGAGCCAGATTCATATGGGGGATACAGGGGGTTGTTTCAAATCAGGGAGGAAAAGGGGAAACAGCAACAATTTGTTACCTCCCTTCCAGTTTTTTTTACTAGAAAGAAAATAGAAGAAAAATTGGCAATAACTTGTGTTTGAGCACTTCAAACCTGTAATGACCCAGTATAACAAAAATTGAAATTTCAATGGACAGCAAAATATGTCAATACCTTCTCCATGTTTGTCTGTATATTGGAATGCTTGTACAAGCCTCAGTGTCTCATCAACTGATCTTCCGACCTTGAATCAGAATTACAAAGCTATAACGGTGCATATTTAGACATTAAAGGACAAGGGACACACTTTTCACCCTATCTTTTCTTTTCATTAACTTATAGATCATCTTTTAGAAGTAAGTTTTTCTTGGTTTAGAACAAAAAATTCTAATCAGGGAGCGCAGTGGGCACGATTTTGCTTTTTATCACGTGACCCTATGACGTACATTGTGATAACTCGGAATTTTCCTGTAATTAATAGAGAGTTTACGACACGCGACGCGACAGGTCCAGACGAACTGAATTTGTTTAAAAGTGTGTTGTAAACGTTAATATTGAACTGTATACCAGTAGCAGCAATAACAAATTATCACAATCTACGTCACGGTGTCACGTGATTCATTTCCCACCATAATTTGAAAAGGGTTTTTAAGTAGGAAAATGAAATCAGAAACAGGAAAAATATTTCAACAACACTCTCATACAGCATATTACTTTAAGTTAAAAGAAAAAAAAATTTGGCGCCAAAAGCGTGTCACTTGTCCTTTAAGAGCAAACACAGTCATTGGCTTCTAAAACATGGTGCTAAAAGGCACAACTGGTAGAATCACTGAGGGCATATGATAGAAAAACACAAAATTGGTCTTGAACAAGGCTATTGCTATATATCTGCTGGTCATTGTCTTTTAAAAACAACAACCTTTTGAAATTTAATGATCTGCAGTCTATAGAAAGAAAAAATGTGATAAAAAAGAAAGATTTTTCTTAGAAGCTGAAAGTATAAATATACATACATATATTTTCCATATTATTGTGTCTGGGCGAAATATTGGTATTCATTTAATTCAATTTATTTTGGAAAATTTATCTCATAACATTTGGATTCTTGTCGCTGTTTTGCTTTGTTTCTGAATTTTATCCTCGTATTTCCATATTATTGCTTGATTATTATTGTGATTATCAACATAGACTTAAAGGTTTCATTTTATGTAAGAATAAGACAACATCATTAACATAATAAAGAGCTGCGTACATGAAGTACTTACGGGTAAATCATTCATTGTAATCTGTCTCAGTATTCCGTTGCCATCAATAATAAAAAGGCCCCTACAAAGAAACAAAACATATAAATAAAATGGAAAATCTATAAATATCCCAGCTATGGAGATGCTGGAAAAGCTGTCACCCACTGCACAAAGAATGCTTGTTTGTGGCAAATAAATACTTTGGATCAGACATTTTAAAAAAATTGATTGAGATGACGAGCTTATTAGGCAGACTAAAACATGTTACAAAAATGGCTCTTGGCTCTTGGATTTTATGCCATGGCACAACCTAGCCATGATTCCAGTGTCAAACATTTCAAAATTATAAGAACTATAGAGACAAGGTCAGGCAATAAGACAAAAGAGACAAAAGAAATGAAGAAGCTACTATGATTTACAATCTTTGAATCCACAAATTTGAAGTTGCTCATTACCGTAATGTATGTCCTTCATTTTCCAATAGCACTCCATAATCCTTTGCAATTTGCTTTGTCAAATCTGCAAGAATGGGTATGCGCATCTTGCCAAGCCCACCTTGTTTCCTTGGAGTATTAATCCTACAAAACAAAGATAGAATCTAGCTTGTAAAAGATTTCTTAAACAACTTTCTTCTATATAAAAAATATAAAATATCTTTATCAAAGTATTTCTTATAAAAACAAAATTCACATATTGTTTTATTATTGCAGCCTTTTTTATAATTCTGGCAAAATAAGTTGATGCAAAACTTCCCTTTTGTCATCTAGGCTCAATTGGGATAAAAGTGAAGATAAAATACAAAACATTTCTCTTCTAATGAAAACTGTCAAGCAAGCATTTTCCACCCAAATTTCCAACCGATTGATATGTTGTAAAATCTTTGCTTTTTCAAAGCCATTTTCGATCGATACCTTTAAAATCTGGAATAATTGCCAAGCTCTAATAACTTTAAAATTTTTAAAGGGTTTCTAATATTGAACAAAAACTTTAATACTGACCAGGCTAAATGTGTAAAAACTGAATCTACAGAGCATGCAACAACCTCTGTATTCAATTTTTTGAATTCTTCAACTCTGTCACTATATGCGATGATTTCAGTTGGGCAAACAAAGGTGCTAAAAGATAAAAGGTTTGTTAGTTTGATCAAAATAGAAATTAAAAAAGCAAAATTGTATATCTAATAGAAAAAGATCTTTAGTGTCGAACAGGAACCATAAACCATTGAATTTTCATCAATCAGTTGTTAAACCAACGACTTAGCAGAAACCCTGCTAACTGAGCTCTGAATACTTACATGATAACTGAAGCCACTGGACTTGATAAAGCAATTTTACTTGAGAAGGGAGAAGTGCCAAAGGATGATTTGTGACTTATTAAGAACATTGCTGTAGATTTTATGAAAATGAAAAAAAAACTTACAAGTCTAGTGGGTAGAAGAAGAACACCAAATATTTCCCTGAAAACAAACATTAAAATTATTAAATGTTGAATTGAGAAAAAAAGTTATGTCAATGGAGTACTTTCAATGATCAAAGAAATTAAAAAACTAACTGCAACATACCACCCAAATAGATCTAACATGTAGAGTAGTTTGTTCTGTTAGAATTCAATATTCAAAAAGGGTTGATTGGACAAAGACCTTGGGAAGCACAGTTAGATTCTAAAAATGCCTGTGAAGATTAGCTCATTCTGAAACATACTACTAAGCTTTTCATTGTTCTGGTGTTTTGATACCATATTGTTGCAGATAAAAGCTTTTAGTATTCTTAAAATGTTAGTATTTTTCAAAGCCATTTTTAGATTCTGCACTGTCAAAAAATTTTAGTTTTTATTCTATGAGCATTGTATCAGGGAAACCTTTACAATGAAAAAAGGTCTGTGGGACTTCATTGACTTTTTAACTTTCCTGAACTGCTTATATTTATTGAGACAACAGACTTTTCTTGAAATTTCAGTAATATTAGCATATGCAGGACAAATTCTCACCTTTAAAGTCTGTTAATTTCAAGTCTTTGAATTCACCATCTACAACTGCTTTGCCTTCCCAGTATGGTGCTGGTTGTGAAACTACAAAAAACAAAAACATCTCAAACTGGTACATTGGTGTGTGAATGACAAGAACTGACAAATCCATATTGTGATAGTAAAAGCTACATGGACACTTTGAGCCCTGGAATACTTGGAATCAGCAAGGTACCAAGGAGCACCAATCTGAGCAATTTGTTTTGGAAAATACAGGACAATGCCATCATCAAACTTTCTTTGTTGTAACCTTAAAAAACTTGAATTTGCTAGTTCTGTATCAGACCCATAAACAAACAATGCAATAAATCAAATTGAGATTGGTACAAAGGAGAGAAGTACATTTGCACTGTTCAGTTAAAGATATAGAGGAAGCAGTGATGCTTTGTCTAAAGATTTAACTACGCAAGTTTGAAAGGGGGAATAACAAATTCCAGGCTGTGTATTTTCAAGAGATGTGGAATTCACTTTGTTGAGATTATCAAGGTCCAGACTAAGTTACCCAACCAAATACCAAAGCACATTCTTATTGCTATCCACTGATGCTACAAGGAAATAAAAAACACTCTTTCTACATAAGAAATGTTTTAGTCTGGAATGCATTAGTAGAACATGCAGTCCTTAGGTAAATAATTTTCCTTAAAATTGGCCTTAAATTTCAATGATTGAATACCACAACTTATTTCAAGTCTACATTTAAGAATGTTGATGGGGGTGTGTGCTGCTTTGTAGCAAACGTGTTGGTACCAAAGGTTGTATGTAACGGTACAGTCTCCTTTGTTTTGACTTTAAATCAAGCAAGTTTTCCTTTTTGCTAAAAATCTCAACCGCCTCGACATTTTTTTGTTTCTACGTGAAGGGCACTCTCCTCTATATTTTTACTGATGCTGACTAGAAGCCTGCCCTACTTCACTTTCTAGAGAATACTTACTCAATGCTTTGCTCCAGTGAAGAGCGTGGTCGTGCCCAGTTTTTACCTCTTGTGGATAGACTTGACCTCCTGCATATGTTCTGCAAGAATCATCATCTTTATCTTTGCAGAAAACTGCACCAACGATGACAAACAGTAAAAGCATAGGTCGTGTAGTGGTAGCCATTTTTGCTCATGTGAAGTTCCTCGTTTCGGAGTGAGACAAAAAGAAGCGTTGGCTGTACGTGGACCAATCAAAGATCAGGAAAAGTACAGGGATTTGAATGAAATTCTTGTTACCAGTATATTTTGAAGGAAATATGAAAAATACGGAAAACATGTGCGGGATTAGTGGAGATTTTATTGAAAAGACATTCACTCCGATAATCAGTGCAATCTTTGAATTTTCTATTAAGAAAAGATGCCCGTTAAATTGTCAAGATTATGCTAGATAAACAATTATTTTCATCAATACAAGAATCACTATATTCTTATGGCTGCTACATGATAACTTCTAGGCAGCCATTATCCAGAAATATTCTGTTGATTTTGTCAAACTCAGAACACAGTTTAATTTTGGATACATAGACTTATTTTTGCCTGCTGAGCTACGGACTTTTTATCCGACCTAATTTCTGTATTGATTGGCCAAAAACAATATTTCAAATCAAACGCTGCTGACATTTTAGTGCAGTCGTTGAAATGATGAACCAGGAACAAATTAGTAGAAAAGCAAAACTTACATCATTTTACGTAGAATTTTTTCCTCTATAACATATCCAAAATCGTCTAAAATCCAATTTGGGGAAAAAATTATCTTGAACTTTTAAAAACATGAGCTTTTTGACCATATGCACAATATCATCTGCCGAGGGGTTCTGCAAAATATCAATAGCTTGCAACAATTCAAGGCGTAAATTTTGAATTTGGAAGCTAAACAGGTATTCAAGTGGACAATTGAGAAAAAATTGAGTACCAGGACCCGCGCCACCGAGGGGCCGGAGGGGCCATGGCCCCCTTACTTTTCATGGCAAACAAAAAATATTTCCATAGAGGTCCTGTTTTGAAGCCCTAAATTCAAGTTCAATGTATAGAACTTGGCCCCTCCACTTAAAATTCGTGGCCTGGGCCCCGAGTATAGGTTGAACAGTATCAAGATAATCAAGTCTGGTTGCTAACCCGCCAAAATTTGTGAAAATTCTTGATTATAAATGAGAGTACTAATTTTTCAACAATTTCACAGATAGATCAATTCTGTCTTTTAAAGACCTCTGGTATTTGGAATCATTTGCCCAGCAGTAAACGTGAAAAGCAGTTGTCATGATATATGATTATATGTTGCATCTGCTGCTACAATATCAATGCTGCCGTGAAAGCGAGGTTATACATTTGCAGTCCATGAATGCCGCATCCTTCCAAAACCTTTATTGTACTGGTATCGTTGTGTAACAGTTTTCTAGTGCCGCTGGTAGGCGGTACGGGCCTTGGAGCTAAAGTCATCACGACTCCCCGATTTGCAGCGAAGGTCCAACACCCTTGCTCTGAAAATGAAGGCTAGCATGGGCTATATATTTTGTTTTGCAACGTGGTTAAAATGTCCATCTTTCCTAAAAGCTTCCCGCTAATCTATGGCCTGGGGTTCCGTTTATACAAAGAAGGTATGAATGCAGCGTTACGCGGCAAATAAAAGTGAGTCAACTTATGACATCATGGGGCCTTTACGGGAGAAATCCATACCTGGAATGATGCATCATTGTTATATAGTCATTTGTAGCAGCATTACCACAAAGGAAGCAATATTTTTTCCAACTAAACTCAGTAAAACTTGATTGCAGTCTTTTAGAACAAGGTGCTGCGCTAACATCTTAACTTTTTCGAGGTTTCTTGGGTTATGAAAGTCTTGACGACAGTTTTGAGCAGCTAAAACGTTACCAATTGGAGTTCTTTGAACTCTCTCTGTTGAATAATTGTTTAAATCAAGACTTATGTGCCTTTCACTAAGCCTTATAATGTTTTAGGCACCTTTTTCATAACGTGTACTGCCTTTCCATTTTTAAAAACTAGCTTGCGTATCACAGAGTTTTAATCCACCAAATTGCAGAGCAAATTTGAAGGAGGGGCTGTTGGTAGTGGGGATGCTGAAAAATTTGCAGAAAGTGGTGACGAGCGTACGCGGTATAAAACAATTTCAAATCCTATATTCTGATAGAAGGCTCTTTATTCTTTCTTGAAGATTTCACAAAAATCTTTGTATACTTTTAGGTAATCCTTGAAGTAAATTAACCTATACGTCCCAGACACTTTTCCACCTGAGTCTCATTCTTCAAAAGGGGCGCACAATTTCCAAAAAAGGGCACCAGACTTGCTTCAACTCGGTGAGGGAGGGGCAACTGCCCCTTGTTGCCCCCCCCCTTAAATCCGCCACTGAACTCTGCCATGCCATATTTTATCCAGAGAGTACCAGTTTCCAGAAAATGAGCCGTTCATTTGTACCAGTTATCATGATATAATTACCTGTGTTGATATCGAAGTCACAAAAGGACATTACATATTTGGCTGACATGTCCCCAATACCCAAAATAGCCCCCCCCCAAGTGAATTGCTAAGGCATTGAATAACTTTCTGTATACTAAAATAATGATAAATGTCCCACGCTTAAGGTGCATTAACGAATTTTGTATTTTGGCATTCAAAAACTGCCTGTCGGTTATAAAATTCCCGCACATGTTTTTAGAGAAATCAGAAAAACTGACTACTTCCTTTATTAGCCCTGTTATTTATTTTTCAGGCCTTGAATAGGAGACTTTTACTTTGCGTAAATCTATAATTTTAAAATGAAAAACAGATTTCTTGCTTTTTCGAACAGATGCCCTCAGTTGTGCTACAAGTACTTGATTATCGAATGTGGCCTCGAATATCATATAAACCTCAATAAAAAATTTTCCTCACGGTCGATTTTGGGCGATTTTGAGTAAATTATAGAGGAAAAACTTCTGCTCTGGATGGTGAGAAATTCGCTTTTTTACCATTTCTCCCCGGTTGACTTCAAGAAAGTAAACATTTTTCTTATAAAGCCTTACTACAGCTAGGATTATGTGCACCAGACTCCAATTTTGTTTTGGTTATGGCAAGAAACCATATTTTTAGAAGCTTTCTTCACTCTCGCAAGCTGGCATATGAAGGACTGATTAGGCCTCTTCTTCCCTCTTTCCTCAAGTCGACAATTAACACTTCTGTGTTACTTTTTATATATGCACGTACAAATGCAGTTTGAATACTGAACATAAAAAGCTGCCGTATATAATGATACTACAAAGCTTACAAATTTTACATTGAACACATTTCATTTATTCGAGTGTATCAGTGGAATTCAGCCATATCAATATATCAACTAACGAAATAATGTGATTTTGATACTTTTTCAAAATATCAGCCTGGGATAAAAGAGTTGCCTTTTAATGGTGCTATTAAATTTACGAACACATGCATGATATCACACATGGGTGATTAAATTTATTCGAAACGTGTCAATCGATTGATTCGTATACAAACTATGTGCCTAGGGACTATTATCATTCATACAAAGACGTGAACTCTTTAGCGCTAATTTTTACGCTTTGACACATTTGTACAACAACAAACAAACACTTTCAAAAATGCTTCTTGTTGACATTGGTGACTGACAAATGGTTAGTTGAGGTGGAACTTGTTGCTAATGAAAGCTGTGTTTTGTTGAAATTTGTTAGAACGACTTGGGTACAAGGGTCGAAACCACGAATATAACACTGTTGGGACATACTTCTTCAAGTTTGTGTAAAGAAATATACGTTGTTACAATAATGTCGTTTGTCTGGGTAAATTGGAAAAAACAAGTACCAATCCCTCTTCAAAAAGGAAGCAGAAATAGCATTTGCCAGAGGTTGAACTTAGCTGCAGATAAAGTTCGAAGACCATCACAGGAATCTCGAAGTACTTCAATATCGACAAACGTAGAATGCCGTTTGCCGAAAGTTTGCCAAAATGAAACAGAAAATGAACAACTGCACAAAGTACGAGATGTTCAAGAACGGATTGCCAGGCATAAAGCAAGGAGAAAAAGTTTTACCAAAATCAATGCAAGGAAAAGTATAAAAATTCGTTTACACGGAACAAAAGAAAAGGTCTTGAGTGAAGACCAATGCAAAGATGGTGATTGTACCAGTGGTGATGAAGCTGTTGTTTGGGAACCAGAAGCAGCAAAAGAAGAAGTTAATGTCAAGGTGACAAATGTTCTAGAAAGTTTTCCAGTTGATCAAACAGACGATGCAAATGAGATTTTTGAGCCTAAATTATTTATTAAAAAAAAGAAACAGTCTGTATCATGGGCTGTTAAGGACAAAATTACAAATCGGAGACAGAGCGTGCGAAAAAACTTTCTTGGAGCAGAATTTGGCCGCAAAGCCTCAGTTGATGTCATGGGAAGAAAAAGAAGCGAAACGTTTCCTAGGTTACATTATGATAATCCTATGGATGAAGTAAAAAATGGAATAACAGCGAGGAAAAAGGATTCCAAAGCTTATTGGAGTAAAGAAGATGGCACAGGACGAAATAGACTGCCTAGATTAAGTTACTCTGACATAAAGACACTTTGCGATTTGGATAAAGTGCTTCAAGCTGAAGGATCCAACCGGAGTCTCTTCTATCGACGTGGCACAAAAGCATATGACGTATCAGAAAAAAGAAGATCGACAATAAAAATTCCAGCCTTACCTGAAAGAAAACCGAGCCTTAATAAAAAGTTATCGATCACAGTGCCTAAGGCCGAATTTCCCGTTTTGAGAAATTCAAACAAGAAAACTACGAATAGAAGAGTCAGCAGAGGCAATCAAGAATTTGTAGAAAAGGACCTAAATGAAGAGCGTCGAGGAACTTTATTGGATGCAAAGATCCCGCATAACTTTAGATTTAATCAATCGCGAACGGTTGATGAAACTGGAAATAAAGATATCGTCTCTCCATTCCCCTCTATGCCAAGACTAATAAACAAAAGACTCTCTGAGGCATTCCGAGAGATACAAGAATGCAGATATTTGAGACTTTACTCAAAAATTTGACACATTACTAAAAAGATACACTTTAAAGCTTTGTAGATAATGTTGGCTTCAATGTTGCAGCAGTAACACTCAAGCCCGTTCTCTTACTTATCTCGAATCAATTTGCGTTAGGCCTCATGTTAGAATAATAACATTGTCCTTTAAAAACTGTGTATAAAGATATCTTCATAAAATTATATAAAAGTATATTTTCATTCGATATTGAATTCTGATTCCATACTAATGCTAGAAATTTGGGAGTGTAGTTTTAATTTACGTTATCAACAAAACTAAACATATTTAACTTTCAACATTACACGCAAGGAATAAAACTCAAATTGAGGCTAGGTATAAAAATGATATTGTTATTATCTATAAAATCGAATTGTTTTATTGATTATTCTTAGAATGCTTTCAGGATGACTGAGAGGCTTCATTTGGTTGTCTTGACAGCTGAATAGATTTAACATATGTCATAATTGATTTAAGGTGCTTTAATTTTCAACAATTTATAAACATTCTACCAAAATAAGAATATACCTCAATTGTTACTTTTAAAGTTAAAAGAAAGCCAATGATTTCAGCTAATGACATGGTCGAATTTATACGGCAACTTTCCTGACTAGACCAGCTTGTAAACAAACATATTTTTATGAAATTTAACCCACTATAAATTCCTGAAATGGTTTTAAAAAAATTAAAAATGCCCAAACCCATTGTACTCGATCACCAGCCTTTTAAAATATAGAATGCCACATTTACTCCGTCCATAACAATGATTTCGATACTATTAAGCATAAAGACGACAAATAATATTCCCTACATTTGGGCAATGCTGCTTGTCAGGGCCGTCGAAAGCCAGCTCAGACCAATGAGTGATTCACAAAAATGCCCTTCAGTCTCTCCGGGAACTAGGGAAACGCCCTTTTCAGGTACATTTGTTGAAAAAGTGCAAGAACAATGTAATCATGAATCAAGAATGTGAATATCGGATTTTTATACTAAAAGTAAGTAAGACTTTTGCGTTGTAAATAAATCTTGTAACAATGTAATCATCTGCTTAATTATCCTATCGGACCACCTGTCCCGGGCCCTTTGTTTCCCCTAGCCCCCTCTCGACGCTTATGGTGCTTGTTCGTAAGCTAACGCCTCCCTCGCATTTAGGGCCGTTCAATTTAAAGCTTACCTTAGAACCTAATCCCAAAATATCTTAATTTTGTATATCTAGATTGGTGCCATTTTTTATAAGAATTGACGCAATGGTTTAATAATCTAAATAAACCGGGAATTTTTAAATAAAAGAAACACAATTTCAAAGCAAAGTTGCATGGAAACTTCCAGTTTGTGAGATCTTGTATTTTTGCGGCTCTCTGACCAAGAGAAAGATGCAATATGTTTATCAAAAGTCTTCGAGCTTTAAAATGATACAACAACGTTCATTTAAGCAAAATATTTTTGAATTTCGAAAGTTCCTTAAAGAAACAAATACGCTAAAAACTCCTTTATTAAGTTAAATAATTAATTGGGACATTTTTGTTGAAATTTGTTTGAAAAGCAAAGAATTTTCGTGTAACGCAAATTTGTGATATTGTACACTTACGTTCAAAAAGTATTGGGACGAATTCGATAAACGAATTATGGCGTTCCGTTGGATTTGGGCAGTCTTTCTACAAATAATCTAGGCCTACGTTTCCCCAAAATGGAATAAAAAGTTAAGAAAATGCTTCAACTTATGAAGAATAACCAAGAAAACACAGGATTCTTTCGATTTTCCTGATTATAACAGCAAAATATGCAGAAAGGTTGTATGGCCTAACAATGGCAAAGTCACATGCAGGGGCGGACGCAGAAAAAATCATGACCGTGGCACAAAGTTAGGTGACCACGCCCTCTGGTCTATATGGGTATAGCTTTTATAGCGAAAACATAGTTACATTTAGCGCAAAGCTGTCACCGCTCCTGTCGTTTTATCATTAAACAATACTGGCTCTATGTTTTCAACTTGCAAACAAATAACGATGCAAACTGATGTAGGCTAGTCACTGGACGCACTTAAATAATATACATTTAAAAATTTATATATAATGGCTAGTTCTTACAACTGACAGATCAAATTATCTTTATCTTTAGCCAGATCAAATTCTTGACAAATTAAACTAGGCATATTTTTGCGAAGCTTCGACAGCTCGTCCACGAAAAGTTCCTTCAAAGCTGCATGGACTCGCGATTTAATAGATTTTTGAACTATTCTTTGAATATCCATTGCCAAAGCAAAGGTAATCTTTGCAATAAACTCAAATTCGAACTCAATAAAATTCTTGCGTGCAGAATCGTCAGTTTCCTGCAGACCGAACACGTTTTGTTTGTTTACCCAGCAATCACCGGAATCACCTAAGCAAGTTCATACTCGACAGCACATTTTTTAAATATTTGTGCCACGGTGCCACTTAATGAAAGAACATACGGAGTCTCGATGCAATTGATTTCAATACACATTTCTTGGGTCTCAACAGAAGCATACAGAGCCTCGACCGTGGCACAAGAACAAAAGCACAGCCATTTGGTCTCAAAACATATTGTTTAAAAATGTGCGCGCATATTTCTATTTATATCTAGTGTGGCACGATTGTTACTATCCATATTTGGTAGAGCCAATTATTCTGTGGTTAACAAAAGGTAAACAATAAGCAAATCCAACATGGCGTACTTCTAAATTAACAGCGGAGAGGGGGCGTGGTAGATGGACGCTGGAGCGAAGAGGAATTGTTAGACAGAAAGGACCATATCGGGATACTTAGAACAGTTCATTATTTTCCAAAAATTCAAATTTGGAAATCTGACCGTGGCACGTGCCACCGGTGCCACCGTCTGAATCCGCCCCTGACATGACCTTCCAAAAACTTTAGAGCTGTCCAAACAAATAAAAAATTTTAATTTTCACGTTTGCATAACAAAAAAAAGTATAAAAGAAATTATAAAATCAAACTTTGAAGCTTCAAAAAAAGTTTACTTTATCGACGAAAATGCTACAATTTTATGAAATTATTGCATTTATTCAAGCTACTTTTAAAATTGCGTAACATTCAAGGAGAAGCCATTTGTAATCATCGTCAATGATTAATTTTTGCTTTAAGAGAGCATTTTCTTCTTATAACGTTGGAAAATTTGTATTTTTCATGACTTTTATAGCCATGGTTTTGCTTATGTTCCATTATTTAGCTTCTTTTTACATGACAATATGATGTCTGGTAAGGATTCAAACCTATTACTTCGCAGTTCCCTCAAAAATGACCTTTCGTACCTCGGTGACGTAAACTTCTTCGGTCTGCCAACCCTTGGTAAATTTTTTACTGTTCTTGTACGGAAAAACTTTTTACACACCATAAAAGCTGCACTCAATGAGCAGCGGACAATAGATGCAATATCGCGAAATCCATTTGCTTTATTTTAGTAGAAAGCAATTTGTAAGCGCTTCTCTTAACTCAGTTCTTGAATTTCAAGAGCCTCCAGGTTTTCGTCTCAAGGCCTATAGAAATTTTATGGTCGATGTTTTTTTAATTGTTTGGCGTACATAAAATGCATCGAAACATCAACAATGTCTTGTGAAAGTTGCACAGAAATAGCTGCTATATTTATTTAATGGGAAAGATTTTAAAAAAGTCTTTCCAAGTTTGTTGCATAAAATGTCTTCGAAATTTCGAAGTGTATCCCAATACTTTTTTAACGTAAGTGTACTTCACGGAATACTACGTAATTAGTACCCATTCTTCTTTTCCGTAACCAGTCGCAACCTTGTTTACAGAACAGGTGCAACAACATTATATTGGAACCAACTTCGGAGCTTGCAGACAGCCTATCGCCAAAAACTGTGTCTTTGGTTTCTTGCCAGTATTCTTAATCAGACATGTCTCTGAAAACTCTGCCGATGCTATTCCTCAATCTTGGGGGTGAAATGATGTACATCTTAGACCAGAGGCTACGTGCACAAAATATCCCTAAAGAGAAATCTCGGAAGGGTAAGCAATTAAGTCTAGAGAACGAATATAATTTTTTCTAGGTTTCGTGGAGGGATTCTACCATATTTAGAGAATCAGTCGTATTATTGTTTGCAGAGATCAAGCGGGGAAGGGGCAGGGTTGCTGATAAAAAGTGCCTTTGTTATGAAATGTATGAACTTGAAAACATATATTCTTTGCAGAAGAATAAATTAGAATAAAAAGAAATCACAAATCTGCCAAAATTAACATGCTTTGTCAGTAGCAAACATTTCTCATTGATTGAAGTTAATGTCTTTTTTGATAGTTTTATGAAAGTCTTGTGCAATAAGTAGCACAAAAGAGATTAAGAGGACAGTGTCTTGCATTAACTATCATCTTGGTTGGAATACATAACTAGTAGTTGACAATCCTAAGTTAAACCTTAAATTTTGAATGAAAATGTTAAGGAAAGGTATTTTTATACCAAAGCATTTACATTCCTAACTGCAGGTAGTTGTTGTTATATCAGAATATGATATAACAGCAATTAATGCAAATGCATGCAAAACTATGTGCCTAAAAACTGTAAAAGAGAGCTAGGAACAGTAAGGATGTGAATCTTCCACAATTTATGGCCTTCTCAATCATATTACTGATGATGTATCCTCTACCCAACAAATAGGATATACCCAAATAAAAAGGAGTAAAGAATTGAAATAAACATTACTTCTCCCTGAAATCCAGGGTGATACTTTGTATATTTCTATATTGCTGTTTAGAGTCTTTAAGACACACAATATTTCCCAGAAATTTAGTTATCTTTCTTAAGTCATGTCAAAAGTATAAAATATATGAAGTTCTTTTCCTTAATTTCTGAATTTGTTTCACAGTCATGCATGATATTGTTGGAACAATGCTGAATGGAAGATTTATGACTGAGCTCTTTAAACCACAAGATGCATACTCAAAGAAGGCTATGAGAACTGTTTTTGACAAACTTGCTCATGCGTCAATCATGAGGCTTAATTCTGCAAGCATGGATAAGGTGTGTCCCATTTTAACAACAACTAAATGCACCTGAGATTTCTACATATGCATTTCATTATCAATGTTGCCAGCTTTTGGTTGCTGTACTGATTTGCTGAAATAAGATCTGAGCTCAAAATGAATACCATGCCATTTCAAGCATTCTTTTTCAGGAGGTAGATTAAACACTGCTTTTCAGGATATGGATCTCTTTGATAAAACTTGTCTTCTTTAACAAATAACATAAAATCTAAATAATTGAATTTGAAACTTTGACCTAGTAGCTTTTTGAATTTAGCACAATCAATCATGATTGTTTTAAATTTTTTGTAATGTTTTTCTTTGTTTTCTAGCTTTATGATCTGATGACCATGGCATTTAAACACCAGGCAAGTATCAAAATTTCATGAATTACATTGTGAATGCTTGTACATAGTCTATACTGTGGGGTTGACCGCCCCCAATACTTTAGAGGACAATGGTCTTTTGTTCTAAAACAATGGGAAATGTGACACCATCTTATTAAACAATATCCTTGTCCCACCCTCCAATATTTGACCAAATGTCCACCCTGCTAACAGAAATCTTTAATATTTTTAGGTCAGTTTATGCCAAAGACCTCAAGATATCCTTCTTATAACGCTAAACCACCTGGATGCCATGCGAGAGTTTGTCAAGGAAAACGAAACAGTGTTGCAGCAAGTGGAAAATGTCTTTGCATTGCTAAAACAGGTTTGCTTTTTTCATAATGCCTAATTTTAAAATATTTCTCTCAGAATGGCTAAAAGTGAGAAATTCTTCTTACCATCTTCATATATTCAACTTTGTGTATAAATATATATATATTTTAGATTTTTTGTATGCTTACATAACACTTGGAAACAAATGATCAAAAGTCTATAAGTACATCTATGTTATTTGATCAAAGGCAATTTAAATTGAGAAGCTTTTTATTCACTTCTTTCATTTTCAGCACTACGGAAACTTATGTCCTGGGCAGTTTCAGCTAATAAGGATGACCATACTCTCTTTTTTCCAAGACATGCATATAAGGGTAAGATGTTTATCTACCATTCTATTAATACCAGTTGTGCTAATGCATTGATAACAATTTACATTGGAAGTATTATTTTATGTGTCTTTCCTGAAAAGTAAGTATATATAATCTGCATTAACAAAGAAAATTGAAAATTTTCCTTTAAGCATTTAAAGTTTGAGGGAGAAGGTTTGGTTTGTACAAAATAATTTGGAAGACATATTTGTTAGAAAAAGCTGGGTTTTATTAATGCTTTGAATGACTATTAAAATATATCTGCCTGGTACTATTCTGTAAAAATGATATTGTATTTTAACAATGAACATCATTTTTAGGTGTCAATTTTCCTGAAAGACAAAGTTCAGACACCTAATGGTAGATTCATATTGCCAAAGGATGGGCAAGTTCCTTGGGACACAGAAGTACCAGGAACCATAAGGTGCGTCAAAGAATTATGCTATCCACTCGCAATTCAATGACAAAGTTTAGCTAGAAAAACTTTAAATTTTGCTTATGATTTATTCCTTAGTAATGCAAAGTCAAAAAGACACTTGCAACCATTAGCGGGACGATAGGTCCATCATAAAACAATTTAGACCATAGGAACCAGCTATATGGGAGCTTAAACTATCCACTTTTACTCCATTAGACTTTTTGAGAATGGAAAGCAGGCTAAAACAAAGTCATTCAAAACCAGTGTGAAGTGCCAACTTGCTGACAAGCCAGGATCTTATGAGCTCCTTGGTGATAGAGTGACAAAACTCGGAAGAAACATGTAAGTCTTTCTGTTATGTCTTTATACTCATGATATCTTACATCTTTTCGCAAAAAGGCTAATCTGTTTGCTGGGATGAAAGCTATACAGTCTCTTGAACTGTCCCCCAGATCAATAGGGAAATGTTTGAGTCTGTCCACACTTAACTGACTCTATCTAAAAAGTAAAAACATGCTTCTCATTCTGACTTCAAAACATATCTAATCACGAATTTTGTTCACAAAATGCATCTTTCTTTAAATACCTATCATTTTCTTATGTGGGCAGGAAAGAGAAGGCTTCTAAAAATACTGTAGACCATTTAAACATACTCTGAATCTAGAAAGTAACCAAAGGCATATTATGTGAATCTCTTAAATTCATGATTATATTTTCTGCATCATGTCAGATAGTAATTTTAATTAATTGAAATAATTTGATTAGCAGCAACTTACATTTCCTTAATGGTTATAACTTGCTCAATCACATGTTTGTCTGATCAATCTTGGCAGAGGCATTGTACAATCTTTGTTGCTTTCAAATCTGTATCAACCAGAAAATATCATTATTAATTTCAGGTATGAAGCTGCTAGGCAAGTGGATACCACTATTCAGAATTCTGGGCCTAAGCCTGCACCACAAGCTGCTCCTGAACAGGTAAGTGAATGCACATTATTGCAAACTATATTTCAGGAGATCCCAGACATGATTCTTCTAGCTTGGGGTCTTGAATAGCTCTCGCGACAGTCATGCAAATCATAAACCTTTTTGTAAAATTAGAAAGCCGGATGCAAGCTTGATATAAAAATAGAAAATAAAAAATAAGTGGTATTTTTGATAGAGTTATAGTGTTAGCATAATTTGATTTTCATTTAAAATTTTCAGAATCTTTGAACTTGACCATCCTATGTAATAAAACACCATAGCATGCCATAAGAATGTCTGTTCCAAACACCATAGCATGCCTAGATAATTGTTATAGTTTTGGCTTGGTTCACAAGACCAAATTACAAAACCATGATTTTATAGAAAGTGTGAATGAGTTTATTGGGATATTTTCAGCCATTGTTGATCAGATTTAATTCTTTCATCATATGCATGTCTTTTTGTGATGCTATTTCAGATGATATGCTGTATCCTGATCTAAATTGAAAAGCTCTTTGAATATTTATAAGTTTTCATAATTCTAAAAGAGTGTCTGAATTATTTGAATAAATTCCTTCCTTTTAATGTGCACCGCTCTGATAAGCATCCCCTAAAACAAAAAAAATTAGATGAGCTCCCCGCCCGTCGATTGGGCACCCACAGCCTCATCAACAATTTAAGACCTAAGAAAATATCATTGTATTCTATCACTAATCGTCGACAATATATGTGGCAATCTAGCTGTATGTATATTTTTAAACGTAAATTCAAAGAATATTTATTTCACTTTTATCTTCTGACGCTTATCGTCCACAATCTATTAATGATCGGTTGTTTTTGCTGTTTAGGATCTGCAGAACGAACTTAATAATAATGGGCACCCCTTTGAATGAGCATCCCATTTCGAGTGAGCAACCCTTACGAATAAACAGCCCTTGAAACCGCAGAACATTTAATAACGCCTCGGGCACTCATTCGAGGATTTACAGTAATTGAGCAATTGAATCTGTAATAGAAATGAAAACTCGTCATCTTTTTCTTTTCAAGGATTTGGAAAATCGAAACCCTCTTGCCAAAGCTGAACTAAATCTTCTTTCATATCTAATAGCAGGCGATCGACAGTCTAGTGGTATGTTTTTAGAAGAAGTTATTATTTTTTTACAATCACTTACATGCTTTGTTGTATAGAATATGATAGTTCAAAGTATTAACTCTTGAAATTAACGTTTAATGGGATTATCAAGCAATATTTGTGTCCCATAGTTATATCTTCAAAGATGATATACCTACAATAAGGTTGCGGTTTATTTTCAACTACTGTTAAAAATTAGAACTTGCTTGTTGCAGTAAATCAAGGAAATGAGATTGATTATAAAAAATGAATAATATGTACTAGCGAATTCTTTTTAACATAAGTTTGTTGCAGTCACACTGTAACATTTTAACATTTTATTGTTAATCAGCCACATAAATTTGAAACTGAGATTGATGGAAATAATGAATTAGTTGACGATCTTTAAATCAAGTTCAAAAACTGCAAAGTATAATTGTATTTAGTTTCTTGTATGACATTGCCAATTTCCGGTTTCCATTGACATAGGTCTGTTGCTATTCTTGGCTATGTTTTTATTTACAGCCATCTAGGTATGTAACTACAAAATTTCTTTATAGGGAATTCATTCAGGCTTAATCTATTTAGCACAGACGAAGAAGAGCAGTGAGTAATATTTTAATTTTTTCTTTGCTTTGGAAAGCTTAAAGGCATTCGACACAGGTAAATGTGGCTTACAGCCACTCGACCACGAGCGGTTGACCAATCAAATTGCGCACAGAGGAAAACAGGTGTAGGAATTCACCGAATCTGTGAAATCCTTTCTGCAAATCTGTGAAATCCTAGAGCAGTGCGCAGTGGTTTCACGTGAACAGTTTCCAACTACTTTCTTGTGCGCGTTCTCTGATCAATTTGGACTAACTTATTTTTAGATTCGCTCTACATATGCATGTCAAATGCCTTTAAATTCTTTCAATTTTTCTAAAAGGCAGAAGTTCGGCATATTAACGAGTTAAAGAAAAAAAATTTGTACAAGTAGTTAGTTCAAAGGAAAGGCGTTGGGCATATTTATGTAAAATATTAGTATTACAGAAAAAGCGAGCACCAGAAACCTGCGAGCTGGAACTATATTGAATCGTAATGAACTATTGTTTGAACTAATATTTAGCATACTATTCAGGCCAACATGATTCAAGAAAAGAAGCATTCATACCATCTGCGGGTTCTGACAATGTGTAGTAATTTAATTTACAATGAGGACGTTCAGGGGACTCATTGATCATCTTCAAAATAAAAAGCAGTGGATTTTAACTTCTTGCTGTTTTCATTGACACCGTAAGGGGATGGAAGAATGTCTTTCAACTTAAGTGCTGCAGAATGACGTTTGAAGCGTCTTGTTGTAACAACAAGGTGTCATTTTGCTAAGATGTTGGTTTTGCTTGAAAATTATACAGCTCAACCTTCCTTTTGTTTATGCAAGTTGCTATTGTGAATAACATCTTTAAGGCTTTCTTGAATTTATGGTTCAGTCTGAGGCTCATATTAGGAAAGTCTGGATAACACAGAAAAAAGGGCGATTCTTTCATGCTGATATTACATGTTCCTCCTAAGAAGCTGTCGATTCAAAAATGCAATTGTGAAACTTCTCTTAATGTCATTACAATTCTCTCTTTTAATCGAATTTAGACATGAAATATAAATATTAGTTGTCCTTTTCCTACTAGAACAAACATCAAAATCGTTTATACATATCTCTTTCAAAGCTCTGAATTCAAGTTGAAAAAATTTTCAAATATTGACTCAAAAATCTCCAGATTTTGTTTGATCAAATTTTAGAAGGAATTCATTTCCTCCAATGACTGGTAGAATCAAATAAGAAGTAATTGGAAATGTTTGAAAACTAGAATTTCCAATCACGACAAAGGCCACTCCGCAAAAGACCAAACACCACTCGGGTTTGGCCCCGGTATTGCTGTTCTGGGCCAATATATCTGCACCATAAACTAGAACGAATATTGATGCTTTTTTTGTGACACTGTGACACTGCCGAATAATCTTATGGTGTTTTAAATTTTCACTTGTTCTTCTACATTTCCTAGCTGATTATTTTTATTCTTCATTTATTACTTCTCTGTTTGGTGAGTTGATCTTGGCGAAATACTTCATAATATACTAAGAATTTTTAGCAATCATTTCACTGTCATTATTTAGAAAGGGTCAGTTGCTAATGACAACAAATTGCTGTTGAGTACGTGCTAATGAATTTTTTGTTTCATTTCTATATTTTTAGAGCAATAACTGTCGCTTCTGCCCTTATTTAGTCTTCAATGGAGAGAAATTTTCTCATCGTTTACATGTTATCTTCAAAATTATAGAAATGCCGAGAAGGAATACGCAAAAGTTCGCCATCGAGAAATACTTATAGATGCAACACAGGTAAAGATAGTCGTATACTTTTACTACTGCTCAGAGAGTTAAAAGTAAGAGATGTCTTAAGGGTAGGATTTCCAGGTCATAGTCCACAAATAAAATCTCTGCCCCAACCCCCCCCCTCCTCAAACAGACTTTCAATGTCACATTAGTAGGCTTATGCTGTGTTTTCTTCACTTCTTTGTTTCGTTCATAGTATTGTAATTATTGATTGCTAACCTACCCCTTACTATTACTTCTGTCGCTAGCCAAGCTCTTGAGTCGCTCTTGAATATCAGAGCAGGGTTAAAGACATTCTTGGTAGAAACTAAGGCCTTGCCATAGTTTCTACCATAGAACATCTGTCGATAGTCAACATCGAATAGCCGTTACATGGTATATCAAGAGCAGTTTTCCGTGTGAGCAGATTCAGTTTTTGAAGCTCAACTTGTTTTATATAAACCACGAAAGTGTATTAAGCTCTAGCCTTAGTGCTACCCGACATTTCATTGAAGTGAATCATCAAACAACGTGGCTGATTGTAGCCGATCTTACTACAGAGCCGGCAACATTGTTTAACGATTTAATTCAGTGGTATGATGGAAACGCTGGATCAGACTTATTCTCGTGGAAAATCTAATACGAGAAGTAGAAGCACTGCTAAAATGCGTTCGGATATTTAAACCTTGTTGAAATTATTAAAATTTTTAGCTACATGTGGTGTTTATTTATTTAAAGTCGTCAATCTATTGAAAGTATCGCAATTTTATCCCAGCTTTACAGGATTATCTCACATGTAGTATTATATATTCCAAAATATCATCAGTCTAAGGGAATCATTTCTTCATTCTTTTCAGAAGAAGCAACAAGGAGCCTTAAGTCAGCTCATGAACGAGTTCTCCATTGAAGGAACAACCGGTTCTACTGATAAAGGCGACGATTTGCTTGAGCTAATGGATGCTGCTTCGAAATGAACACAAACTCTTCAACGTTATAATTTAATAACAACGAAAATTAAAAAGGGTAGCGGTTCAAGTAACTGCTGTCAAAAAGTAGGGACTTCAACTAGTAGGGTTTCGCTTATCAAATTCTATTTAACCTATCTTGTTTTTTCATCAATATTTCCGTCACCTTTATCAATGTTTGGCCAAAGTGAAATACCTTTGTCAACAAAAGTTTGTTTGTCGTGTTCTTCATTCCTTATTTTGATTCTCAATTATAACAAGAACATTATAACAAGGAAGATGGCATTTTTTGGACATGTTGTTGGAGAATCCAGTGGGAAAGTATTTTGTAACATTATTGGAGGTTACATCTGTGGACTAAGATTACCAGGAAAGAAAAGAAGAATGTGGTCAGATGATTTCAAGGAACGGGCGAATATTGATAATTATGGCGATTTTAAAAGAATAGCAAACAATAGAGTTTGGCGGAAGGTAATGATTGGCAACCTGCAGTACACATAGATACATATCAACAGGACTGAATGAATGAACAAGAAAATGATTCATATACCCCGCAACTAAAAAATCTGCATCTCTTCAAAAACAAACGAATAATAATTCAGAAGTGGGGGAATAATTGTGCATGACGGTGTGGGCGAGGGGAACACAAGGTTCAATTTTGGGCCTTTTGCTGTTTTGTTGCCAGCAATGCAGCCGAGCTTTTAAGCGATTGTAATTTAGTAAGATAAGCCCTTCATTTAAGAGCTAGCAAACGTTTGCACAACCCTTGCAAAAGATAAAAAAAACTGAGAATTCTAGCTTGCTATTGTTGCTGAAGATTTTGCAGGAACGAAATTTGAGAAAAAGTCTTTAGACTGCTTATTCTGTACGGATTGATAACTTCATTTCCCAATAATATTTTGATGTAAGCAATGGGTGTTTCAAATGCAAATGGCAGAATACAGCTCTGGTAACTAGTGACCTTACATGGTATATCGTCTGTTTACTTCACTACAGAGTGTACATTTTTCAAAGCAAATTACTGATTTTTGAATCATTTGTATCAACACTATGTCAGTCGTGTCTGATTTTACCTCAGCCCATAACGTACAGCATTGGCAACATCAGAGCAAGCAATGTTTGGTTGACTAGTTTGTAAAAATATACCCGGAATCAAACCTTTTCAACACAATATTTTCAAAAAAACCACAAATATACCTTGCGACTCAACCCGAACAAGCGCAATTTTTAAAGTTCTAGGGCAAGTTGTCTGTGATCTATTTGAGTCCAGCCTCACTTGGGTCAGAGAAAATTTGATTAGCTGCAGTGTTATTGCCATGGTGACATGATATCTCTTAACTTTGTTTCATTTTCTACGTTCAAAGTCACTAATTTCAAGTTATTTGATTGTCAAGCCATATCAGGTATCTAAAGAAACAGAATTTGAGTGTATCGAAGTTCTGGATGAAGCTTTATGTGCAATGGGAAGTTTTCACTTGTATGGGATGACAGATCTTGGAAACGAGTTGTTTTTCAACTGCAAACAACGGATGAGATTTTCCAATCAAACAGACACCCACCTGCACAAGAGATGCTACAAAAAACATTAATTCTTGCAGGTGACAGGGAAGCAACTGTATATCTCAATATACACCAAATTTCGTAGTTATCTAGTGGAAAAACTTGTTAGCTCCTATCTGTTATTTTAAACATAGCTTTTTAACACAAAAATGTAAAAAAATGTTATCGATCGCACAAAGGTATATATCCGATTAAAGATATCACGCTTTGACATGGGAACAGGATCATTTTTGAGCTTCGCGATCAGCTGTGTCTATGGAAAATCTTTATAGTATGTTTTTGTCTTGGTCTACACTTGTGCCGATAATTTCATCAGTTCAGTTGATTCTGATGCACATAACCGCCGAGAAACAAACAAGCAATAACGATATTGCATAAAGCAGCATAGCATAAGTGAAGAATTTGTGCCAAACCAACAGAACGCGTTGTGGTTGAATGGCGTTTAGAAAACCTCCTCATACTTTATACTCATCGCCAAGGTCGGAAAGCAAATGGCTTAGACAACTTAATCAACTTAAAGAAGACTAGGGTTAAAATTAACAAAAGGTACCATAAATCTATCTGAAACCCATATATGCTACGAAATTTTGGCAAGAGACGACGACTTGAATTGTTATTATGACGTCATATTATCAGGTTTTGACAGCTAGATTTTGATTTAGTTCATATAAATACCAGTAAAGTTGTAATAATGGTAGACGTTTAAGAGTTATAATAGTTGAAAATGAGCTTACAGCGAGACTTTAAGGGGAGCTGGTGCTTGAATGGCGAGAAAATTTCAGTGGTAGAGTTTTTATGTTGCGCAAGTCATAGAATGGAAAATAGAATGGGAACTAATTCGGCTAAAAAGGATCCAAGGAAGGCAAAGAAAAGCAAAATAGACAAGAAAACAAAGGATACATTTGCTAAGCTTTTGAGTGTGGACAAACATTTGCCAAGCCAAAGGCAAGAAGACTACACTACAAGTTTTCCACTTCCTCCTATCAGCCGTGAGATTAACCCAACATCAGCTGCACAAACAGGTCAGTTTAAAGACCTTTCTCTTTATGATTTTCGCAAAAATGAATAGATGGGCAAACATTACAAGCCCCCACCCAGTTTCGTTCGTCACCCGTCCCACGTTGGAAAGAATTGGAAAGCAAATTATCTTACGCTTTGCTCTGGATTTTTAAAGCATAATGTCTTTTAAAGTAGATCGAAAAGGGGGTATGTTTTAAAAAAGACTCGATCATCAGAAACCCCTGTAAGATTTCGACAGATTCACTCTCAGATCCACTCTCGTGTAAACGCAACCTATTGGGGCTCGAAGCAACAAAATGCATGTGCTAAATATTTTAACGATTATTTGTGTAAAAATAAGTAAAGAGGTTCACGTTTCGTAGATTTAACTCTATTGGTTGGAAATGGCTTTGAAAAAAGCAAACATTTAGTAAACTAAAGCTTTTCGTCTGACACTCTTCAGAGTTTAAAACGTCACAACATAGATCGAAAACTCTACGCTAGGAAATATATATAATATATATCTATTGGTTGGGTTTAAAAGATTTTCGACAATACCTTAATAAAATCCAACTGTTACATCCTAGATTCATTTCGGAAGGAAACGGCTAGGCCATCAACCGAGAGCAAGATAACAAAGAAACTGCCTCCGATTATTGAACAAACAGAAAAGAGGCTCACATTGGAGAAAAGAGCGCGAGATCAGGCCCTAACATACACTCTATGGAAAACGCCTCCGTTGCGGTCAGTCTATATCAGATGGAAAAGCACAAATACCTCTGTAGCTTTTTGCGATGTGCATACAATGATGGGCTTTTTTAGGCCGTATGGACCGATCGAAAGAGTAGTTTATTCTTCCTCGAACAGTGCCATTGTTGTTTTTAATCTAATCAGGTCAGCTTGCAGCGCCGCAGCAAATGCAAGCCAAAAATTATCACAGTATTCGCTGTTTGTCGTGTGGCTGCCACAGTATTTGCAGGTACCCATGGAGAAAAGCTTTAAAATTCGCTAGATGTTGGTTTATTTTCAATTATCTGAGTAAATTCGTGTTATTTATCATTTCCCTGCCTTTGTCATGTTTTCTGAAACTAATTCGATGAATAATGGGAAGCCATTCCCAACAAGCCTGAATGTGACATGACATGCAACAGCAAAGCATGAATAAGTTATCTGAGTTTACTGAGTGGCTGGCGCTCGCAGATGATACTTTAAGACAACTTTGAGCAGATCATGTCAGTTTTGCGTAGGTACTTCAGCAATGAGAAAGCACAAAAAATTATCTTTTTCGAGTTGTTAAATCTTGGAGGACTTGTCTCGATATGGCCGTCCAGGTAGAATTTTCAAAAGCCTGTGTTTTGTATGCCCTGTGATATACTGACTGAATGCCAGAGTCCACAGAAATTATCTATACAACTAGTTTATAGTCAGGGAAATCTATTTTAAAGAGAAGACAACACAATCAATCAGTTATTTGAAGTTATAGCCGCTAGCTCCTCGCTTTCGATACTCCTGATAGTTACCTTCCAAACCGAATCACAAAGATGAAAATTGGCTGTACATTAAGCTCATCAAAACAGATTTTGATCTGTTTGAGTCCTTTTGGATCTTTTCCTTTCAATGTATTCACTAGTGATCTGATTTTTTTATACAAACATAAATGGAGATATGTAACTTGACTAATGAAATATCAATAAGGACTGAAGGAGGCACTTAATATTCTATAGCATGTGAAATCACTCAATGCCAAAACCCAGCGAATTGTAAACATCGATAAAACCAATTTCAAACGGAAATTTAATAGGAAAAAATTACGCAAAAAGGTTATCCAGAAAGTACAGGCAATGTCTCTGAACGAGTTCAAAAACAAAAAAGGCATTGATCACAAAGCTGGCCTTGATAAGTTGCAGTTAACCAGTAAAAAACCAACTGTAAAAAGGTTTGGTACTACCATTAGCGTAATTTTTTATGGCGCCGCATGTTTAGGCATGCTAAAAACAGCACGATTTGTTTTTAAAATTTTATTTGCAGCTTGCGTATGTCTTTTATTGTAAAGTAACATATAAGAACTTGGAAGGAAGAAAAGAAACGAAAATAAGAAGAAAAACTGACAATGGGTTCAAAATGTTACAAATAATATGATACTTAACTCAAACATCTAAACATAACCAAAATCTTTTCAAACAATATTTTTTTTGAACTTTTCCAAACATATTACAGAGTTTGGACTAAGCCTACGTAAAGTATAGCCTTTTAATGAGTTGCAAATCAAACAGTACATATACGCGCAGATGTTGGTGAAACGAAGTTTAAAGTTGAGAATAATTAAGCTTTTTAAATTTATATGTTTTTACTATCCATGCTGAAATAGTTAAAAAGCCTTCCATTGATGACATGCAGATAGACAAACCAAGCCTGGAACTATCAATATATCACTGTTGCCTAAAAAAATTTGACATCTTCTACCAACCCTCTCCTTCGCCCCCGTACAATGTTGATTTATTTTCTCCGTATCTCCATACGCCTTTCAGTGACAAAAGTCTTACATTCAGCATCCAGCCGGTGTAGACTGAGCACCATTGTAATGGAGAGAAGGGGGAACTTTCAAGGATTTACGAGGAACAGAAGGGGAAACTTCCTCTTAGACTTCAAAGTGAAACAATTCTAAAGGCTTTTTTATTCTCACGACTTTTGCTACCAATGCAACATAAATTGATCGATAAATATAAGGCTAATACTGCAGAGGGGGTTTGGTGTGGACTACTCATACAATAGTACCTGGAAAAGAAAAGAGAACCAGGAGAAATGATGGCCGTTAACTTATCTGGAGGGCAAATCTTCGAGAGCAGGGCATTTTTATACCATTTGAGCCTGAGATTCAAGGCAATTGGTAGTTCAGAGCCATTGACAATTTTTTGATGAAAAAACCCGCACCACGATGGAGGATAAAGACGAAGTCAAAAACTACCCTTAAAATATTTTTCTAAAAATCTACATCATCATTTTCCAGACAGCGGCCTGTTTGGAAACACAAACAAGTCACCAAACTTGCATCAGGTGGAAAAATTGACACATTTGCTGAGTTGAGGTGACAGTATTTCGGGGCTCCGCCCACTACCTACCGATTGAATGTTGCAGCTTTTGCAGAATGATAAACATATTTTACTGGTGCAAGCATGTTCATAATGTATTCTCGTGGACAGATATTTAATTTTGAATTTAATCCATTTATTTACCCTGATGACAAAAGCAATTTTCTTTGCAAACCAACAGGTGTCGGCAGTTGATCTAAGAAAGAGATCTACAGACGACGGCTTATTCAAGGGAAATTGCACATAATTGCACGTTTTAAGTCTAATGTTGAGTTGTGATTGGATAAAGTAGATCATTTATGACAGTCTGTACCTGTAGTCTGTTATCAAAGTGATTGCTGTAGAAAAGAAGAATGAATTGGAGACTGAAATTCATCTTCAATTTGCTTGCCGTTGGAATTTGCACCATTGCTTGTAACGGTATATATACCTTCTTTACATCAAATTTACTCCGCTTATCTACAAGGCAGCAGTGGTGTTACAGACTAAAGTTACCTCTAGTTCAAAAACTTAGGGCCTCCAACCTCTAGAAGTCCTCAACAGAAATTTTATCTGTGTTATTTTACTTTGAAGGTGGTATTCAGGATGTCAGAAACGAGTTAAAGGGGCATTACGCTGGTATTGTACCTCAGTCTAAATCAATGGGAAATGTGTTGATCAGCTTTTAATTTTTTGTCAATATTGCTTACTGACAAAAATAATGTGGGGCTGCGAACTGAAAAATCAGGAGGGACCTGCGGCAACAAGGAAGTTACGCCATTGCAATGAAGAAGCTCGTATCTTGAAGAAATTGATAGATCTGCTTCTGAATCCTCAAAGGCTTCACTGACAATATTACTTGATCAATGAAACAACATAACATTTAGAATCTTTTGTATATCCGAATGATAATATGTGTCAATGGGTAATATACCAACATTTGAGGTGAAATTCCGCCAAAGGAAAAGTGACTTATTGTTATTGGCAGATATTTTTTATTCCTTTTTTAATACTATAAGCTTAGTGGCTCAAATTTTTTCTCCAGTTCTAATCTAAAATGAGGGCAAAAATTTCACGATCTTAGCCAATTTTCACAATCTAACTTCCTGCAGTCAACATCATGGAGAATAGTTCTGTTTATTCTCACAACTGGATTAATGAAATGTGAATTGCCTGAATCTCTCGCATATGTAATAAAGCAAATTTTAGATACCTGCTTCTCAAGATTGCAGATTCAAAATAGTGTTACAGGTTTGTGAGGTTTTTTCAACGCTGAATTTCGTATAGCAATGATTAATGATGTCTCTTAGTTATGACATTTTATACTCTGAAGAAAGCCAGACGAAAAATATAGGGTATGTTTCAAAATGTTGCTTTTTTCAAAGTCGAGAAAATCTCATAGTGTTTGCTTCAAGTTAATCAAAGATCAGACATAGCGCAGAAGAGGTCCACCTCCTAATTTCTAGTGTTACACTATCATGGCCATATTGTTAACAGAATAGAAAATCTTGTGCTCTCTACATCTTTGAAGTGCTAAAAACAAAGAGCAAGGTAACTATTTCTATGGTTTTCATTTTGGAAATTTTTTTGGGGAGGGGGGTCTGAAGCAACTCAGCCAATTCGCTTCAGTGGTGCCTGGTCTCTATATCTTTTCAAAGATAATTCCAGGTTGAACCTTTACCTTTTTTGCGTCTAAATGAATATCTGATATTTTGCTCTTCTTACCTGGCATGGTTTCTTACCTTTTTACATTCGATCAAAGGTTTTAAGATTCAACTATTGTAGATCTTTATGTTGGGTGTTCTGTATTCTATAGGAAAGATATCATTTAAAGTAATGCTTATTCATATGTTTATACTCTGAAATATAGTTTGAAAAAATCACAAGGTATATAAACTTATTTAGCCCAGAGGTAGTGCTAAAAGGATAAGGAAGAAACTAGCCTCCTCCACCTTGCAAAATCTAAAATTAAGCGCTTGCACTAAAAAGCAAATTACGAACGTGTTGGTGTGTTGTTTAAATGATGGTTTTTGAACTCAATAAAGGTACCAAGTTACCGAGATATGATTTTATTTCAGTAAAATTAAAGAGTAGATCAGCGTATTAAAAGTATTGAAAGCTTCATTGAAAGTATTTTGATTGACGTAAAGATACCATTACAGCAAATCGAAAGTTGCAAGGGCGAAGATGGAAATTGCACATTGCTCAATTGAAGTTTCTTTTGAGCCATGATTAGTCAGGCAAAGATAGAAAATGCTTGAACTGGAGCCTTTTTCCGCGAGGATTTAATTCATAAATTCAACAATCAACCTTGTTATCGAAATTGTTCTATTCAAAATTGTACGACTTTTTAAAGCTCAGATTATGATTAATCACCGTACTTCTAATTGGATCGGTTTATTTCAGCGGCTTCAACCCAGAGTAATTTTTAAGAAATTCCAACGCTTACAGACCAGTTGCTATTGGCATTTTGCGAAAAGAATATTTAATCAAAATAAACAGAGAAGACACATACGTCCAACGCGCTTTCAATACACGGTTAAGATAACAAACAACCTTTGTTAAGAATTTGATTGATCTTCTCATGATCACAAATTTGATCATCTTTGCTTGTTTTTCAATCTAATTTAGCTCCACCAAAGGATCCTTAATTTTGGAATATCCTGTTTGAGCTTTGGGAAATTTATATGCACCTGTCTGCCTATTTGTAAATCTAAAATTTAACACTTGCATTAAAAAGCAAAGTACTGCAAGTTTGAAATGTTTGCGCCGAAAATTGATCCTTTACGATTACTCCTATTGATGTTCCACAAGGAGCTGTGTGAGGGACAGTCATATTCATCATTGGAGCGAGCATCAAAGGCTTGTTTAATGAGTGGCATATAGCAAGCAAACCAATCGGTCTCTTTATTTTAACTTGGTCTTAATTTTGTAATGGACTTCATTTGTCAAGACCAATCTGATTGCAAATGTTTTCCACAAATTAATTCAGAACTGCAAGGCTCTGTTCGCTTGTTTTGATAACTAACTTTACATAGTACATGTACACACCATTTGTATCTTCAGTTTTGCTGAGCCTCAATGTTCTTTAAAAAGTTTGCCCATAACCCAAATATTATTCTAAATCCAATCTTAAGCGACACAGTGTCGGAAACTTTCTACGAATTGAGAAAGAGAATTGAAATCTTTGCTTTTGTGTTTCTTCTCAAAATGAAAAATGTCAGGAACTGAAAAATTCAAGCAAAATACAAGCTTGATAAGTGTATTTCAAATATTTCGCTGCATTGGAATGAAATTTGAAATGTCAAACTATCTGTGAATGAAATTCAAGACTTACAATTCGAGATAGAAACTACGATTAATCATTTCTGGAAGTTTAACAATTTCGAGCCTAATTTCGTACCAGATTCTTTTTTATATGAAAAAGTATGTAAATCATTCTTTTTAAATCAGGCTTTGAGCACCCTGATTTTCATTGGACATTCGACTTCAACGATGGACAGAGTACATACGAGGTCAAATCAGCGCTTGAAAACGTAGGAACGTTCGCAAATGGAACAAAGATGACCAACAGCGACGGCCGACATGGATTAGTGGCCTACTTCAGTGGCAACTTCTCCGGAATCGTTATCAAAAACGTAACAAGCAGCTGCTTTCTGGACCCTGCCACATGTCGAACTGGGTTCAGTATGAGCTTTTGGATTAACTGGGTGCAGGCTAGAGAGCAGTTTTTATTCATGTCTCCAGGCAAGTGGGATTAATATTGAATACATGAACGTGGATTTTAACGGAAACCTTCCAATAACGGGTGAGGAGCATATTCTAGCCCATCCCACCCAACGCCCTCTATCGCCCTATATCGGAAAATTGTTAGCGTTGTTACTGCTTTGAAAAACAGACAAATTGATACCTCCAATAAAGGACGCCTTCAAATAGGGAACTCTTAAAATGTCTGTCTTCCCAACAAAGCCTTGCAAAAGTAACCTGCAGGAAATGGCTAGGTTTTTACAAGGGTCTGGAACGCTAGTACTAGAAGTTAATTTCATAGGAGCTTTTGATGTATAGGAGACATTCCACAAATGTAAACTTGAACCGATTAATTTTGTTTTTAAATCACTGTATTGTTTATTCCATTGCGCTAGTCCACAAAGTACATTTATGATATTTATAGTTAGATTAGGACTGGGACCTAGTTTCTCTTACTCGTAGATTTTTTTACTTCGTGTTGAGATTTATACATTTGTGACTGGGTTTATAGATAATTTGGTATATCTGATTATATTGCAACATTTAGTGAAAGTTAACTTCAGAATCTTTGATAAATTTGGTACAAACTTGAGACTTTTACAACGTAACCTAACGTGACGTACAAATATACGTAATCACACACTTAACTTCAAGTACGTAAACGTAACTTCAAGACGTTTTAATTTTTCAAATAAGCTCTGACGAGCAGAGAGTTAGCAGCCGTAGACAAAGATTGAATTATTTTTAAAGGCATTGAGTCATGGTAAATAGGCCTCCTCTATAGGGGGTCATTTGGTTTCGGCGTGATTTCTGCTGTTTCATGTGATATTTGCATGCGTTGTTGACAACTTGCTATTGATGAAAACTGTTTTGTCATTCAGTACGAGGTGAGTTCATGTGACCAGTTCCAGGTCAACCAATAGCATCGCAGTCATGAAAATCATGAATCAGCAGATTTTGGCACTTAGGGTATACCCAATCCCTTTTATCATGGATTTTATCAATGCCTTTAATAATAAAGATTTAATAATAATCCAAAGTATAATCGTCAAATAAGAACTGTTTGATTTGATTTTTTCGGATTTTTAACCAGCCATATCAGCGAAGCATGTAATGGCCGAAAGAATGGTGGTCGAAATATGGAATGGTAGTAAATCATGGACCATTTTTCACGGATGTTCACAATCAGCTGGTTGGCAACATTACATGATAACATGGGACAAAGTGAAAATGAAACTTTTTGTTGACGGTGAAGAAAAAGAGAAAGCAATGTTGGCAGATTTCTCTAATGGTCTAATTGGTAGAGGTGGCGCCACGTTTCCAACGAGACTAGCGTTAGGAAGAGCATCCACAGACGAAAGTGTCACGAGGTTGGCTCAAGTTTACTATGACGACTTTAAAATATGGGAAAGGCCGTTCAATGATACGGAGGTGTTGGAAATCTACAATACAGGTAAGATCGATCTACATATTAAAATAAACGGCAGCCTTAAGCCGATAATACTATACTACAAAAATACAGCTTTGAATGCTGGTCCAAATTTAGGTCCACTTCTTCGTGCATTGGAATCAATATGACGTGACAGCAATCCAAGCTGGAAATCATCTCATAAATGTGTACATTTCAGGCACCGCGGAGCGTTAAGAAAAGTTGAGGGTCTAAAAGTGTGGGGGGGGGGGGCTAAAACCGTATAAAAAAGGCTTTTCTGGTAGTTTGATAATACTTAATATTTGGCATTTTTTGCAAAAAGTAGGGGGGGGGGCTAAAGCATACACAAGAGCTCGCGCAACGTTGCTCGTCGCTCAAATACCTTTGCTCGCAGGTTGCAGCTGATATTGTGCTGTTCCGCACAGCTAAGCGCAGCCAAAATCATACATGTCTTCTCGCCTGGGGCGATGATGTGATTTTGGGGTTTCAAAGATTCCCTTAGAATCCTCAATATTTCTACTTCGTATCGACAACTCGGGCAAATTCAATTTCTTGTAAATTCCTATAGAGTTTGGGTTGTCAGTTGCAGACCAAAATTCATGCAAAGCAAAATAAATAAGGTTGGCTAGGCTATGCATACATGTTTTCCTTAGTTTCCAAAAATAAGACAATAATGTAAATTCGAAATGTTGATTTCATAAAAAAAACAGAAAAGGTGTTTCTTTAAAAACTGTTTATCAATTAAGAATGAGTAATTACCTTTCACTTGTTGACTAATTCATCGGTTTCTTCTGTTGTGGTAAATGACATTTCTTACTTACTGAAACTGTCGAGGACCGTTGGAAGCGTGTTGCTATTTATGCTACCCTTATTTGATAGTCTCAGATTGATACATAACCCTCGAATACGAGATTACGCGGGAAACATTGAAAAGCTACAGTAGACTGTAGATGTTTTTTGAAGAATATATAACTCCTTGCTGGGCCTCAATATTCTTAAATCTGTTGATTTGAGCCTAAGATTATTCTTGAATTATTTTTAAACGACACAAGGTGTAAATTCGCCTGAAGATCAGAGCAAAAAAGGTTCAGCCGCCTAGGTTTTTTATCGGATGCAAGTTTAACTACACCAAAAAACCTGAGAGTTGACAAAATCATATTTGCATTAAGGGTGCATAACACTTTATCTAATTTGCTCATCTTCGACTTCAGTGGGTATATTGACAGCAACTTTTTATTCTTTGTGATTAAAAACCTTTATAACTCGAAAAACCCTGTGTTCTTTGACGCTTCCAGTTCGAAACCTCTCTGAACTTACTACATCTTGCTTAATTGAAAAAAACTACATCGTTCCACAGAGCTGCTGAACGTTGCGCAAGCTTTTTGGCAAGCATAAATGTTAATAAAACTTTTCTGTCAGAAATGCGAGACGAGCTGGCAAAGTTTTGACCAAGCGTTTTATAAAAATAGTACTGCAGTTTTCGATGAAAAGAGCTGTTTTAAATCTCCGTGAAACTATCATTTTTTGGTAGAACTGACATTTGATTTCCTATAAAGAAATGCTGTACCTCATAATTAGGAACTAAATACATTTAAATCATTTTTATGCTTTAGCTACTGTAGCGTGGCACGGAACTCTGTTTTAGCAAAAGTCTGAAAATGTATCTAGTGACTTCTCTTAATAATCCAGGGTTGATACCTGCTTTTCTTTTTCTAGAAGTCTACAAATCACATCAGCCCATGACAGAAGATATCTCTCAAGCAATTCAATTCACTTCATTTGTGAGTAACACCAAATACACAATGAAGGCGGCCTCGGTTATCACTGAGCAGCAAGTAGCCTGTTTAGAGGACTGCTACAGAATCTGCTCAAAAGAACTGAATTGCAAATCGGTCGCTTTCAAGACAGGGCTGTCTCAAAGTATTTGCAGAATTAGTGACGAGCCTCTATCAATTGCAGATGAAGGCGCGAATAATGATGGATTTCGATATATTTTTGTTGACAAAGGCAGCTAAAATCTAGCATGGCTACAATTTTCTGACTATAAGTGAATACAAAATGGCTCTCGAAGCTTTTGAATATCAAAACTTTGTCTTTGGCGATCTTAAAAACCTTTAAAAATGACAATCCACCGGAAAACTGGATTTCTTTACTACTTATTTGATGAAAATCTTGACTAAAGGAAGATTTTCAAAACCATATCATAAATCGGGGATTGAATAGTTCAAGCAATATTTCTTAGAATTATATTTTAAAATGTAATGGTAAATTTCCATCAAATTTTTTATAAGTACGGCCAATAACGTGATAATGAACAGCATAAGAAGTCGAATCACTTTGTCTTGTCAACAAGAGGCCATATCTGGCAGGCCCAGATTTTATGTTGTACTATCACGATTCAATATCTGATACGTCCAGATTTCATGCTGTACCTTCACTATTCCTCATTATGTAGGCCTAGATTTTCTGTTGTACTATCAAGATTCAATATCTGATACGTCCAGATTTTATGCTGTACCTTCACTATTCCTCATTAAGCAGGCCTAGATTTTCTGTTGTACTATCAAGATTCAATATCTGGTATGCCCAGATTTTATGTTGTACCTACACGATTCCATATTAAATAGGCCCAGATTTTATGTTGTACTACCGTGACCTGAGTCATTGATACTCCATCCACTTTCTTCAAGTGTCTAGTGCCCTTTTCTAAAAATCCCCATACGAAAGTTAGAACCCCCCAATCCACTGTTCTAAATTTTCAAGAACCCTGTCTTAAAATTATAAAGACACGTCAGTTTTCTTGCTAAATCTAAACAATTAAGTTAATATCAGGCATATGTTGCTTCGGAACAGAATAAAAAAGGCCTTTATAACCTTGTCATCATTTCAATTTTTTCAGATTGTATCACCTTAATATACAAGAATGTATTGCGAATATATTGTAAAATGTATTGCGACGAATGTTTTGTGACGAGTTCGAATATATTGTAAAATGATCGGTTTTGTAAATAACGAGACATTATAGCATGGCACTAAAGTAGCTTTGGACGAATAATTCGTCAAATTAAGAAACCTATATTCTTATAGAAAGAGTATGAACACTTGAATTAGCTTATCCAAAATGTTTAATTTTTTTTGAACTGCTTGGATCAGGTTGTTGTAACATCTGTGACGTTTTCTTATCTCGTTTCCTCATAATATAAGCCGCATCCTCAGTTGACTTTGCAAATCTATCATCTGTGACGTCACATTTCAATTCTCGTCCACGACTTGAGCATCGACCTCTCCCCAGGGCAGCAGCTAAGTAACTATCTGGGTGACTTTCAGCCAGACTATTTTGCCAAACACTGTGAATTTTTGATTGGACTTCAAGAAGCTTCCTTTTTCTAGGGTCTTTCCCTTCCCTACCTTGACACGCCTCAGCTTGTTGTTTAAATTCTCTCAAACGGCGTTGTTTGAATTTCTCAACCCTGTTCACCGATTCAACGGTGGAAAGAATATCTGAAACCCGAAGACGTAGCTTATTCTTAACTCGATTCTGAGGCAAAAGCTGTTGCTTTGGTATTTCATTTTCATTTTGCTCGAATATGATATGATCAAAGGTATGACTCTCCATTTTGGAAGATGAACTTCTCGATCGCCTTTTTCCAGTTTGGCTGTTTGGCGAATGACATGAACTGCTACCAGCAGTCCCACAGACTTTGCTAAAAAAGTTCCCTGTTGAAACATTACGTGATTTTGAAATCGTCTTTGAGATATCGTCCACAGCTTTCTCGCTAGAGAAACAACCATCAATCTTTGACTTACTGATAATGCTTTCAATTAGCTGTTTCTTCTCCCAGTTGCTTAAAGGAGTTTCTGCCGTCTTCAATAGCGCAGGGTTCCTTGTAAATGACAAATCAATAGTCATGTTTTTTGTGGAGCAATTCTTTTTTGACCCACCTGTTTTAGTGAAATCCCCTTCCCGTAATTGCAAAGTGTATTTCTGCACACCTTTATGCGTCAGCATAAAAACGCTCCGGCAAGCATCTTTGTTGCTGTCCACCATTTTGACTGGCCTATAACTGCATTCAACGTTCTTTAAATCGCAATACGAGTACCGACAGACTTTCAACGGTGATTCACCAACACCTTGCCTGCTTTTGGATGATGTGTGACCATCTGATTTTGCTGCTGATACCTTAGATGCTTTGGTCTCGTTCCTGCTGCTGCCAATGTTACACTCAATGCTTGGTGTAGTGCTGGATCTTGGACGTAAACTGCCCATACTAGACTGCCAGCGACAGCCCTGCAGATCACTGTCACAAGCAATAACTTCTTCCGCATCAAATTTCAAAACACTGATCTTCCGCCTAGATAATTTTTCTTTAACTCCATCTCTAGCACTTTTTGAATCACGTTTCTTCTTTTCGCCATTTCTGTCTTTATCCTGTTTGTTGCTTCTACTATGTGGTACTTCATTTATACGGCTGCTCTCTATATCTTTCTCTTTTTCATCAAATATTTCGTAATTACTCTCTACTGGTGATGTTGCAGGCGGGATAGGCATTTCTGTGAACAACGAAAAGGAGATTCGCAACGGAATCGGTATGTTGTGATCAACAGAGTTGCAAAACCTTCGAATCTTTGCACATTTTATAGAGCATCGGTGCTTCTTGCACAGCGGCAGTGATGTGCATCTAGGCCCAATTATATCAGAACCTCTTGTACCACCACTAGCAGCACCATCAACTTGGTTTAGTAATGCCGAGTAATAACGCCGAGCAGCTGTAAACAGGAAAATACAGTTTTCAAAGCAGCAGCAATTTACGGAAAATATCATTACTGACAAAAAAGCAACGACATTTTTATACTGCAGCTGATAACACTTTGCATAGTCTTGAAATTAGTCTTGTATATCTCTTATCTTTATAAAATTACAGGGAAAACTAGGAAAAGTATTACAAACCTGTGAAAGTTGTCTTGATAACGAGTACGTGTTCGAAAATTCGTGTTGTCAACAATCAAAACTAAATTTATTTCATTTTTTTCGCTCATTATATTGTCGTTATTTGGATGAGGTACCCACGCAACTTTTCTATTTAATTGAATTTTTCTGTACAAGTTGTGCCAACGATATATAGAGTTGGTAAGAGAACTTTAAGGAAGCAGATAAGTAGGAATAAAATACACCACACGTATTGATTGAAAAATGTGAAAAGTGTGAAATGTGAAACTTTTTTTGTTATTTGGAATTCTAAAAATGGTTTGTTTTCTAAAAAGAAGGCAACTCGGCTCGATATCAAGTGAAAATTGACTTTGATACAAAATTGATTTTCGATTGATGATCAGCCTAGTGTGTGAACAAATTGCTGTTGAATAGTGATTGCAAAATCGCTCTTATAGTTTTTATTTATACCCGATTTCATATTCTATAGATACGAAAATAAAATCTAATGTAAGCAAAATAAATTTAGGGCGGGTCAAATGATATCTATCTGACTTTAGCGACGCGTAACAAACATAAGACAGATTCTGGCAACCTCAAGGTATCTCCTCGCCTATTTGTTTCAAACCTTGCAACCCTTCCCCTCCCCTTAAAAATTAAAAGCTGAGATTTGAGCCTTGCAGTTGGATTTTCTTCGCATATAGCATGATTTCTTTTTTCTTCGCGAAAACATAACCGGGTAGAAAATAACCGGTTTATTGCAGAAACTGGAACAGGGCCCACCTCATAGATAATATAACAAAAATTGCTACCGGAGCAAAGAGCCGGCAAGTTCACAAAGACAAGCAAAATTTTGCATCTTTTACCTTTGCTGCCTCTGTTTTTCATTTTTTGTATTTCTTTTGCATCCGGACTTCCTGAGTTTCTCTTCATCTTGCTTCTGTTGCTTCTATTAACAATCGAACCCATAATGGCGGAAAGACATCGTGAAGATGGCTTTCCTGTTTACTCATCGATAATTTCTTGTCATCTGAAACCTAAAGAAACTTTTAGTCCAGTTGCACTTTTACAAAAAGTTACCAAATCTGACGTCACAATGAGATGCTTATTTCAAACTAAACCATACATACCATATGATCATGTGATGTATAACGAAGGAAATGTTGAGCCTCCCACACAAACCAGGGATCTGATCACGAGGCTGGTTTGAACTGGGCAACAGCCCTTGCGGATGAAAGGTCAAAATGTTGTATCAATACTGACTTGATGAAAACTTTTCTAAAAAACTTGGCAGCAAGTTATATATTAATTGAACGCCGAAAATGAATTATATACGGCAGCAAGTTACTTTTAGTTTCATAAAAATAGTCATTCTGATGAAATGAAATCTATGTATACGTAATAAAGTGGACGCATGTTTGGTGAAAATCACATCAAATGCCTTAATAGGAAATTATCAATGAAAACCTTCAAGAGTTTCACTTTGGCAAAGCCTCCACTACAGATAAAACTTTAAGATATTCACAGGCAGGACAGAAATACAAGAGAGAAAATCGAAAAGAAAAAAATTTCAAAAGGCATCGACAGTTATGACACGAAGCAGTCCTAAATAGAGAGAAGAAAAGTAGCAAACAACAGACCAAGTCATGGGTGTAATTCTATCGTTATCAAATCTTATTATTTTGCAAACAGAAGTTTATTCAGATTAGGAATATTTGAGCATGTTAATAAGTTGTTGTCGTTTGATTCAGGTTATTGGTATTCCGGTTACTGGTATTCCGGTTACTGGTATTCCTTGGCTGCTGCAAGCAAGGCTTTGAAAGTTTCTTCTCCGGTTGGTATGATCTGACTTGCTGGAAGAATGAAGCCGTACTGGCCTTTGTCTCTTAACTCCAGAGCGTATGAGTATTTCACCCCAAGGACACCATAAGTCCAATCAATACTTCCACCAGAAACAGAATCTATTAAAAAATATAATAAGATCACTTATCTTTATCAGGAAATAGTTATGATAACATCGAGGACGATATAACACCTAAGCAATTTTTAGGTAAAAATTTAAAACACAACATTGCATCAATTCAACAAATATTTAAGTTTGTTTGTTTGTTTGTCATCAGGACCCTAATGACAACAGTACATATTGTACTGATAGGTTATCCTGTTAAAATATTCGATTTATTATTATATAAGGATATGACTTGGTTAACTGTTCCTTTTGGTATCATAGAATAAAGATAGAAGTTTTTTACAATATCAACCCGGCAAATTTTTGCTGCAAGTTTTAAGGTTTTTGCAAGTCGTAAACTTGTATAGGTGTTGCTTTCAAAATATTCGAATGAATCTGGAGCATGGTACATAGCAGTGGAGAATGAGCCTTATTTTTTGAGATAGTTTCTATGGCAATAGTTTCTATGGCAAGTGTTATGGTTTTAGATGAACTGTGCTACAGGTTAGGCACTTGCGAAATTAAAGTCCACATCAAAGTGCTTCTACATTATCTATGAAATTGAAAAAACAAATTGAAAGAAAACATAGTTTTAGTTCTTTTGAATGTGTCCAATATTATTACCGTTATTATGAGAAAACACTTTTTCGTAAGTGTAACACATGGTTTCTAACTGAAATTTTTTACCAGGCATGTCCATCTTATGCTAGTTCATAAATTTCTTTCCATTCAATTTTATAGATGTCCCGTAGGTTTGACTTTACTTTTGAGAGCCAAGATACTTCCGGGCGGCCTCTTGGTCTTGGTTTAACGTGCCCAATCGCCATAAAAATTTTCTATGGTTGATTGGTTTTTTGCTTTCTGAACTGTTCAAAGTCTTCTTAAATCTTCTTAAGAATTCCGTACTCATTACCATCACCTCTCCGCATCAAGGCTCGCTGAGCATAGAACAGCTCATTATGCTTTAGAGTTGTATCAATATTGGCTTGTAAAGCTCGCCTGCTTTCTAAGCAAATGTACAATTACCACTTACAAATGACTCTTGATGGAGGACCAACTCGGTAAGAGGTTTGATGGACTGAAGTCAAGGCTCGTGTGGCAATATCAGCAACTCGTTTCTAAGAAAACAAAGCAATCCAAATGAAAATATGTATTACCGTAAAATATATGTTATTGAAAAGCAATAAGTACATTAGCTCCAATTTATCAACATTGCTGAAACATTTCTATGGTGATATCGAGTATCATATTAGGATCCTATCAAAGTAATCACCTGGTCAAACACAAATGCAAGCGTCGAGAAAGTCTGCTCAAACATCTTGCTAGGTGTGCAAACAAGTAATTAATGTTTTTAAGACTAGCTCATCAAAATCAAAAAATGATCCGCAATCTGCAGTACAATTTACTTTGAGTCTATGAGCAGATAACCTTAACTGGCAATTAAACAATAACTCTAAAACCATTATAATATTAAACAGTTAATGACAGTAAGTACATCAAGTTCTTGAGTCAATATTACATAAATATCTTGAGTCAATATAACATAGACGAAAATTTCAAATTTTTGATATATCATCGTCAATTTTTGGAAAACCTGCTATTCCTAGGATCCGTTGTTTGACAAATTCTTGACTATTACTTCTCACTTCAAATTCGATAGTCTTCGCTGGCTCGCCCTATAAATTCTTCATGTAGCTCCATGTTTCCAATCTCTTTTCCTTTTGTCAACTCATATGCTTTCACGTACATCAAAATTGAACAGATTTTCACCCTAAAAGTCTCTTTCCCTTTTCATCCCATTATCAATATATCAAACCCATTCTATTAAACATGTAAAAATTGTATAACACATAAAAAAAGACAAATGGTTTGTCAGCTGTTGGTCAAGGGGATGCGCTGATCTATAACCTATAGCTTCAAAATGCTTGATTTTTTTCAAAATTTTGTAAATCATCAGCTTTTTTATGTACATTCAAGCATCAGATGTTTAACCGATGGTTTATTTTCTTGTAGCACTGCATCATAGTTAATTTTAATTCTGTATAGAGAACGTAAAACACAAGCAAAAACTTTGATCTACAATTTATGCAAATTATGCATTTACGTAATTTATTACTTCTGAATCGCGATGTAAAAGACTGCTTGGCTCTTTTGAAATCAAAGAAGACAGGCTGATTCAGAAACTCACAATTTCTGCATAATCTCTTGGATATGTCGTTGTGTATGACCATGGTGTCATCCAGAGCTGGCTGTAGGCATGGATATTGTAGTATGCGATGAGCTTTGTACGTATGCCATACAAATATCTGGCAACACTCGCTACTTCAACCTCGGAGAAAGGTTTTTTGCCGTGGTAGGTGTCCTGGCAAGGATATGAGGATGTCCCAACGCCTTTAAAGAAGAGAAACAAGAAAAGCATCAACGTGATGCAGCCGCATAGTCAAGACTTTATTCAAAAGTGACAGATCCCCGTCGAATGCAGTTGACAGATCCCCATCAAATGCAATTTTTTTCTAAGATTCTCTGAGCAAAGAAATTTGAAAATTAAGGTTTTCTATCATATCAGCAGACAACTTGGCCCAGTCATCTCTTGAAAAAAAATTCATTAATTACCTCATCAATGATATTTCCTCTCTAAATGAAACACGTATAATATCCCTCAAACTCTTACCTCCCCATCTGTAATTCCAGTTTCTGTTTGGGTCAGCCCCTTTACAGTTGTATCCTGCATTGTCTGACATAGTCTTCCTCCACAGCCTTCTTCCATTGTGCGTGTACTCGTAACCATCGACATTGAAGACCGGCAGAATCACCCAATCGTATTTCTGTACTAATTGCATGACTTCACGATCCCCGGCTGTGTACTTCTCCAAAAGCTGCAGAAAAACGGGATATGCATGTAAACACAATGACCACCGAAGATGAAGGTACCACAAGGAAGATGGGTGAAAAAAATGTGAAAACTAACAAACGAGACCCTGCTTCAGTGATCCAATAACTGATCCCAAAATTGATGAAAATTAATAAATTTCTTATATTTTAGAATATCTACTAATAGAAAGTAGCGCTTTTTGTACAAGCGTAACAATGAAACTCTACAAAAAACAGACTTGTGTAAAACTATGGACTAGCTACACATTTTCCCAAGGGTCAGGCACTCTGATCAATGCTTTCGTTACTACCGCTGGTACTGTTACCGTCTTTGCTTGTCCATTAAAAAAAATTATTTTTCATATGTGGATGCTAACATAAGGCAAGCAGTTGCACTCTAAAAAGAGGTAGGTGTTAAAGGGAACCGCAAACACATTTTGGAGAAAGGATGTAATCCAAACTCAGTACTGCAGTAGAAATGTAACGTGGGCTTAGTTGTCTAGTGGGTTTTCTGTAAAGTGCATGCAATGATGCGATAGAATGGACTGGAAAGACAAGCACATCAGCTAAAAAGAAGATGCTTCAAGAAGCTGATATCATAGGCGTAGAAGACATAAGGGCTTGGATGGCTGCAGCCCCCTAATTCAGACAAAATTTGTCGCATTAGAAGTTCTATTCAGACATTTATGACTTAATGAAGCAATAGAATTCGGGTATGATTCATACCAAACCCCAATAAAGGGATAGCATCCGCTGCGCCCATGGCTCTCGAGATCTCTAGTTTTGGCATCTAAATTACCAATACATGCCATCACCTGATACGCAGGATGTCTTTATCGATTTTTGAAAGGAAAAGGAAAGGAAAGTTTCTTCTTTGTCGCGATTGTTTGATAAGACATAAGGAAGAATGAAAAACGATATTCCATCTATAGTTCATCCAATGAAAAGAGGATCAGTTTAACATAATGAGCTTTCACCTGTTTAAGCATGTACATGCATGTGGCAGGAGTGATCCATTCTCTTGCATGGATACCACAATCAATGAAAATCACTTTCTTGTTGGATGATATTTTCTGTGACTGGATCTAAAAAGCAAAAATTTTAATTTCTTTTAGAGAGAACATTGTTCTTTCCAATGAAATGGATTCTCTCTCATCAAATTGATTAATTATTTTTAACGACCTTTAAAGTCACATCATTAATCATTTCACTCAATTTTTTACCATCCTGTTGTCAGTATGCCTCCAAATTAAAAATCGATATTATTAATATACCAATCTTGCTCTAGAGCTGCTGTGCATTATTTGACTTACACTATGCATTATTTGTCAAGTTCATTTGACTTTTCAACATTGTAACTACTGGGGGAAATTCCCCAGGTAGGCCCAATGCCTTCCCCAGTAGTGAGAGTCAAAATCACAGAATTTCCCAAGTAGTTTGGGCCCTTACATTTTCTGTATTTCTTGAACTTGTACTTTAATGTATTTTTTGCAATTCATGAATTAGATTAATATTGTATCGCCTATTGTATCGCGCTCTCATATAGGAAATATATATATATATACCCAGTTGTAGATCGAAATAAGCCAATCAAAAAATATTGACTGTTGAGGTTGCCCAATCAGTGCCGCTTACCTATTAAAAATGTTACCAATAGAATCCTAAGGTGGAAGCGAACTTCCATTTCAATCCACAACTAGGTATATATATTTCCTAGCGTAGAGTTTTCGATCCATGTCTTGACATTTTATACTTTGAAGAGTGTCAGACGAAAAGCTTAAGTATGAATGCTTTTCCCAAAATGTTTGCTTTTTTCAAAGCCATTTTCAAGTTTTTTACCACCAAAATATTGTTTAAATATATTTTCATTATATATACACCTATAAAACAGTATATTTACCTATATGGACATGTACTCCTTTTATTTAGCCACACTACTCAAACAACAAACTGGATTCTACCCTGGGTACCAGAGCCACATAAATTTGAGCACAGAAATAGAAGGCTCTGGGCTAACCCTCTCCTCAAATAGAGGCTCCTCCGGCTCTCGCTCCTGTCTTCCATTTCTTTGCAGATTGTAGGTCCAATTGCTTAAATTTATGTGGCTTTGGCACCCAGAGTAGCTGGATCCCTTAACGGTTTAAGATTGTCTGACAGCGTCCAGTTCAAACTGGCTGAGGTTGGCATTACACTGTTTTTTTCTAAATTTTTCCTCTAGCTGTGCTTGTCTCTTTTCTATGGTTTCAAATAAAAAACCTCACCACAGCATAGAACTGTGTGCTTCTTTTGGTTATTTCTCTTTGGGCCCTTTTGGCAAATTTTCGTCTGCAGCATAAGTAATAAGTACCATCATTATCAACAATAATAATTATATTCATATTATTACTATAAGAATTAGGAAATGTGGAGTAACAATTATAATATGACACCCAAATGCCAAAATAATAGTATGGCATGCAGTAATACAGAAATATGCTTACTTTCGAAGCACGCGCTTACCTTCATGGCATACATGCTTCTTTTCTGATAGGATGTTCCAATAACAAACTTAGATACAATGTTCGAATACTGATTAGCCAAGTTGCTCAGTTCTGCATTGATCTACAAAGATAGAATCTAGGCCGGTTAAAGGCAAAGGAAACTATCCCTTTTCTTTAAATGAGCTTGCCACACCAGTGCGGACACACTAAACTGTGAGGAGGGTCAGTAATGTTATTGAAAAAAGATTCAGAATCAAAATTTTAAGTGAATCTAATCACATAGTATTCATGTATCAACTTTAGAAAAAAGTATAGAGAATTGTTGCAAAATGGTAACGTTTTCAATAGCTACCAGGTTTCTATGTCATGCCAAGCAGTCGTTAAACACAGATTTGATTCCATTTTATTCACTTCAGTTCTATTCAATTCAATCCATTTCAATTCAGTTGAAATCAATTCAGTTCAGCTTAGTTCAGTTCCGTTCAATTCAATTCAGTTAAATCAATCCAATTCAATCTTCATTCAACAAGAGGTCTTGAATGGCAAAAGACTTACGCTGGACAGAGTGTTGTATTTGGCATAATCAAAGCCAATTGAGCTGAATAAATGCTGGGTTCCTTTATTCTCGTTATCAATTGCCTTTTGGACATCGTCAATGTACAACTCGTACTTCATTCCACGGCGTTTTAAGCCTTTTGAAAGCTTCACAAAGTGCTGTCGGCCAACATTGATTTCAACAGGACTACCTGCCTCACTTGGTTCACTCCAGAAATCAACCTGAAAAAAAATAAAGAAACATTCAACGATATCGCAAAAATGTTCCCATGAGCACTTACGTAATACAAATTCCCATAATGCCGCTCCTCTATCAAGCGGAACGCAAGTCAATCACTGGGATAAAATATTTGTTTAATTTTTTAACTTTTCTGTACAAGACATGAAGCATTTCAACATTTTCGAAAATATTAACAAACATATATTTGATAATTTTGTTTTTGTTATTATTTTTATTGTTGTTGCTCCACGAGACACGTGGAGTATATAAGTTCCACGAGAGAGGAGTATATAAGATCTATTGATAAATATTCAAAGAAACCCTTCCAAGATTCTTTGTCAAATTCACGAGCACTGTTCTACAACTTATCTTTTTCCCCAGATATTGTAAACTTTAGAACACTTTGCCCCTGTCCTCATTCAACATTTGCTTGATCTTTACTCCTTCTCTTCCTACCCCCCCCTCTCCCTATCCCTTGAAGGAACCTTGCTACAGGCTCAGTGGATTTTCCCCAACATCTCCAACTAAAAAAATATCAAATCCACCTGCGCTTTAAGGAAAACAGCATTCCCTTCCTCGACATTCATTGAACTCTCTATACCCTGCGACCAAATTACCACCTACGCTTTACAAAGAAACAAACTCTTACTGCTATTTCAGTAACGCTTCATCACAGCAAAACGAATGCAAAATTTATGCCCAATTGTGCCTCCTACACCGCCTCTGCTCGCAATAAGAAGATTTTGAATTCAGACTTAAAGTATGTCCGTGTTTTCCACCAACAGCAATTACAATATTAAGGTTTCTACATCTGCCACCAACCAGCAAAACACTTGCAAATGTATATAAGCAAACGAATGAATGACTTCGAAGATATCCTACGCAGCATATTCCACCTGCTCACAGATAGCAATTCAACATGTCATACAGATGTGAGAAGAAGAGTGGTGAAATGCATGTTCAAAGTACCACACAGAAAGGCTCTACGAACTGCACCCAAAGGCCACACTTGCCCAATACAAACCCCTTAACTTCAATCACAAACCATTTTAATTTCAATATTTTCCATTTAAGAACCACATTCCTCTGCCTGTTTTATATACTTCATCAACTGCATCAGGTACAATCTTGATACATTGGGCGACCTACTTTGGTTTCAATGCCCGTATTGGAGACCTCCTTACTGATGTATTGAAAAGAAAATGAGTTCATTTTAAGTTTCCTGCGAGCAAGATAAAGACACCAAAGTTTCTACAAACTTCATTTCAGCCAACCACTCTAAAACGGACACAAAAGTTGCTGGAATATACAATAAAACCAACTCTTGAAAACTGAGCCAAATCTAAATTTTGAACTCTTCGATCTATAAGACGTAATAATTCGACGTAGAGTACAGATTTATTGTCTTTCAAAGTTTTTAATCACATGTTAAATTTTCAAATATCTATTTTCCTTGCCCTTTTTGCACATCTTATACTTACTTTTGTACACTACATCTCATTACTTTTGCTTTCTTCATATCCAATCACTCAATTTTACTAATATTCTATCCGTCACCCTTCCTATTCCTATTAACTTGATGATGAGTACAACTCGAAATGTGCGATATTCAGTTACTTCTTTCAAAAAGCTTTTTTATGTGATATTTACCTCTTCATCTTGTCCAAATTCCTTCAGGAACTGTATGTCTCCAGCATTTTTCGGTATCACACGAATGACTTTATGCCTAAAAATGATCAAAACGTCTAAATAAACATGGTTAACTGTACATAAAGAATTCATATAGACCAGGCTCTAACCGAGAAAGGTGTCACCAGGACAGGTAGAAATTCTCACATAATTTTCCTATACCAAATTTTTATGCGGAATCTTACTGGGGTGTGAATATATGAATTCCCAAAACGGTGGGAAAATTACGCATTTAGTAATAATTACGTTGGAAGCAATTAAAATGAAATGACTGGTTTACAAGTCGTTTGGACCTCTCAGAATCTTTAATCAAATGCAAATGATGATCAGCCCATAATAATGTACAAAACAGCAGCTTTCATAAGCCATGATGTCATGGTCCGGGGGGGGGGGAGTGGGGGTAACTACCGAACAATTACCTGATATTTCTTTGGGAAATTAATCCTTATCCTCTGATATTCATCATACTCCAATTAATAAAAAGGTTTTTGATATCAGCCCGCATCAGTCTTTCTAACAATTTGGTGGGGAATGGTCGCCAGAGAGCGGAATTTATAGGAGCATGTGCTTATGGGCTCGTAAAGCTGATTTCGAAAATCTATGCTGCACGGGGATTTTTGGAATCAGCCCCTTTTTCGCGTTTGAAGTCTCGCTTATGCATATATGAACGTAACCGATGAGAAAACAGTTTAAGTAGAAATAGGCAAAATCTCAAAATTTATCAAGCATATTTTTTGTGCAATGCTCAAAATTGAATGTTGGACTGTTGAGGGGGAGGGGAAGCCTCGTTTTCACGAGGAAATAGCACAATCTTACAATTTTTATTTTTAAAAAGAGATCGAAAAAGTTTAATACATCTTTTGATGGCACTGATTTTTAATTGTCGTCCATAAGAACTATACAGCGCTATTCATAAAAATTTGATAAATAACACTAAAGGAGAAATTTCCGGATCAACTAAACATTGTTAAATTGTTTCAAAGTTCCTCGAAATCTTCTTCTGAATTTTCTGCACACGTCGCTCTAACTGTAAACTTAGCCTTGTTAAGAAAACTCTAGACTTCATATTCTGCTTGCAATATATATTGCGATGATTCTAAATGTCTCGGCCCATGTGAAATAACACCATTAATCAGGGAAGCACCTTACAAATCTAACACGACAAAGTGCCTTAGTGTGAATAAAATCACTGGTTCATTGATTAATTTTGCTGGTTCAGAGACTTTTCTTCACTTAATTAAGAGTCTACGAGTGGGCAATCCAAATACAGTGAAGAAAGAGTCAATTTTGGGCTTTCTTCTTTTGCCTTCGATCCCCGAAGAAAGCTAGAAAACCACTTCCCCGATGCCCACAATCCATATCTAGCATAAGAAAGGTTACATATTCATTTCTCTCAAAGGATTCATCTTTGCCTAGTGTTGTGAGCTCCATGTTAAATCTTGCTGCATTAGACACTAAAGGTTTTTAACCAATATGTTTGCTAGCAGTTACTTGTTAGAGCCATTTCTTTAAGAAATTGCATTTCAAAAGAATTTAGGATTTTTGTTCACCAATAAGAGATGATCATTGATTTTTCAAAATAAAAATATTGAATAAAAAAGTGCTGTTAACTCGGATGTCCCTAAAATACAAAAAGCAACAATGTCTAGAAAATCTTACGGCTACCATCATGTCTCCTAACTCTTCGTTGTGCTGTGTTGCATGTTACCCATATAATTAAGTGACACTTTAGAGCACTGTATCGAAACACACGAATTAATTGCCAAACGAAGTAGTTTCAAAGGTTCAGGAAAGTCATTTGCTGATACCTACCCTGAATAAGGCTTGTCATCAGCAATAGCTAAGCCAAGGAGAATGGCGAGCACAACAAGCGGAGACATCACGAAGACTTCTGCAATAAAAGCGTCAGTCTTCAAAATAATCAAATTTTTATCTGAATACAGTCTATATACCAAACGAAAACAGCATAAACAAACAATGTAAAGTTGTACAAATTATCTCTATGCATACTTAACAAATGGTTGGTATTATCTTGCTTTCAGACAGCTAGTAAAACACAGCTTGTTAAATCTTTGTCCTCTTCGCTCGAAAGTTGCCTAGGAAAACTACAAGTGCGAACGTATGTGGTTATTTTTCCTATGCCAAGCTTCGAAATTCAAATAAAAAGGTTCAAGATGCTTTAAGAATGCTTCTCTCAAGAAGATGTGGTTCGCAAAAGCAACTGTTTTCAAATGACACTTACCTGAAACGAAAGTGCAAAGCTGTAGTAAGGTATCCTTTTTTATCTATCACCCTGCTTGTCATATGGGTTGGCACTTTGTGAGGACATGTTGATCAACGCAGACTGTTGATTAAAAATAGGTTGAATTCAGAAAAAGCTTGAGAACTGAGCATGTGGATAGACTCACTTTCTTAGTTGAATGATCAAAAAAAGCTATAAAGTTTGCTTTGAATCACATTGAAACAGTGTTTTTGATTTCATTTGACTTCTAGCGCTATCAGCAACCTGTTCGTTGAGCACAACTTTCTTTCGATGCGGAAAACTATTCAAAGAGATCAGTCCTGTGATCTGAAATAAAACAACTGAGATGTACATAAACTTACGCAAAATGAAATGTGTCAGAAGTCGATTTCGCTCTATTCTGCAATTTAAGCTAACATCTGTCATGAGATTAAGAATTGTATTACGAGAGCAAAGATATAGAAGGAACTGTCATTCCTATATCAGACGGAAAATAACATTATACTGCGTATGAAGGTGAATTTATCTTTAAGGGGACTTATAAAGCTTGTCAAGCGACGAAGGGGGAGGGAGGGGGTAGATTTATTTAACTTCAAATATTTATTGACTAAGGTATGAACGAGACGGGTTTTCATTGTCTAAAGATCACGTATTGCAACTAAGAAAGTAAAGTGACTAATTGTTTGATGGGGCCGGAAGAAATTTCAGGGAAAAGGGGTAGAAAAATGGGAGCATGAAATAAGGGATAGGAAAGGAGGGACAGAAAAAGGGATAGGAAAAAAGGGGTAGGAAAAAAGGGCAGGAAAAATCTGGCAGACAAAGAGCTGAAATGGCAGTAAGAAATGGCCAAAAAAATCTTAAAAACAATTTATAAAATATCCTTGATATCCAAAAAGGCACGCAGAACTACCTTATGACAAAACGGCACATTATTGTTGCACTACTTTGGGTTTGCTTAATGTTTCGTTCCAAAACGTCTCCAGCAAAAGTTTGTTTCATCTTTGGCATGAAAGTCAAATTTTCGCATCATTTTAGGGATTCTGAATTCAGTGGCGGACACTTGGGGGGGGGGCGAGGGGGCACCGCTCCCCAATCCTTTAGAGGAAAATGGTCTTGTGTTCTAAAACAATGGTAAATGTGACGTCATCTTATTTAAACAATAGACTTGCCACCCCAATATTTGACCAAGTATCCGCCCCTGATTTTGATCTTAAATTGCGCAATAAGATGACGCCGCAATTCGTAACGCGGTCGCAATCTTAGTCGCAATCTATTGTGTGGTAGCACCCAATCGTCATTTTATTTTCGTGTCACTTATAATATAGAGGGTTGCCTTTCAGCAAATTTGACTTAAAGGGGGCCACCATTTCTCAGTGTTTATATAATTTACTTTGAACGTCATGGAGGTTGCCTCATTACATTTGTATATACAGCATCTGATATCAGGAACTGTACTTTCAAAAGAAGTTTGAAAGATGAAAGAATATATACTAATTATAAAAACCAGTGTATACGAAGACGTTCTCATTCAAAATTGGCTACACCATAAAAATATTACAGTGTTCAGCAAGTCTACAGTTTACTGCAAAGTGCAACTGCTTTAGTGACGGCTACAAATGTCTCCTTCCCCGTTTCCTCTATTTGTTCCGGGGGGAGGAGGAAATTCACGATCTCAGACTTCCCGCGAAGCTCGAAGCAAAACGCGCAGGTGACACCCAGTTCTCCATAAACAAAGTCCATGCTTCCACCGCCAACTGAATCTGTATAAATGGAGATAATGGGAAAATACATGAAATAATAAGCTTTAATTTTAGATAATCGAACACTGCAATAACTCAGTAGTTTTACATGACTACATTCTGACAGCCGCTTTTAACCACTGTAAGGACAAGTGTTGCATGTCACCAGGCAGATTAAGACTCTAAATTGGGAAGGCACAATACATAACGAGATTTGATTGCAGCTGGTACGAAGCACTTCTGAGGCCATATCTACTGTTGCAGAAGGTGTCCTTTTTTTGAAGACCTCTTTTAGTGCAGAGAAGAAATTTTGGAGCAAAATTATCTATCTTTTATATGAAGCTTGCAAAGTAATTCTTTTTACGCAAAAAGCAATCCCATTGTCAAGTGACAAAACATGCATAATCAGAAAGGGAGAATTATCCAAATGGACATAACAAAGAAATTCTCATTGCAGCATAAGATATTTCTTTCGTTTATTCTTCTGTAGAGAAAGCTTGGTTATTAATTCTTTATCTAATATTAGAGAGCCGAGATCCATCACAAAATGATATCTTCTGCAGTAAGGATTTTGCATGCATTTAAACAATGATTAAAAAATCAGGCACCAGCCCTGTTCGAACGAACTTGCAATATTGAGTCGTGCAATAACAACTTTGTTTACATACATAACAATCGCGATGGAGGGCCAACAGCATACTTTGTTCCATTCACGCGCCACAAGGCATTTGCAGTCATATTCGCAATATCATTCTAGGATTAAAAGTATAAGGTTTAATGCATTTCGAATGTGCATTAAAAAAAGCAGGGAAAGAGAAAGTCACCTTAGTAAGAAGGGAAGCAACGAACACATTAAAAACTACTATATTCGATCTGACCAATTTCCTATGTAGAATAGCTCAATAATAGAACGAGGAGCCTAAATGAATTTACTGAATTCTATCTGATACTAACAAGAGACATAGGTGTTTCAAAGCGTACAAGGTAAGACCCAAGCTTAGTCTCGTTATATACTACACTCCCCTCACAAAAGTATTGCACCACCTCGAAGGAGGGAAAATGGCGCAAGAATTATCGAAAACTATTGTTGTGCGAATTGATTGTTTTTAAGTGGCGAATGGGAGTGTGTCGGAAGTGAAACAACCACCAATCAAGACTTTTGAAACCGCTTTATGCCTTCTTGAATTGGTTGCATATAATTGGGCAATGTATTATTGTGGAATTTTATTCCAAACCTCAAGAATTCTTTTAATTAACGATTCTTTGGTTCTTCAAGAACTTTTTAAATCATGGTTCGTAATGTTTTTCATACGAAGCCAAAAATTTTCAACGATGAACAAATCTGGACTTGAACTACGCCACGGAAAAACTTGAATTCTTCTTGTTCGGAAATAAATCGTTGTAAAAATGGTTTCCTTTTACCAAGACAAATATTTTATCTTGCCTTTACGCAGGTTAATTTTTACTTTATATTTGTGTAAGACACTCATTCATTTTTGCTTGGAAGAATTTTGAGCTGCAAGACATTGCTCAGCGTCGAGTTCCATGTCTTTTACTGTCCCTTGGTGTAAACATGGTGAAATAAAACAGACAAAATCGCTACTCCTCCAAAAACAATTTTTTTTGTTCACCTACTTCTCGGTTTATTACTACTGGAGCACTCTCCAGAAACCTTTTTGATTTATTGAAGCTGTTGTGTGGCTGCATCTAACTTGGTCAACAATTTTTCAAAAACTAAAAACCACTTCCCTGTAAAAATTTTATAGGGACTCACATCTCATTTGACAAATTTCCTCCCTTAGGCGTGGTCTACATTTTTTCAAACAATAATGCTTTGCGTAAAATTTACATTTCTAACTGGGTATTCTATGGCGTCAGCAAAATTTACAAACTTTTCCCGCCGAAATTTGCTATAAAAGATGCCTATTTCACCCAATTCATGCATTAAAATGTTTTGTATTGCAAAAATATTGACAAAAAGTGCCGCCATTTTGAACAAGGTGGTGCAATACTTTTGTGAGGGGAGTGTAGACTCATAATAGTCTCAAAATCAATGGTCCAAATGGAAACTGTCCTTCCCAGTCAAAAGAAAACTATTTTGTATTTTCCTTAGCTAGTTAGTTGGCCTGTTTGATTCTCAAGAGTCAACCATGTCTCTATTATGCCACCGACGTTTGGAGTTCTGGTAAGCTTAGTCAAGGCTAAGGGTGCAAAAATCCTCGCCAAAAACCTGACCCAAAAAAGTCGAAGGTTACCGTAAGGTCTACAGAAAATGACATTTTGAAATACCTTCCTACATTGCACCAAAAGGTTACCTTTGGATCCATTTGAATGAGCCCTTCTAAAGACTTTGTAATTAATGCCCTGAATAAATTTACATAAAAAAATCCTAGCAGCCTATGGTAGAACTTAAGAAATGCAAGTGACCGACGTATTGCAGTCTCTACTTACCAGCTTCTTTTCATCTGGGGATGGCTCAGTCGTATAGGACCATGGGTAGAAAATAAACTGTCCATATGAATGAAAAGTAAAAAATGCCTTCAGCCTCGATTTAACTGACTGTAGGTAATCCACGACATTCTTGACTTCGATTTCAGAGAGTGGCCCTGTTCCTTTGTACGTTGGGGAGCAAGGGAAGGGAGAGGAATCGGCGCCTGAAACGCGATCCAAAAACTATCATCGCAACGACAACAACCTTTGAGGGAATTACTAGGACCATGAACATAACTGAGTCAGGCAAAATATAGGAGATAAATTTCAATAGCAATCTAAGTTATTGTATGTAAAGTTGTATGGTTATTCTAATGATTATGCTTAATGAAATCATCAGGCATTGTTGATATTAGTCAACACTATTGAGTAAAATACGACTATATTTAAGACACAGGGGCTTCATCTTTACAAAATAGAGGCATACAGACTACTATGAAATAAGACACTCGGCTAACGAGTTCTCATGATCATACGTAGTAAGTACCTTTTAATTAAATATAACATCTTAGAAGGTCGGACTATTTTATATTGGGTAAGTAATCAAGAAGGAGAGGGGTGAGCAAAGGCTGAGTAACAATAGAAGGCTCAGGTGGGCTTGGACCTTGGAAAAACTAGAATGCGCTTGTCAAATATGCTTTGCATCTAGCAAGTAAAAATATTGGCAGTTAAATTAAAACCAGGCCAACATCTTTCCATAAAGATTTTAAAAATCTAAAGGACAAATGAAACATTATGAGCTAGAATAAAAGAGTAAGTTAGATCTTTATGGTCACTAGATTGATAAGATAGAAAAAGGCTATGAAAGGGCGGTGGTAAGAGTTTGGAAACCGTTTCTTGTTTATAAACTTCTGCATACCTCCAAACTGAAACGGCCAGTTCCTGTTTGCATCAGCTCCAAAGCAGTAGGAAATCCTTGTTGCGGAGCGTGTTTTTCGCCACAATCGATCCGTGTTGTGCGTGTAAGCATACCCATCAGCGTTAAATACAGGAAGAACGATCCACTCATATGGAATGATGTGCAGTCTTGAATTCTGATCTTTAGACTGAAACTTCGCAAGCAACTAAATTGGAGAAAGGTTCGTCCCTGATTTGAAATCAAATTGAGCAATATTTTAAATGAAAACTCTGTTGCGATGCGGCAGCATTGAGAGGCATTTCCGGCTAGGGAAATGTTTTAATGCTATTCCGATAGCATTTTCTTATTTACTCAAAATGAAAATTATAAGATTTCTTTCGCTATTCTCCTTCTCACTATCGAACATGTTAATTAAAAAGAATCTTAGAACTTCATACCTCTTTAATTATGTACATGCATGTTGCATGGGAAATCCATTCTCTGGCGTGGATGCCGCATTGAATAAAGATGATCTCTTTATCTGCATCACCTTCGGAGATCTACGAAATATCTTGATATTGTATCAATATACTCACTTAAAGGAATTATTCTACTTAAGAGTGCTGAAAAGTTTTCCATTTTCTGCCGCCTTAGGTGATTAAAAGCTTGGCAATATAATTAGGATTTACATGAAACGAAGAGTATAAATAAGTTTATAAAAACATACCTTCAATGCCAGCATACTTCTGTTCTCATATGTGCGGCCGAGATCCGTTATAGAGGCGTATTTGCTGTACTCATTTGCAAGTCTCTTCAATTCACTGTTAATCTGGTAGCCAACAAGAGATACATCTTATAATTTCTTATTTTGCAATCAACGCGACTGTCCTGTCCTGTCCTGTCCTGTCCTGTCCTGTCCTGTCCTGTCCTGTCCTGTCCTGTCCTGTCCTGTCCTGTCCTGTCCTGTCCTGTCCTGTCCTGTCCTGTCCTGTCCTGTCCTGTCCTTTCATATCCTGTTCTGTCCTGTCCTGTCCTGTCCTGTCCTGTCCTGTCCTTTCCTGTCCTGTCCTGTCCTGTCCTGTCCTGTCCTGTCCTGTCCTCCTGTCCTGTCCTGTCCTGTCCTGTCCTGTCCTGTCCTGTCATGTCATGTCATGTCATGTCATGTCATGTCATGTCATGTCATGTCATGTCATGTCCGACACAATACACGACCTATCCAATCCAGTGCCGATACAATACACGACAGAATACACGACAGAATACACGACAGAATACACGACCTATCCAATTGTTTATAGCTAGAATAAAAAGTTAATTCAATTCAACAATGCTCGAATGCTTTATATTTCAAAATTGCATCAATCCCTCACCTTCTCAATTGGTTGGTATTTTGTATAGTCATATGCATAAACTTCACGTTTGTATGTTTCATTTTCAACTGGAGGCAAGGTTTTGTCGATGAGCTCTTGTAAATTTGAATCAAGGACTCTAACTCGAGAACCAGAATCCCTAAATTCATCTCTAACTATTTTTTCTGCATCGATATCAACAATGACATTGACCCTGTCCTTGTGCTTCTCGGGGTCATCAACAAATGTCATCTGCAAAGAACAAGGTTATGGCAATAATATAAGAGAAATAAGTACACAAAATAGAAGCAAAAAATCATCAAATTAAAGGCAATCGACGGCAGTGCCTGCATCAGGTATGAGGGGAGTCTTTCCTGTGTGTCTTTCATTTCCATACAACAAGCTCTCGAAAAAAAGCAGATTAAAGGCATTTGACATGCATAAGTACAGCGAACCCAAAAGTAACTTAGGCCAAATTGATCAGAGCACGCGCACATAAAAGGAATTGAAAACTGCTCACGTGAAACCACTGCGCGCTGCTCTAGGTTTTCACCGATTTGCAGAAAGGCGGAAACTATTCACTTTTTTTCTCTGTGCGCAATTTGATTGGTCAACCGCTCGTGGTCGCGTGACTGTAAACCATTTTTACCTGTGTCGAATGCCAATCATATTTGTAAAATGGTACAGTATTTTGCATCTTAAGTTAGGCAAGGCTCTTTTTTCTTTGGTCATAGTTCGAAGTCTTAGTTCTACTGAAGATATCTCAATCTAACTTAAAATACAATTTTCAAGATTGGGTAAAAGAAAGTTTACAAAGTATTAAATTGGTTTACAAATCACAGCAAAGAAAAAAAGCAAATTCTACGTATTGAGGACAAGTCTACTCAATTCTAATCTGCTTCCAGACATGATCTACTCATTAACCCCTATTGAAAATAAAAGCTTAAAATTGAGTACAATTAAATTTATAAATGTTCATGGCGCTAAACTCCTTCACCTTAATCAAAGCAAGAACAACATCTTACTGACTTTCAAAATAAAGCCAAAAGAAAAAAACTGACTTTTATTGTATCATTATTCACCATTGTCACTATAAATTTGTTTACACAATATTGCTGCAGCTGCATGATACACTTTCGGCAATTAGGATAATACATAAACAGAATCTGTTTAGATACTAATGTAATATGAATGTCCTGTTCTCACTCCAAATCCAAAGCTCATTATCTTTACAATAAGTAAGGCTATTTACTTCCAATACTATGTTGTAATCGGTTGAATATTCTACAAGCTAGTGTTATCACAACGAAATAAGGACTAATATAAAATCACAAAACATACTGAGTTTTGAAGCAAAATTTGAAGAAAAAGTTTCATTAGACTATCCATGCCGTTGTGAGACTTTTGATAGCCTCGTGTCGATATTCGTTCATAGATAAAAAAAATTGAGTTCTATTTAGGATATCTTTGAGTCATTCAAAATTAATTTCTAGAAAAAATTAGGAAATTTAGGAACAGGGTGTAAACAACTATATACAATGCTCGTCAAAAGTGTCGAAACACTTTCATCGTCTTTCTAATTCAATGTTTGTCCCTATACAATGTTGGATTTCCTACTAGAAAATGACGAAAACTGAAGGTGGGAATGGGAATTTTTGTGTTGACGAAGGCCTAAAATACAAAAAAATGAAACATACCCCGTCAAGACCTTGATGGTACAGGGCTTTCAGTCTTGTTATACTTTCTTCTGAGCTAGGCTCCACAGATATGATTTTATGCCTAAAAGAAATCCTTACTTGTCAACTTGCAAATTATTTTATAAGGAATTATACGCAACTTAGGTATATACTTTTCTAAAGCATTATGCTTTACTGAAAAAGTATTCCGGTTCAAGCAAATGCAGGGAAAATGCCGGTTCAAGCGAAAAATATGCCGGTTCAATCAAACAAGGGTCGCTTTTCACAATACCTTTTGATTGACTGCAGGAGAGGTCAATCACATTGATTTGGTAAACTACTGAAAACAAGTAGAACAGTCATTTTTCATCATGGAAGTCTGCGATGTCATTCAATGGCAAAATATACAAGACATTTGATGTTGTGAACCCAATTTTTGTGCATGATACTACCACCCCCCCCCCCCCCCCTCAAACTGAATGCAAATATTCAGTTTATGAAATCGAAAATCTAAAACAACGGGTCCACATTACAAATAATATGGTTCTGACACTGTGTCACTGTGAAAAAAGAATAAAGAAGACATTCTCGAATAAAATTGTGGATTAAACATTTCTAGTGAAAAGTAGGACCATAAAAACATATAAATACACTTGTATGCTATTAAATTGATATTTCCGTTATTTTTGAAACATCAACTCTTCCTCGTAGAGGTTTAGCTAGATATATAATTTTATCTTGAAATCTAATTAGTTGGCTTAAATAACTTGTTTACAAGCTTAAAATAATGGCTCGCTATTGATACAAAGTGTTACGAAGACTCAAAAACTGTCGAGGTCTTAGCTTATGCAGCCTCCACACAAAAATTCGAATATCCATTCCTTTTGACAAACAAAAATTGATGAAAGAATAAGATGTTGCTATTTTTTGTAACAGCATAAGAACCTGCCATTGAAAGTCCTACTCGCGAGAAATTCGAATTTCGTTCAGACGACAGAGTGATTTTCCTGTACTTTAGTGAAAACGAATCGAACTGAGAAAGTAATGATTTCATGCTTAAATCGATGAGCATGAATAAAAATCAGTTCAAAGTCTGCCTGAGCACTTCAACAACATATTTAGCTATCCATTAATTATTCACTTTTGAGCTGCTGTCCTTTAGCTGATTATCACATTAATTTTCGTGTTTCATGTGCTCCTATCATGTTATTTATAGTTCACGCAAATTTGTTTGTATATGATATTGTTAACAGCTACAAGCTTCGTCCTTTCAGATCGTAAGAATATATGTTCAATGCTTAATATTTTCATCCTTACATTAACAAGTATAGATGACTGTTGTGACAAAACGAAATGTTAATTGTAGTTCCAAGGGGACATAAAAGAAAAACTCTAAAGCAGCTTACAAAAATACTTTTTTGTAGGTCTACATCTATATGCGATGACACAATTTATTGAAAAAAGGCTGAAAGAGTAAGTGAGCTGCCTTCGATCTTAGGGTTATACTTATTAGAGCATATAGGTGTAGAGAAATGCAGCAGGCGAGTTGCCAACTTATATACAATTTGCAAACCTATATAATATATAACATATAATATACTCAATGTATAATATACTCAATGTTTAATATATTTAGTTTAGAGCAATGTAAAGCCAATAAACCAACTTACTTGCTATAATCTTGCATTGCATATGAAGAACTGAACAGCACCAGCAGCCACAGAATCATCTCCTGAAATGTTAAATGAAATACGCTTAATAGTTTTAGGTTTTAATTATGAATGCAGTACAGATAGAGTAAAAAACAGTATGGACAATGTTCAAGTAACACTCGAAAGACGCTTCAAATTCAGCGCATGTCATATGTTTCCATAGGCAACCTACCGATTTTTGTGTAGTTATACTTTAACCCAGAACTGTTTCAATGTAACTGATAGCAAACAAGAAAATGATACAGTAACCAGAGAATGCATAAGACTTGAAAACAGAAGAATGAAAAACCACCTGTATCAGCAAATACATTGAAAAAAGAGCGCTTTGTCTGGATTAATGTTTTGTAATTGCAAAGCAAAATTGTTTGGACAAAAAACATCAAAACATGTCTTGCACTCTGAAACAAAAACAATCGAAAGGATTTGAACGATGAAAATATTGCTCTCTTCGACAACATTGTTTACAAATCATATTGCCAATTTGAATAAGCAAACTTTCTAATAGTTCAAAAGATTCCATTTTCTAAGTTTTATAATCTATTCGGTTGTTTAAGTCTTCATCTTCTTCACTTGCAAGTGTTAGTTATAAGAAGCTAGGCAAGGGCACTGATATTAAGACACCAAGATTTTCAAGATACCATTTTATAAAGTCTCTTAATTCTATCTTAATAATCATTTTCTAAGTAATACTTTGCTCATTAGCTTGGCAGGACAAGCTAGGAGTGTTGAAAACTAATGAAGAGTCATTACAACAGAGCTGTTTTGTTACATAGAATAGAAAAAGGGAAGAAGGCAACCATCCGCGGCCAATTTGCTGTTTCCACAATGCGAGGAGAATAATTGTCGCTTGGTTAACTCCATTTCGGGCAAGGAGTGATAGACCATAAAACGATATGATCGCGCTTTCCCTGTGTTTTGCCTATGACAAACAGCATTTGGCTAGTTCCAATCTGCGAGGAAAGGGATCATTTGCTATTATCAAGACCAGTTGTTTCCCTTCAGCAAGCCTTTTGGCCGATGACAAACTTTTCAAGCCTCAAATACATTATGCAGGCGCTTGCAAAAAGTCTTGAATGTTTGTAAATGAAGTTTCCCTTCAGCCTAATCCCTACTTTGTGGTCATTATAAACTACTGTATCTTCAGTACACTTTAGTCTGACATGATCCTGAGACTGAAAAAGTACTTTTTTAGGTTACAGCAATAATTGGCTAAAATCAATAATGATTACATTTCTCTTGCCATGACATAAGAAATTTTTGTAAATCTTTGAAGCTCTTCCATCAGGACTATATTTCCACCAAGTCAATGTTTTTTTCTGATACACGACAATATATGTCTTTTTATTTCAATGCAATCAAAGTAGTTGCCTTTGTACAAAGGTGGTACCTTTAAACAGTTTAGACATTATACTCGAAAGGTTTTGATTGATTAAAAAGCTAACAGACAGATTTTTCAAAGAGATGGGTACACATTATTGAATGAATAAACTCAGTACTCGCTTTTCACGATAGTTATGTAAAGCCTAGCTATACAATTAGCTTCGTTATTGCACACACTCGCTAATCATTGAAACGACAAGAAGTTATCACTGGTGCAAAAAGAAAGCGCTATCATAGGCGTTTCATCCTGTCCTTCCAGACAGCGTTATCTTAAAGTAAGATTACATTAAAAATTCAACGTTGTCAGCGCAAAGAGATCCTGATTAAGTGTCTCAAGCTTCTCATGAACAAATACTTTATGGAAATTGGAGATGATTTCATTATCTGTCTGATAAGACAACAATCATTGATTTTAAAGTTTGCTATCCTGGTATTGGTAGAAATTGCGGTTGCAGAAGAGGTTGCAGAATCAATTTCTTTATTGGCATTACATCACACCGATCATTTTCTGTGGCCTTTCGACCCAAGCTTAAAGTGCCCAACTTCAAAATGGGAGTTTACAAGAGCTATTTGTATTTTCGCATTTCAGACAATTTTTATTCAAGCTCCCTCGAGCCAGCCCCATTAAAAAATGTCTCAAATCATAAAAACCCTTGGAGCTATTTTGTACATGATGCATTTTTGCAGATCTACAAAAATAGAGGAACAATTTTATTAATAGAGGATCATCAAGACTTAGTTAGCCAAGCCACACCTAAAATAACTAAATCTTTTTAATGCCCCCAGAAACATTACTTTATTACACTTAGAGATCATGGAATAAGCCTTCGAACATTCGTAATGAATCCCAGAGCTAAAAAATTAAATAAATCCTATTCTTGCAAGACCGATCAACACAGCTTTACCTACGTTTGTGACAAACAGGACATTTTTTAAACGCTAGTAAATTTATCAATGCCGATTATTATCAAAAATTGTACTTACTTTGACTGCGTTCAATATACCGTAATAGTAATGCGAGATTTAGAGATGAGTAGATCAATTATCATACATCAGGCACATACAGAAGGAAATTGTAAACTTGACTTGGTCTTATTACCTTCAAGGCAGGCACAGCTTTGACTGTTAAGAAATATTTATCGGATTGTCACATGGAAGCTAGCACATATCATCCAGCAAACTGTCTAAATTTCTTTCGGTTGAGGCCTAGCTTTTTTTAAGATGAAAAATATAAGTAAAAAGAATCTCAAACGAGAAAAAGATTTTACATCGAAGCATATAGTTTACATATAAACAAAAAGTAAAATGACGCTTGGTATCTTGCAAATATCGCTGTTTCCTTCCAATGAATGAAAGTACTGGTCTGTATGATAAAAGAGGCTCCGCAAAGGGCGAAAGTCTTTCTCTCAGTCCCAGTAGGCAATGTTTAAACCAAATTCGCGGTGTGGTCGCAAAAGTTTAAAGACTCGATGCAATGATCTTCCCAGTCCCAGGGTGATTTTTGGACCCCAGCTACTTAAATCCCGATTCCCTGGGGCAAACAGGGGCACAGTGGCTGGGTCGCAGGAGAATATAGCAAACCCTTAGTGAGACAATCTTTTTTCAGAAAATTTCCAAAAAATTGTCTTTGTCGGAAGATTAAAACATTGCCTTTAGCCTCCCCAAAAACGGGACACTCACTACGCCCCTGGTACCGAAATCAGCAAATTTTATTGCCTTGCCCGAAGTAAGCGAATCCCATTTTTCACACAGATACAGGAAAATCACATTTTTCAAGATCCTCCTAAACACACGCTTAGATGACAGATCCAAGAAATCAATAACGGTCGTAGTGAAATCGTTATTTTTACATAGGCAACAATAAAGGCGAAAAATTTCAGATACAGAACTTTTCCCTTGCTGCAATCAACGAAATTTTGAAGGGAAAACAAAGTTAATCCTTGCATCGTTGTCTGAAAGGCCCGATTCAAACTAGCAGTACTTCAAAGTAAAGTAAAAACAAGAATTTGTCCTGAGGGGAGACTGTAAAGTAAAAAGAAAAAGTTTTAAATGAAAAATAGCTAATTTTCTGGTTGAGAGATCCAAGGAAATGAGAACCTTTTCTAACTCTTTTGAATACCCTAAAAATCGATCCCTTTACGCTGACGTAATAAAAGGTAATATAGCATCTAAACTCACCTTCGTGACAATTTGCAATTCACTTTTCAACTTACATGCACGCCTTGGCAAAAAAGAACTTCTTATTCACTGGAGGTGCTGTGATATTTGAGTAATATTTAGAAAAACACATACATGAATGCAGTATTGGGTTGAATGTCCTTGAAAAGTCGGTTGAACCTGTTGACTAAAAGCCGACATAAACATTGAATTAAATGACACCAAAAGGAAGGAAGAAGACCTAATGTAAACAGTAAAGTCTGTATCAATAAATATTTGCTGGTTTTGAAGAGTTTAATGGGTTTAAATAAAGGTTTCTTTCTTTAACATTTCTTTCCATTTGAATCGGAAAACGCTACCACAAAGCTTATTAAAGCTGAAAAATAATGACTCTTCGTCGCAACATTCATTCTTGACAGTTTGGCCTCATTTCAATTCGTTCTGCTGCCAAAGAGATCCGATCGTTACTGACCAAGAAGGCTTTCTGTCTGTTTAACAAGACGAAATCTTCGTTATCTGATTTGCCAATTAATATTATATGATCGTTTAAATGATTTTAATTGTTGACAGAAAAATGATGAGCAAGATATCGGGTAGGTATACCGTCAAAAGATAAGCCGTTTGAATGTGTGAATTGGCAAAACAAAGATCTTTAAGAGTAGCCACAGCAATTATTATCTTTTAAGTTCGAGACGATTCAGATGATGGATCTGTAGACAAAAAGAATCATCCCCCTGACATAATGCTTTAGGACCTAGGAAGAATAAGGTGAAACCTTTAAACTAATTAAGGGGTATCTCAGGAAGATTCACTCAGATTTTTGCTGTTCATCTGGAAAGGTGCTTACCGGAAATTAGGGTTAAGCTTAATGATGGTATGTCTGAAAACAGGTAGAGTCAGTGAAAAGAAATCCAAAAAGCAAATACGTAGCTAAATTTATGATTTTTGAGCATGGGAAGAAGCTCGAAATGGAATACAATGAATAAAGCTGACAAGGCACCTATCGCCCTAAGAGAAGAAGGTTGAAAATACAGGGCAATTAATAAAGCGCACATTAACCCTTTGGTCAATTTGATTAGTAAAATGACACGATACAAAGCAAAACGAGAATCAGCAAAATTATAGGAATATATTGATCGTGTAATGGTGCGAGCAGATGACCGGTACCTACAAAACACACGGCTAAACATAACTGCGATGCTTGATTCTTTGCTTTCCTAACCACAACAAGAAAGAAAGAATGCTGTTTCTATAAAAGAAATCATTCGTCTTGTCGAGGGCAACAAAAAGATATAGAACATTCAATTTTGCTTCCCGGCAACAGAAAACAAATACTGCATAACTATTTACAACAAACCATTCTTACATTAAAATAAAGTAAATTGTACTTTTCTTTTATTAATTCTTGGCAGTATTTCAAGTTGCAACAGTTGATTGAAATCTGATTTGACCTGCAAGGAAAGATTAACATCATTGATTACCATAAAAAAATGTTTCGGAATTTTTGAATGAAAGAAGGAACGCTGCAACGATGGATAAATTAAGTTTGATCTACAACTATTTTATACTGCCAAAATATACATATGTAATACGTTCAGCTCAACTACAATTTAACAAATGCAGCTTAAAAGTATTGTCGGCCAGGAAGTCGTACTGCCATTTGATTTTAACTCAATAAACGTATTTTCATTTGATTCTAAACTGACACAGGGTAAGAGCTTCCTGATCCAAACCTTGAAAGGTTAGTACGAAATCCTATTTTGGCATACTCTAGACGGTACCTTCAATGCTTACCAAAAGTACTTAGAATACCCGAGCAGTTTCAGCCAATTCTCTATCTAATTTCAATTCACACCTTTAGAAATAGTCGAGTTGCCCCCATACCTTTTCCCCAAACACTACTAACACTTCTAAGCCGTCCTACTTTCTAAGTACAGGCTGTTTCCGAATATTGTGTTGCTATGAAGGATAATCCAATATTGTTTTGAATGGAAGAGTGGAAACAGCTGATGCGAAAAATATTCTGTTGTTGTTTCAAGACGTTTGGCGGACATTGTAGGAAATTGAAAAAATTTAAAATCTTGTTAAAAGTTGGCGTGCTAAAACTAGATTTGAAATGCTTGGATTCGAATTAGGAACAATTTTCTGATTGCTAATACCAAATCATTCGACATTTCGAGACTCTTTTGCTTCAACTTCAAGTTAAGAAATAGTGTTCTAGATGCTAAACTTCATGAGTAGATATGCTCTACAAATGGCATTAGTAAGTAGGTAATTCAATCGATGCTCCGGTTGGAAAGATTTTCTGTCTTACAAATGGAAAATAAAACAGACTATGCAAGTAGCAATGTCAAGAGATGATACATTTACCACCACACTTTATACTATGCTGGAAAACTGCTATCAGAATGAAACGTTTCGGAAAAAGCTACAACTTAAGCTAGAAAGGGAAAAACAGGCTAGCCATAGTCAGACTTGGAGCTCACTTTCAAAGTTTTATAGGATCGCAACTTAAGGTAACATAAAATCGCTAAAATTAGCAACAGAAGATCAAAAGTAGGCAGAGCCCTGTTGAAGACAATGGATCTATGCTTGATTCTTCTTTTATTGTGTTGTGAGTAATCTGACCAAATTTTTAAGAGCCAAGACGTACCACAAATAAATAAAAAAACCTACTGTATCTTCAACATTCAAACATATTTTGATACATTTTTTTGCTTTGATTTTAGATTTAAAATTACCAACCTATTAAAAAATTGGCTACACCTAATTTTTAGGCCCTTTGATAAGCAAATGGTCCTTCACACATATCATCTAATGAAAGTCAACACAAATGGTACAGACCAGCCCCTAATGATTACAGGCAGATTTTTTTAATGGCTGTTTTTGAAGCAGAAGCTGGCTTGGACGAGCCTCATTGAGATCTTTTATCGACATAAAGGAGCATTTGAAAGATAGAGGCTCCTCTGTTGGCACTTACTGTTGGCACTTACTGTTGGCACAGGCGGAGAGAAGGCTTTAACACAGAACCTCTCTGTGCTAAGAATGATCAGACCAGAGAATCAGTCAAATTTATGCACCTTTGAATAAACATCTGAGAACAACTATTAAGGGGAAAGATCTTCAGAAAAAAATATGGAAAACAAAGCAGCTTTTTAGAACGAACCTCTTTAATATCCACCATTTGTCTTTGCTTTGCGTCTTTGAATGACCAATCGATTAGAACATATTTCAGTTTTTTGAATTTCAAATACCCTAGGAAGGTGATAATTTGATAAATAACAGATGTCCATTATGTTTCCACAGAAACATGAAGATTAAATTGCATTTCAAGCTTTGAAACCCTAATTACCATGTACACATCGACTTTATTACCATCTGCTAGGTTCCAAAATTACGGGGACTTAATCTGCAGTGTCAAGAGGAATATAATTAAAAAACCGCGTTTCAGTATAGGTAGGTTAAATTGAGGAAATGAATTCATAATTATGAAAAAATAATTATGTAGAAAGAAACATGGGACCATTCCGGGCTTTATTAACATAGCAACTAGGCTTAAAATGGTAGAAACTACAATGCTAGGAAATTTAGATGGCATATCATTCATACTATCATCAACCATATCGGTTGAAATTGTAATACTTCAAGATTTGCCAAGACTTTCAGCTGGGGGTTGATTTATCACAAGCAACAATAAATGAAAAAAATGAAATTACCATTTGATGCTAGTTTTAAGATCCTGTTTGGCGTGCCAGCGCAAATGTGGACCACAGCTTTCGTTAAGTAGTGTTGTTGTTCTTCAAGCTATGGAATAAAAACTGGCTTCATCAATATAAAGTAGATCTCAAAACAGTGTACTATAACTTCTGCTAATAAACGTATGCAGCTTCGCTAAAAACAGAAACTAATAGAAATGTTTGGGAAGGAAATTCTTGATCATTCAGTGTATAATAGAATTATAGAATAAGATGGCAAAAGTTCATTGAATAAAATAAATCAGTATTTTTCTAGCATTTTGAGAAAGCTTAAACAGTAGAGCCAAGAAACAGTAGGGCCAAATTGGAAGCATTTAAGTCCAATGGAGAAAGAATAGAAAGTCTGTAGAAGAAAGAGGGTAGGTTTCTGGATTTAGACTGGCTGGAATTAAGTTAGTAAAAACCAATCAGGATATCCAAGGAAACCAAGCCAACCAATCAAAACAAACAACATGCCAAGGAAAAATCCGGAGACACATTTCATGTTAAGGTCATTCATAAAAATGTTACAGATTTACAATAAGATAACAGAATTTTTATTTGCATTGGCCTTTCCTGGACATTTTCTTTATTAAAGAGAAGGTGGCCATATAAATACAGAAGAAAATTATTAATGCATTTGAGTGGATATAGACGAATGTTTGTTTAAGCTGGTTGCTTTTAAAACAATTTCCATTGTCATGTTTTACCACGTACGAAAAACATCAAAGCAACACGAAAGCCGTTGCCAGGCAAATCTTTAGAATTAAAACGATTTTGCAAGTTTCTTAGAGAAATGCCAAGTAATCTGAAATATTCCTAGATTGTTCACAATGAATGATTCTTAGAATCCGAGGTCTTTAATGTCTGCCTCCTTAGTATCAAAAAATAAATGGACAATTTTTGTAAAGCCTTTAGAATGTAGTAAAAACTCGGAAAACAAAGAAAATAGAGAAACGGAGAAAATAGAGAATGGACAATAAGGAAGCTGGGTTGCCAAGCTATTTGATCTTCAATGCCAGGCAATGCATTGACCAAAGACAATAATAATTAAAACTGGCACACAAAACAGATAGCAAGCCCTATGCTTTTAGCAACTTTTGTCAATACATATATATTTGACTGTTGTCCAACGTTTTTTGCCTCCTGACATTATACTACAGTTGTAAAAATATAGAGCGTTAAAAAATAAGAATTTTAAGAAGGAGTGGATGAAATTTCAAAAGCAACATTTGCAGCTGAAGCT